GGATGCAATACGATTGACTCATTGATTGGATCGAGTGCAATACATTTAATTCTATATCACACAATTCCATTTCATTTTTTTTATTTCATATAAAATTATTTTAAGTTATAAACGATTTCAGATTTTACTACCAAAAATTTCACATTATTTTCCACTTTTTAGCACACTTCAATATCAAGCAATAAAGGTAGCAATCATCAAAGGCAACTCTGGTTGTTACTCTAATGCAGTTTACTGATTAACATGCCGTCAACTATTAAGTATCCTCTTGGAGCCATTCTGCTAAGTTTTAGGTCATCTCTGATTTTTCTACCATTAAACACATTCTTTATTATCTTTTTTATGGCTAACGGTTCGTGGAAATCTCGTGGCATATTAACTTTTTATTTCCATTTCCTATTATATTGTATTATCCGTATTTATTTTCAACTTAATGGCATGGCTCGCCATCTGCTCCGCCAAGATCGTCCATCCCTCTCGCATGCGATGAAACAGAGCTTGTAAACGCTATACGATTTAATGCAGCACGCAATTGCGTGAAAATAATCGGTTTTTGATGTATTCTCGTCGGCATAATGTTGCATGAGCTTCCCAAACTTTTTTTAAATAAATTACGCATTTGCTTGTGGTGATGTTTGAGTGATCTTCGTCTGTTTGAAAATATTAAGCTTCTGCGGCTGCGATCTTCAACCTGTTGAAAGCGTGATTTAATGGCACTTTAATTGGCGTTTCATTTAATGAATATTTTTGTGTTGAGCTATATTTTTACGAATTCGAGTTTCATGGAAGGTGAAGTATTAAGTACCGCCTAAATAAATTTCGATAGAAAATCCTTTAACTTTTTAAAATCTATAATTGCATTTTCCCAATTTTTTTAATGAAATAGATAATCGAATTATACCAAGATGTTTAAAATAAAAAAAGTTTGAAAGGTTATCATTTGTTGCAAAATTTTCGGTGAAAAAAATTTTTAAGAGCCCTAGAATAAATGGGCTCAAGGTTTTATGTTTGATTACAGTTTGGAAAAATATTTGAAAGCAATTTGTAGATATCTGAAAACTCAATGACAGAAATCGATGCGGAATCCACCAGCCATCAGAACTTAATGCAATCGTAGAATCTGCTTGGGAAATCTAAGATGTTAAACCAATCTACTCCCCGGCAAAAAATATATGCCAAAACTGAAGTTTATAAGCAAGGACAATAACAGATCGCGTAATGAAATCAGGTGTAACTTGGCAAAGCAGATCTAACCAGCGCTAGGCGCTAAGAAGTCACGAAAAATACTCCTTCCAGACCAGTTCTCTAACAATATCACAACCGGGCAAACTCTGCATTGGCAACTCACGGTGAAATAATGAAATGCTGGTCAAATGGCTTTCGTCGCAGCAGCAAGGAAAACAGCTCTGTCACCAAGCATGGCGCGATTTTCACGGAAAATACTATTCCGACTGTCTCGCTGAGTCAACCACAACAAACATTAAAAATTTCATAGTAACTAATTAAAATTATATTATACAATATATTAATATATATATATTTGGCTTTCTCGAATTAACTTAATATTGACAATTAACTCCTTTGCATTGGGTGGAAATATTTATTTTTTTTTTAATTAATTAAAATTTTTTGTTTTTACGAGCATACAAACAAGTATTTATATTGATTCCACATTTCTTACACATTCCTGTGGCCAACAAGGCAGCCGATAATCCTCAGATTACAAGATTTAGCTGAACTACTGGACACGCGTGTACTGGCAGCAGAAGTTGGCTGGCGATCGAGGCAATAAATCAGTAACTTTAATGTGGTGTTGAAATTATTCGTATGACTGTATATATGCACACGCCTGCCATACAACTGATTATAAGATCGATCTACGACAGTGACAGTGGCAATGAAATGACTTGAAGTGGTTAAAATTTATATTTCACTTGTGCGTTTTGTTTGGTTTTTTGTTTTTTTTTTTGTTGATTCTTTTTTGCTGTTGTAACTTTCCCAGTTTTCTTATGCTTTTGCTTGTGCGCTTGCGCGTTTAATTTTGACCCGAACATTTTGTTTAATGATTGTAATAGCTTTTGACAGGTTCAACTACTTGTTTTTTGTGTATGAAATTGTGGTTTCAAAGTTTTATATTCGTTAATACATATTTAACTACTGAGACTTGATTTCGAGTGTTTTTCGAATGGGTACGAGTAGGTGTAGGAAGTCTTTTGTGAACGGGACCGCGGGCGAGTGTAAGCGAGAAAGTTGGAGATTAACTAAAAGTTATGGAAAATGTAGGAGGAATAATTAAATAAATAAGAAATATTACATCTGCAACGCTTCGCTGTGACACACACAAAATAAATGTATGAAATATTGGATATCTTTCAACATAACTTTATTTACTTAATACCTTTGGTTTTTTTATCGACCACGCGTAAAGAATATCTTATATGCCAACTTTGGAGTATGCAAAATAAAATTGGCCTGTGTGAAACAATACATGTATGTATCTAAATGTATACCACAGGCAGTCGAATTTCAGTTGGTCGGTCTTGGTCTTTATAGATAAATTGAATGCTACTAAAGTATTTATATAAAGAGACCAATAAATACTTAATTAAATGGATAAAAAAGAATTATTTCTTTTCACTATATTTCAATGTTCACTAATAACTATTAGCTTAAAGATTTGTAAACATCCAAGAAGACTTGAAATTTCTGCAGCATAAATCAGCTTGGCGTATTTATGTAAACACCCAAAACCATAAAAAAAAAAAACAATTATAAGCGAATTGAAACTTTTGCGCCTTCTTTAAAGTCATATGAATCGGGTTGTGTCAACAACTAAAGTAAAATAGTAAGAAATAAAACTAGAAAAATGTAGAAAAGCTAAACACGTAAAAAATAGTAAAAATTCTAGCCACGCAAATATGCAAATGTTCACATAAAATTTATAAATATTGATTTTAGTAAATAGTCATGCTCAAAAAGCTTAGCATATTTGGCGCTAAAAATGGTATATGGCAGAAAAAAAATTAAAAAATAAAAAATCTCTGAAAAATGTGAGGCAGCCAGTAGACTTGGCGGAGTGTTCAAACGGACGTACATACACATGCGAGTATACAGAAGACCAACTGAAGCTTTTGAAAAAGTCACATTGTGTGATGATGTAACTAATACGGAATGTTTTTTTTTTTTTATTAATTATTTATTTTTACGCTTGCCAAAGCAAAAATCAAGCTGGACAGGTGTTCAGGAAAAAATAATGCGCAGGCGTTGCAATAAATTATTAAGTAAACGAAATGTGCTTGTTTGCTGTGTATTAAAGATTTTTGAAAAAGATAGTTGATTTTCAAGTACTTAGAATCGATATTTTCAAGCTATAAAAATTTGATTGCTTGCAGTTGTTGTTGTGTACATTAATGTTTTTGCAAGGAATTTACAATCAAATTTTCATATAGAATTTACAAGCGGTGAGTTAACATGAAAGCAATTTTTCTACCTCATTTTGTTTTCTTCATTTTTTTTTTTTTGTTTAACTGTACATATTTCCATCAACGTACTTAGCATGAAAACCGACACCACGTATGCGCTTAAACGCCTTAAACCGGCTCCCAAACAAAGCCGAACTATTTTGATTAATGTCCGTTGTACAAGTGTGAACCTGTCAAGGCTTAAAGTTTTAAATACACATAAAAAGCAATTTAAACAATTTCAATGTAAAGAAAAAATGTGTATGGAAAAAATGTTGACAACCAGCCGAAGAAACAATGCGGCGACAAGGCATTTGTCAACTGTCAAAGGCAAGCGACCAAGAGGCATGCGCTGTTGTTGAAACCAAAAGCAAAAAAATAATAAAAGGAAATATCAAAAAAAAAAAAATATTTGGATTTGGGTGTGTTAAGCGATTATGCGCCGGCGCTTATTGCGTAAGCTGGTTTTTGAGCCTTTGACAGTTTTAAATATGTTACATGGTTATTATTTTATTTTATTTTTTTTTTTTTACCGTAATCAAATTTTTATCGAGCTGTAAGCGTTAAGATATATTCTCAAGTATTTTAGCGTTTCATTTATCACTCAGAAATGGCACAAGAGTTTGAAGAACTGGAAAAAATAAATAAATACAAATATATAATTAGCGCAAAACTATTAAATTATTAACAGAAATTGTTGGAATTATCTTTTTTATTTTTTAACTACGCATTGAAATGAATGGCATATATTTTCTTGCTTACAAGTCACAGGGAATTTTAGTTCATTTTTTCAACGAATTTTCTACACATAATCAATTAACCGCTTGAAAACAATTTGTTAAAAACTAAATGACCGCTACCCATTTCAAGATGATCGTACAACTACTCATTGCTGATCATTTAATGTTCGGTTTCGCTAGATCAGTTCTTTGTATTGAAAATCATTAATCAAAAAGTAATTAATATAAACAGCAGAAAGCATGAGATCTAAAAAATAAGTAAATAAAAAGAAGTCTCAATGATATGTATGTTTACAATTGGCGCTTTGTAGCCACAGAACGATTTTTGGCCGAGCTCTTCCAACAATTCGGGGTGTACGTCTTGTTGTTTTTCCAACAAATTGAGAGACCTACAGTTTCTTCTAATCCGCCTTCGAATGGCTTTCCGGTTTTTATGAGAAACTCTTCAATTCATGCCGGAAGTACACTCAGAGGGCTTGAGAACCAGTATATGAACACTTTCCTTCCGAGTTTTGAGTAGACAAATTAAAAAGTCAAAAGCTCTCGCGATGTACAAGGGCAAAACTCACAAGTCGTTCATCTATATACCAAAAGCTGTGGAACGATGGACTGTACAGCATATACGGCGGCTATGCTGGTGAGGTCATGTCATCCGAATAGATAAAGCACTCCCGCTTACAAAGTATACAATGCGGTACCCGCTGACGGAAGCAAACGAAAAGAAGTGTTTTCGTGTTCGGAAAGCATGACAGAACTTGAAGTTTTTTAAAATACACCAAATCCCATTCATAAGCTCAATTCAGGTATTCTACATTGCCAAGTTTCGGTAAAATTTTGGCATTGTATTTGTATAAGTGTATGTATGTTAGTTTAACAATAATTCTTCAGCCACTCGGCACATTGCAATTCAAAGCATAAATATTTAGTTGAAATTTGTACGTGTTTGGCATAATTTTGAGCGAGTTTCAAATACGGAAACTTTTTTGAATCACTTGCCGAGGCGTAAATTAGTTTCTCAAATCATGTGAGTAATAATATAAATTAATCTAAAATTAATTTTTATTAAAAAGATATTATTATCCGTAACCTAATTCGAAATTAAATGTTTGGAATGTGCAATCCATCCTTTATGAGACAAAAAAAGAATTATAGTATAATGAAAATGGATTTTATTTCATATGCCATAACAATTGCACATTTCATCGCAAACGGTTCTTTGGAAGCATATAAAAATGTATGTGGCAATTGACAAAAGAACACTTTTCGTTTTTGTAATATTTTCGCTCAATATGAAGGTAATTAAAAAAAAAAGGAGTATCGATTTCGTTAAAAATATTTTTCTTACCAAAAAAGGCTGAGGCGTTCTTTAAAATGACGAATATCGCTTGCACCGATATGAATAACAGCATTGCCACAGTGGAGGTGTGTCGTTTGAAAGCTGTAAAACGTGATGTAGTTGAAGCGACGGTTAAATTTCGTTTACTACAAAAGTTGGAACGTTTTAACGTAGGTATTTAAAATAAGCCGATATTATTTACGCCTAAGTATTTCTCCCTTGTAGTTGCATGTGAAATTGCTACGAAAATACAACACCTACGAGCCGTTTATCATTAACGGCACGGTCGATGTATGCGCCTTCTTCAGAAATAAAGGAAAATCGCCTTTAAGGGTGTTATACAAATTAATAGAGAAATTTACAAATACGAATCACTCGTGTCCATTCGAGGTAAGCGATATTAATGTATAGTGATAATTACCAAACATATTATATTAATTAGTAATAAATTTTTAGTTTTAAAAGTATTTAAGGTATTTTTTTTTATATTTTTCAGCACGAGATCTTCATTAATCGTTTCAGACCCGAGCATGAGAACTTGATTATTAATCTACCAACTGGTGAATATTTGATTTTATTTGGCTTCTATGTGCCGAAAAATTTATTGGGTTATTTGAGAGTGTGGTTTACTTTCCGGGAGGTGTAACTTTTCAAAAATAAAAAAAATATACGAATAAATTTAAGAAAACAATGGAAAAAGTAGTGACAGAATATATAATATCTAATATACGACATTTTTAGATTTTTACCTATGTTATGTTGAATATATTATTTCATGGCACTAATATTATCAAAACTACACCACCACTATGTAAGTGTGCTAGAAATTTCCAAAAAAAAATTGTTGCACTAATTTATAAAAAAAAATGGCGGGTTCCCAAAATAAATTATATGCAATGTTTATTTATCACATACAATATATTATATATTTAAATGTATTTACTTGTATGGTTTTGATGCAAGAAATAAATTTATCTTTTGAAATTCTATTTATCCATTTACATCTATATATTTTTTTGCTTATAATTCGTGTCCAATAATTATCAATAAATGATTTTATTTAAATCGATATTAATTAAAAACTCATTAACTGTTTTCCAGTGGATGGTTTCAAATTTTCATATTGTACATATAAACACCTTTCGCAATTTTTCATTTAGATTTTTTCGGAAAACTCGTTGACATGGCACAGTTTAGCGGTGCTATTTTAAGTATTTTAATTAGGCAAATAATTTAAATAAAATATGTAAGTGAATTTGCATATAAAATATTAATATAAAAAATTTTCTTAGCAGAACTCACATTGTATTTTGGTTAAAATAAAAGTTAATTAGTTGTAAATATTTAATGGCGAATTTATTGTCGAGCACTTTGGGACCTCACATAACAATTTGATATTACCAATCCCTAGAGGAAAGTACCTTATAACATTTTTCAAATGCTCTAATTTTAAATTTATTAGTATGGTTTAATTTCAAAGGACTGGAGAAATGGGAATTACACAAAGAAGGTGTAAGCTTCAAAACAACATACACTCCATTATTATACCAGAATGATATTAGAGAAAATAAAATAAAATATGAATCATTTTATCTATCTAATCAATAAAGCATGATTTGATCGTCAGGGATTAGGTTGAACAAAGAGCATGTGACTAAAATGGACCCAATTAATGGCATGTGATGTGTGGTAATGTGATGTGTTGAGATATGATGTTTAGTGATGAGTTGCAATGTAATATCACATGCTCGAATGTAAAATAATGTGATATGAAGTCAAATGTCGTGATGTGATGTGATGTGTTATGATATGATGTGATATAAGGTGATTTGGTGTGATGTGATCTGATGTTATGCGAAGTGGTATGATGCGATGAGTTGCGATGTAATATGATAATGTGATTTGACGTGATGGGATGAAATGTAAGGTATTGTGATATGATGTAATGTGTTATGGTGCGATGTTATGTGATGTGATTTAATATGAGGTGATTTCATTTCGTTTTAAATTTGATTATTCCAACGATCTATCCAATAGCTTAGTAAAATGCTTATTTTCAAATATATTTATAACAAATCGCAAAAATAAATTTTTAAGTAGAACAATAATCATGTGATTTTGCAACATATCACTGTATAAATCAATTAATTCTATACTTAAACGGCACATTTTTGACCCTTCACTTAATAATTAATTTTAATTTTTAATAATTATTCTTTAGATATATTTTAATAAAAATAATTAAAAGCTCATCAGCTGATTATTTTTGCAACATACGCAAAACTATATTTTTAGTTCACTGAAAACAATTTATGGGACATGTCAACAAATTTCAAACGAAAAATCTTGGAATTTCTCATTTTACAAGCGATCTTACTGGAGTGCGTAAGTGAAAATTATAGAAACAAAAAAATAAAAAATTATTATTTGAAAACTAAAATATAAAAAAATAATAACCTCAAAAAGAAAAAAAATATAATATTAAAACTAATTGAATATGTAATTTAAGTTTATTTTTTATAAATTATGTTTACTATATACGAAAAGTTTGCTATATAAGTATAAAAAATATTTCTGATTCAAACAAAGCATGCAGCATTTTTCAAAATGACCAAAATGGAGTGCACCATTGTCGATAAAACTCTGCTGCGGCTCAACGTTTGCCGTCTGAAGGCAGTGAAGCGCGACATCACAGAGGCGACAGTGCGCTTACACCTATTGAGACAAGTTAACAATTGTGTGGTAAGATCTGAACTCACCTCACCCCCCTTACGCACTCTGACGAAATAATTAAAATTCCTCTCTGCAGTTACACGCCGAACTCTTGCGGAAGTACAACTCCTACCAACCATTCTTCATCAACAAAACATATGACGCTTGTGAGTTTATGAAATCGCGTAAAAATGCTGTTTATTTCGATATTTTATTCAAATTAATTGAGAAATATACGAATGCGAATCACACGTGTCCTTATGATGTGAGTCAAGGAAATCACTCAAATTGATGCTACCTATACCCACCGGCGAGTATCTGATCAAATTTTTCTTTTATACTTCAAACAATTTAATAGCTAAACTCCTGGTGTGGTTTGGCTTCAAGGAGCCCGAAAAGTGGGAGGAGAAACGCAGAGAAGGTTAACCAGCTTTTAGTGTAGGCGAATACTTTCCTCTCCTGTTACCGGAAATACTTATTGTATGGCATAAAAGTATACACGAATACGTTGTAAGCAAACTTATATTTTCGTTTGTTTTGTTGTATTTTCGGCAGTTTCTTACATTCCTAAACGCACATTTAAGCCAAAATCGGTCAGATGCCTCCATCAAACTGGCAGCTATGTGGGTTGGCAATTTTAGATTTTAGATTTCTTAACTCTCAAAGCAAAAACAAAAAATACTCTACAGGCAACAACCACAGCGGCAGTAGCGACAAATTGCGAGCAGCAGTCAGTCAGCCAGTCAGTCAGCAGTCAGTCAGCCAGTCACTCAGTGAGTTAGTTGAACGACAGGCGGATAATCAACAGTCATTAGACGACAGCAGGCAACGAAACGAGACAAAATTGAAATTCCAACTTATACTACCAGTGTAATTGCACGGCTGTGATGTTAATCGACAACAACACCAACAATAACAATTGCTAACAACTGCCAAAAGCGGTAGGCGAACAACAGCAACAACAACTACAACGGGGTGAATACGTTCACAAAAGTTGCCGGCTGCTGAGACACACAATTGAGCAGTCGCTGCATTGCACGATAGGCAAACTGCCTCGTAGAAGGAAAGCCAGCCAGGCAGACTGCCAGCTGTTAACTGCTGAACGCATACATCACTCACTCATTCGTTGAATGTGAAATAAAGCAGGCAGGGTGGAGTGGCTTGCAGCTTGACCGCTTCACTTCCTTGCCGAGAAACTATGAGGCGTGTGACTAAAGTAGACAGTGATCGGCGGCACAGCAAAGCGTCGCTGTAATTTGACCTAAACATGCGAAATACCGCCGGCATTCGAATGCAACTTTTAGAAGATGAAAGATATATAAAGCCGTAATTAGTAGATATGGGTTGAGTTATAATTATTTATTGAAAACCAATCGACGATAGCCTAGCAAAGATGCTAACCCAATCTTGGTAGAATCTGTGTTTCTTGTGTTATTTGCAGACTATTGCATATTAGTTAAACATAAACACACACCGTCTGCCGCATTAAGAAGGAGACGCTTTCTGCTTGATGCGCATATTATTGCTTCAAACCAAGAGTTCAAAATAGCTCGGTCTTTTTTGTAAAAACATCTGATTGAATTTTATATTTTTCTTGCGGAGGTCTTCTCTATCAGAAAAACTGCGGAATTTTTCAATATCACAGGAAATAACTGTAAAAGCATACCTTGATAACTAAAGTATTAATCTCACAGCAGATGATGTCAGAAAATGTATTCAGAAGGAGAGATGAATATGCATGTGCAGAGAAGCAGTATCTATTGAGTTCCAGATCATGGCGGCATTTTGGAAGATCGCCAAAAGTGTTATTCGGGTGGCGCCTGATCGCCAAAGACTCCGGATAAGGAGTTTAATGAAAAAGCAGGGATGGAAACAGCAAAAGATGGATTGGCTTAATTGCCTAAATGGCCATCAAGGTCATGTGTAAAAGCAATTAGTCTTTACTAATGCTTGCTGCCTAGCTTGATCAAAAAGGCGATCGTGAAATTTAGACGATTCATTAATGTAAGAACTAAAAATGTTTTAGGGTGCTTTTCAGCTTTACAAAAAGATCTATATACATTTCAAATTGGATTGGACCCGCATCTGGGACTGCAAGGGTTCAACAAGTATATGCAGGCCATCTACAAATTATTTTTTTTTTTTAAGGATTAATAACCCTCTTTAAGTAAGTCCTTTTTGAAAGAAGCTAAATTCCTCAGTTTTAAAAATTTTTTGTTATTAATATTTACTATTGGCTAAGTTTTTGCAACAGAATTGAGTGACTTCTAAGAAACTATTTATTAATATTTCTTATTATTTCTTATATCCCCGCCACCGCTCTAATATTTACGTATCAAATCATTCACCATCAATTTAGAAACACATTTTTTCCTTCACAACGCAGCTCTGATGACAACCTTTAATTGCATAAATATATGTGCTTAGTATGTAAGACTTTTTGAGCTCAATCTCAAGGGGCGTCTATTTGGCACATGCCGTGCATAAAATTTAGTTTAATCGCCATCGCTGGAATCGACTTTGGGTTTGTATGTATGTGGGCGGGCTTGCCAACTCAACATAGTGATTTTCTATTAATTTTATGTAATTTATAATTAGACACTTGTGATATGGAATTTGCTATGCAAAAAAAAAACCGAAAGCAAACTGCAATTAAATGCAATTCGTAAGAAAATTCTAAGCCAGCTGCGGTTTGTTGATCCGGAAATCAGATAATTGATTGCAATTATTAACGGCAATTTTATGGAAAACTAATATTCAATTGGCGCTATGCAACCGCTGAAACGATTTTCGACCGAGCTGCTCCTCCAATTTGGGGTTTTGCATCTTGATGTTTTTCCAACAAATGGAGGGACCGACAGTTTATACTAGGCCGCCTCCGAGCGGCTGATGGTTTTTTGTGAGGATCTTTATTTCATATCCGAAATACACTCGGAGGGGTGGACATTGTCTGCCGAGGGGTAACCGCAATTAGAAAGTTTAATTTAATTTTTTATTTAAATTGATTTTCCATAACTTTTGAATGTTGGTCGTAACAGAATTTGAGCGCGGGCATTCCGATTTGCAGTATGCAATGGTAACCAATCGGCTGCCGCGACCGCGAAAAACTTAATGCTAAGCTAAATAATGCCAACAATAAAGAGAAGTTCTACAACGCTCCGTGCTCTTTAATCAGAGTTTCCGCTGAAGGAGTGCACATTCTAAGGGAAACTGGGAAAGGAGAAACAAATTACTGCTGAAACGGTCCAGTTGAAATTGTCTATACGGACAAGGAAGAATATCGAATGCATTCGAATTGAGCATGCAACGCTTGTAACACGGAATGCTGTGCAGACCTCAAATACATAGCCATTCCTGGTGAAATTATTTGGACAGTTTACTGACCGCTGTTATGAGATGTGCATCGAGAGCAATTCCTACTACTTAAATATGGCTTCAAAAAACTTTGTAAACGACGCTTCACTGAAAAGAATTCTAAGCTTAAATTAAAAATTTTCCAAACAAATTTCCAACTGCGTTAAACAGTTTCGTTAAGTTTTCAGAAACAGCATAGCACAAAGTGAGCGCTGTTCTATTCTAAATTATCTAACTTCTGTCTAAAAAATGTCTGAGCTCTCTTGCACCAACAGCGCGCCAAAGTTCATCTGGAACACACATACGAGTACACAAGCCGATATTAATACATTGCAAGAATGACCTAAATACCTACCTGGACCACAACACCAAGTCTGCAAAAATGGTTTGAACCACATCAGAAACTACATATGTAAGTGACTGTCTTCAAGATGAAATGCAAGAAAAATATTTGAAATGAAAATAACACAAGTGGAAGCGAGAAGGCAAGAAGGACGACCACTAACTGCTTAGCGATGACCAAAAGACGACATTTCACATCTCAGTTGCGTTACAATAGACCGATGGATAGATAGTTGGATACAGCGATGGATGACTGGTTGCTTGGATTGGTATGCGGGTTGTAATAAACCAAACAACAGCAATAATAACAGCAACAACAGCAAGAATAACAATAACAACAATGTCGTACAACATTTCTCTATTTATTTACAAAATTGGCAACTTGTTGAGAAAGCACAAAACATACAAACAATAGGCACAACAACACCAAAAAAACAGTCCAAAGTAAAAATAAGCAGCGAAATGTGTTTGAAAGGAAATGTGAACGATGAATTAAAACGCAGCGATTGTGAGGCATAAAAAATGTTTGGCGGGTGAACGCATAAATATCAATTTAAAAAACACAAATTTTCGTTGCTGTTGCAGGTGATTTCGTGTTGAATGCTTAGGCAAAAAGAATTTAAATAATATGTACGTGTATATACAACTGTAGCTAGATTGCAGCCAGTGGCTGTTTTTATGATTTATGTTACAATAAATTGTTTGTTCTAATGTACTTACATTTTTGTTGTTTGTTTGTCTGTTTGTTTTAGGGTTTGTTGTTTTTACTATCTTTCGTTGCAGCTAAAGTCTCAATTCAATTGAAACAATGTTGCTGAGTGACGTCGAGCAATTTTATGGCTCGTCCTAATGTTGCTGATGTTGTTTTTTGTTTCTTTTCGGGTATCTGTTGCCAGTTATTGTTGCTTTTATTTTATTCCTTTAACATTTCCAGTTGCTCTTTTGTGCCAACTGAACGCGAGAATTTATTTTTCCACTTTTTTTTTTGCAAATTTCTTAGTTCCTTATTTTCCAATTTAGAAAAGTTTTACCTAAAACAAGTAAACTTTTAAAAATAATTTTTTTATTTTTTATTTCATCTCTTTAATTCGGCTCTATGAAAAAATATTATTAATTTGTTATATTTAATATTTTAAAATAAAAATTAATTATTTAAAAAACTAGTTTTAATTTTAATTTTTGCTTTCGCTAATTATCGCTACTTTCGCCACTCTTTTCACTTTTCTCGTCGCGCTTTCTTTTTTCAGAAAAAACAATGTTGCGTTGCCACCTTTTTAAATTTTTTCTTTCAATATTAAACAGTTTTTTCAAAAAAAAAATTTTTTGTTTTAAATTTCTTTTTTATTTTCCTGCTTTATTATTTCCCTTTATTAATTTTGTTTTGCTCCCATTTTTTACACTTCTTTATACTTCTTTTTTGTACATTCACACACTTCTCGTTTGCCTTGTTATTTCAATTTTCCGGCCAGTTTAATTGCCAGTAATCGGCAACATATCTGCGCGAGAAAAAAAAATAAAAACAACAACAGTCACATAAACAAAAATTCGCTGCAGCTTAATTAGCACCAACGGAGCGACGACGGATGGGCTGGGTTACTGTACCCGGCAGCAGTAGACAACAGTTGCAGCCACATTGTTGCAAATTAATACACTACAACAACAACAATGATAGCAAAATGCAATAAATAAAAGTAAATAAAATAAATTTATTTAATTTTTTTCCACTGATCATTTCTCGTTTGCCCCAGTCGGGAAGCCAGCGGCGCTGGGATAAATGAGACACCCCGAGGATTTTGTTAGCAATTGTATTTTAGTATATTGCTTTTATTGTAGCCTTTTATCGTGTTTTTTTTTGTCGTTTTCCTTTCCTTGTTGTCTTTGTTTCTGGGCGTCTCACGTCTGCTGGCAATGTCTATCCGCGCCTGTCAGCAGCAACTGGAAGCGGCCGTAGGGTGTAGCAGCTAACAGTGGCAATATATCCAATAACGTCTGGCTTTTTCATTTTTCTGGCATTTTTTCCATTTTCATTCTTTATTTTTTCTGCCTTGTTGCAATCGTTGGTGTTAATGTTGTCACTCTGCGCAGGCTGCTAATGAATTTTTGCTGCATATGCTATGTATGTTTGATACATGCATACATTCAACCGTACATATCGTGAATAGAGTAAACAGTATATTGAATATTTTCTTGTTGCTGATTTTGTTGCAGATATTTTTGTGTTTGTCAATCTTTTATCACTTGCCCTGCCCCCCGTTGCACGTTGCGCCTTCAGTCAACTCAATATGCATGCACGTTTTATCGTCGCGGCGCGTTTTGTTGTTTTGCCTGCCACGTAAACGTTGTGTTGTTACTTGGTCTTCCCTACACTTGGCTGTAAATTATTCTTTTTTGCGGCACTCATAGGCAAGTTTTCCGCCAGCGGCTGTTAACGATCTGCAATGCACACTTTACTTGCAATTCATTTTTTTTTTTTTTTTGTTGCTTCAGCTCTTTCTTGCTCTTTAACACTTTTATTTTTTTCTTTGCCTTTTTGCTCACACTCGTTGCATGTTAATTAGTCGCCTGTTGGCAATACATTGTTGTTTTGTTGCTGCCGTGCGCTTGTTGCTTGCTAATATTGTTGTTGTTGTTAGTGTTATTATCTTGTTTGTTGTTGCTGCGCTGTAAATAGAAATTCAAAGTGTTTTTTGTTTACTCAACTCGGCATAAAGGTCGCTTTTAAGATTTGCAATTGAATTTTATTTCTCCTTCTGTTGTATTTTTATTTTAGTTACCTAAGCGTGCAATTGTTTACATGATCAATTTAACATTAAAACTTTGACATATGTGCATATGTAGGTATGAAGAAAAATTAAAAAAAAAAATCATTTACGTGATTATCATTCTCCTGCCTGTTTAAGAGAAAAACAAAAAATCCCCAATTCGATCTATCAGCGGAAGGCGTAATATCACATTCAACTTCAGTTCGTCTAAGTGTCACGCTGTAATTCTTAATAAAAAAAACTTAGCTGGAAAGAACATATTCAAAGTAAGTCTAATAAACCGCTCCGGAATACCTACATAAAGGCTATCACGGCAGAGTGGACGCTACGATTCGTCAATTGGACCAAGTCCCCTAACAGTGAAGACATGATAACATACAAAAAGCCATAATAGAAGCAAAACCTTAAGTCAGGTGCAATCCACTTACTCTTCCCAGAGCGGAGAAACTGGAAGCCTTGGTTTCCAGAATTTCTAAATATATATACAGCTATGCTGAAGGCCCTATAGCCAAGTCGTTGGCATTGCGAAATTATTAAAAAAATTATTTTTCTACTTGCACCCGCCTCTCGGCAAAAATTGTCAAACACTCTGAGTGTATTTCTGAATAAATTGAGAATGTCCGGCCGATAGAAACTCCATATCTTCCTTGATTATTATGGTAAGCGGTACGCAAGCGTGGGAAAAAATAGAAAATTTGATCAAATCAAGCGAGCTATTCGCTAATACTTTGTTCAAAGCACAAAAAGATTACCCAATAGCTTAGAAAAGGGCGCCTGCTACCAGCTCCTCAGCCAACAAGTTAGAATATCTGAATTAAATGCTCTTCGATATAAAGGAATTCTCCACGCTTATTCAATTCCTTCTTCCAACCCACTTTTCATCCAGTATGCTGCAGCGTCTTCAAAGCAAAACTTATAGCAATCACGGAAACCGCAGAAAGGTTGCTCGGGACATCAGAAAAGGCATTCAAATTCGAAAGCACTTTAAACAAGCTAGAGGCAGCACAGCCGAGTACTGGGTGCTCGAACATAAGAAGAGACATCCTCCACACTGACTCCAATAAATTCATCATCACCCACAAAGAAGATGGCTTTCCCTAAAATACCCAGCACTAAATGTCTTAACAAAGAACTTCTAACGTTAATACGCTAAAGCCTGTATTGGACGCTTCACGATCAACACAACAACAAGCCCACTAACTAGACACTGTTTAATGGCACTTCACGGTGGGGCAATGGCATACTTTTCGAATGATTTTTGTTAAATCTGCTGAGACGAAGAAGAGGTAGAATGTGTTGAGTACCACCTCTGTCACTGTTCAACCTGAAGCACTATACGACTTAAGTGTAAGTACCTACAGTATCACTGGCTGGCTGAAGGAGCATCGTTCATAGAGCACAGAAACTAAGAAGTACACAGTCGCACCACAATGGGCCTTCAGGCTTAAGTGCGCTGGACAGTCTAACTTTTTTAGGACTCCTCTCTCCATCTCTTTGTGCAATCTCGCTTTTCGTGTGACTGTAATAATGACCTTGAACGAATATGATTTCATACGCCTGTTTTTGTTTTCGAAACACAAAAAAAGTATACAGTTATTTAGCCAAAAAATTGTAACTGGTTTTACATAAAAGCACCGAAAGTATTTAAAAAAAAGTCCCAAAAAATGTATCGAACCATTTCAATTTGGCAGCACGTACAACTTCATTAATAAACTTTTTTATAATTCAGGTAGGTGGGAACCGCCTTAATTGAAGAAAATGAATTTTTTTTATAAAAATTAAAAATTTTGGCAAATTCACATTCTAGTATTTATTCGGTGCATATGTGTATCTAAATATATTATATAGAAAATGGCGAATCCATTTTTCAAAAATAAGAATAATTTTTAATTTGAGACCATTCGATGCGGAAGTCAATTTTGTTGAACTTTTCTTAGGTAATAATCAGGACACATATACTATGAATATATGTATGTACATATATGTGCATATTGTAACTAACGCTTTGCTAATTAAAAGGCGAACTTATGCGAAATCGTATACAAGTAGTGTGAATTATGGCAGTCATGTGAGAAGTTTGTCTTTTCTCCATTAGCTCCTCGGAAGTGATGAAATGAGAAACTTCAAAAAAAAAGTAGTAATAATAATATAATAATAAATCAGTTATTCTAACTCAAGCGGTACTAGGTATAAATCACATCTATAAGACTTTATTTAATTTCATTAATTATGCAATTACGCCTACACAACAACAACAAATAAAAATATCATCTATTTATGCGCTCTAGACTCTGCACCTGTCATAATAAGCATATTAAAGTTGCATATTTAATAGTTTGGAATGAAGATTTAAACAGAAACGCGCCCATAATAATAAACCTCAACGGTAAGTACGGTAAGTTTTCAAATGACCTTGAATTTTTTTATAATAAATAAATTTTCGCATAATTGTCACCAAGGTCTGTGTAGCAAAATGTATTTTATCTACTTTTATTTAAGTACTTGTTTATCTACATATGCTGATTATGTATTTTGTACCTAATTAACAACAAAATAAAACATATATACACTATTTACAAATTGGTAAAAAAAAAACAAACAAACAAACAAGATTACCAACTGAAACCACAAAAACTAATTAACGACAAAAATATGCAATTGTATCAATATACGAGAAAACTGCAAAAAATAATAATTGTGAACTAATGAATAAAATTTGAAATAAAAAATTGCAAAAAACAGACGTAGAAGTTTTGCTATTATTAAATTCTATTTGTGTCGGTAAAAACAAAAAGAAAAAAACCTCAAATCCCTTATTAACAGCTGTGGAAATAAACTAATGTAAAATAACAGTTTTCTGCTTCAAAAAAAAAATAAAAGATTAAAAAAAAATTAATAAAAAATTTAAAAATAAATATAAACAGTTGCTCTAACTCAAACATAATTAGCAACATTAGCAAATACATGCACACAACATAGCATGTGCTTTAAAATTGACACTTACAACAAATGCTGGATCAACAGCAACAAACAACTGTTAGCTGTTTAAACGCATTTTTAATTTTATTGCAATTAAACATTTTCATTAGTCTTTATTGACTGCAACTAAATTGCATTTTAAGTGGCGCAGCGGCTAAAACAAAAACAGCCGAGGCAAATGAAACAGTTTTCAAATGAAAAAACCACGCTTGCACACATGTACGTGTATGTATGTATGTATACACATCGTGCAATGCACATATGTGGCAACTAAAATCATTAGTTAACGCACCTGCCCCAAAAATGGTTTTGGCCGAGCGAAAAAAAAAGTTTAAATAAATAAAAACTGCGCCGAATTGTCTCGAAAAAATAATTTTCCCACAGCTGTAAAAAAGCGAAAACAAGCAAAAAAATAATAATAATTATAAACATTAAAAAGAAATAAAAAAGTGATTTGTATTGCTATAACATGCTCAGATCCTTCAAAAAAAATATTTCAAAAATTGGCATTTATTTTGTATTACCGCAGAAGTCCTTCGTTACCCACCGTTCTTCATGATTAAGAAGAATATTATAGTACAAACAAAATTTACTTTAATTTAAACAAATAAAACTAAAGCGTAATAATGAACGAACGTCTGTAGGATGTGTTTTTATTTTTGATTTTTTTTTGTGAAAAACTAGTTCAATTTTTATTTATTTTTGTATTTAATATTTGGAATACTAAAAACCGTGTGAATCATACATTGCCAATTAAATTATTTATAAGCCACTAGATCTTGTCTGCTTCTTACTTTGTACGTTTTTTAATATTTATGGGTTCTTACCGAACGCAGTTTTAAGAATTTTCCATAAATTAATTTATATATTTGATTTATTCAATTATATTGTTATAATTTTATTTATGATTATTATTGTTTTTTGATTCACAATTTTTTTCGTATATGCATTTATACATAATAATTTGTACATTTTGTTTTTTTATTAATTAAATGCAGCTTTTGTTAGGTAAAATAAATTATAATTTATATTTAATTCAGTTTTTATCATTTATTAGAGATTTCAGAAATTCCTCGTGTAAACATTATTTTTGTGCAAAAAAACGCTCAAAATTCACGAATTCAAAAAATTTTTTCATTTTAATCACAAACGAAAACTATTTACTCACATTCTTTTGTTAAATTCACACTCACTCTATAACTGCATTTTTTTACTGAAGAAAACTAATTCCGTGCAAATCGTTGTGGCAAGCGCGACGACTGCGAGTGAACTGTCTCGTCTGCTGCACAGAAGGCACCAGTGAATGCAACAGCGGCCACCACCTTCAACTCCACGCAACCAGTTGCAGTTTTTGTGGTGTTTGTTGTTGTTGTTGTTGTTGTTGTTGCTATTCTTCAATGTAGCTGCAGCAGCTGAGATATAATGCCGAGATACAAACTATTGTAACAGAAGCAGCTGCTGCAGAGTGAGAGATAAATGGGATGTTTAGATACACGACAAGCATGCAGCGCCAATAACAATGAAGGGAACAACAGTAGCTTATAACAAAGCAAAGTTATGTATAATTAAAAAAAAAACACTTTTTTAACTACTGTCTCACAAATATAGAGTGTATGTGGGTGTAACATAATTTTATTTATTTATTTGCTAATTTATTTGTATATTTGATTATTAATTCTTTCATAACTTCTGTGCCAACTTCATTTCCTCTTTTTTTTTAGATTAATAATAGATTTATAAACAAAGTATAAAAGTGACAACAATAACACGAAATCAATAAAATAAATTATACACCTTTCCCTTAGCGCTGGCACCTCACAGTAATAAACGCCAAAGAAAAAAACAACGAAAAAACAACAAACACAAAACTAAATGCATTTTACGCATACATTTGTACTTTTGCTTTTATGTCAATCACTTTGTTTTTTTGTTAAGGCAACATATGTACGCGAGACCTGCAACATTCACGCCGACGGTTCATCAATGACTGATGTGAACGAACGCGCCCCCTCACTGAAGTAAACAAAAGTCTCAGCTACTCCCAGACTACTTTGTATTTTTGCACATTATTTCTAGAGCCGTTTAGACAAATAAATGAATATGCCCATGCAAACGTATACATATGTAAGCATGTATGTATATATGTGCGTATGTGACTATTGGAGTCAAGACGTTTGCTCAGTTTGTTGCTGGTGGTGGAGAAGGTGAAACTCTTTAACCCATTAGAAGCAATCGAAAAGATTTATTAAAAAGAAAAAAAAACTAAAAAATGAGTAGTTGTAGCTTTTCCATCTACTCATCTCGTTTTATGTTTTTTTTTGTCCTTACAATTATTAATGAAAATCTTCTGGGGTTCAAAGAAGACTGCTAAATTGGTGGCGCGACTGCATATTCCAAGGATCTTAACATCTCCCTTTCTTTTTGTCAACATCATCCAAAGAAAAGGTCTGTAGAGAGAATTATGAATACCCAAGAAAGGTACGGAAAATAACCATAAACTCGCTATTGCTGTTCAATTGTTGTTGTTGTAAAATTTGAAGTTCTCTGGCAGTTCATGTCAATATAACAAAGAACCTAATGGGGTCGCTAAATAAGAAGCAACTCTTGATGGATCCAATTAATACTATATCTGTTAGAAACGATCAGGAGAGAGCTTTTCTATATTTTCTATTTATTTAAGTTTTAAATTAATTTAATTGAAATCTTTATCTAACTGTTAGGCCAGCAAGTAGATTTGCCTCAAATTTTGCAGGAACTACTTAAGAACTTAAGAAATAAGGTTATATTAAATAGCCACAATATCGGGTCATTGGCCTTTTGTGATCTCACGTCTGAAATGGTCTGCCCTATAACTTTCGTTTGCTGCCACTGTTGCGGACTAGAAGAGAAGAATGAACTGGTTTTCTTTTTCTCTCTGAGTGCACTACTCTCGCACAAATTCGCAAAGGAACCATGGAATCAGCGGCCAGCACTGCTAATTACCTATCTTCCCAGAAAAAAACTTTTACTTCACAAGCTCATCCTCAGAAACCTTCAAATATATACATGCTCTTCAACATGTAAATATGTACGTCTTTTCAAACGTCTTTGCTCTAAAAAAAATAAAATTAAAACTACCCAATGTTATTAAATAATATTTAAGATAGACACCTTCACATCTTTTTTACTCCAACCTTTCCCCAACTGCTCAACCAACCTTAAATTTAGCACTTCTTCGCTTGTAGGAGTATTTTAACACGCCATATCCCTCAATGGGTTAACACTTAAGTGTAGTACGTGCGTAATTGTTCTTGACTTTATTTTTATTGTTGCTCTTCCACTAACATAAACTTTAATGCGCCTACACGACCACCGGCATCTGTTGTAATAAAAAATCTTTTGCTTTGCCTGTTCGCTCAACTTTGGAGTGTCTTTCTCACGCTCTCTACTATGCGTTCGCTCAGCTTAGCACAGGTGAGTAGATGTTGCTAGCCATTTTGTATCTAGTTGCTGGCAATATGTTGCAGAAGCGTGTAGTTTGATTATGAGAGTTTCTTTATATGAAAAAAAAGAAAAAAAGTTTTATAAACGATTAATATTTAGAGAACCAACGTAAACAATTTTTATTGTCTTCTATGTTTTTTTTTATTACTTGCCTACTTTTCACGCAGTAAAATTATATTTTTAATTGGCTCCACTTGCCGTCGTTTAATACATTTCCCATCAAAACGCTCCCCGAAGCGCAACTAATTAACACACAAAAAACTCATAGAAAATTCCTTAGAAAAACGATATTTACGCCAACCAGATCTTCTCTACGCTTATCGCCCGAAGTAGCTCAAGACGCAGACAGGTAAGCGCTTCAAATTTTCCTTTTGAATTGCGCCACAGACTGACCGCGCTGAGAAGGTCAACAATGCAACGACCATTTAAAAAAAAAAAAAAAAAAAATATCGCCGTTGCTGAGCATTGAAGGCGTTCTTGACCGCTGGCGTGGCACAAGGTGCAAGTACGTGCCCATTTCAATGGCCGGTGGGTATGTGTGTGTGATCATGCGTACTTTTTCGAATTACTTTTGTTTCTTTTTTCTTTTTTGCCATGCCATATGCAGCATTTAGTGGCAGCTGCGCGCTGCAGAGTGGCAAATATGCAGTGTAATGCAATACTCTGCAGTTGGCTCAGGAGCATGGGGGAACAAAGAAGAATGGATCAATGGAGCACAACCAAAAGGTTCAATTAAAGATTTTTTCCAATATAATCTCTATACTTTTCTGTATTATTTTCCGAATCTTGGCATTGTCAGCACACTCAACGGTGATGGTTTGGTTCGAAACTGAGCATGCGCAGCGCCGATTCTGCTGAGCAATTTAAACTAATAACCACATAAAACACTCACTTTTCTTGTTGCTTCCTCTCATCATTTTGTCTGCTGAAATTGACTGGATTTTTATTTTTCATTTATTAATTCCAGCATATTTTTACTGTTTGCTTAGCTCAAAGTGAAAGGATACAAACACAACGATGATAAGGATGCATCAGCATTTTGGGCTTGATTGGTTTATTTGTTTTCTGCTGGTACTCTTATTTACATACCCATGTTGTGTATATTTATTTGTGTATGTTTATGTTGATTTCGCTTGAAGGTGACGTGTAGGAGCGCGCCAAGTCAAGTCAAGCGACGTACTTAAGTTCATAAATCAGTTGTCTTGTCAGCAATCTTTTCTCATACATTTATATACATGTGAGTATGTGTGAGCATTTGCTCCATTTTCGCTTGGCGCTCTTGGTGGTCCATATGTTTGGCAAATAGTTATTTATAGACTCGTACAATGAAAGGGAAATATTTACATACTACGTGACTCGGCTCAAGAAACAGGTTTAGGTTTCAGAGAATTCGGTTGAAATAATAAGATTTCTTGGATATCGGCAAAAAAAATTTTGAGAGATGAATTTTCACAGCTCCTTACTACCCGAAAGGCAAATGACCCGTGCGACATCATAAAAACTACCCGTATAGCGCAGGAAAAATGTTTATAAACCAAATTTAACATTTTTAAATATATGTAACTTTGTAACCGCTGAAGCGATTTTCGGCTTTGCCTTGATGTTTTCCAACGAATGGAGGGACATACAGTTTATACTGAACCGCCTCCGAACGGCTGATGGTTTTTTTATGAGGAGCCTTTCCTTCATGTCCGAAATATACTCAGAGGGGTGAACATTCCCTGCCGAGGAGCGGCCGCAATTAGAAAATTTAACTTAATTTTTTATTTAAATTAATTTTCCATAACTTTTGGATGTTGGTCGCACGATTATGTCTTTCTGCTATGCCTGTTTCAACGGGAGTAACAGGAATAACTTAATGGCATAAATGTCTCTGGCTACCGTTACTACAAATTAATTTAAAAAATAAAAATAATTTGTTAGGTAAAATGAAATCAGCTTCTTTCCATTAAAATTCATGCATAACTTTATACTTTGCAGAACGAAAATCAAATCTTTTTCAGCTTCGGCATAATTTCGTGTCTTTTTTTTTCAAGCAATTAATTCCTATGCGACACATGTTAAGGAGGTTGGATTTTAAGGAAGACTGTCGAGACATACAGAGCAAAGGTAGTCACTCCCTTTAGAGAACTTCACAGAAAACTTAGCTCTATGAAAACCATTCTGGTAGGAATCCTCGTGTTCATAGCCTTACCAGCTTTAATATAAGTCGCCCTATATTTGGCTCGTCTGTGACCTGGGCCACGACAATCCGTATTAATTTTCGATCGCCTTAGAGCTCATTCCTTGCACCGCCGCGGGTGATTAATTAAAGGCTCCCCCTGCGGGTTAGGGGCTCAAGAATTTACCCGCGGTAAGGCATGCCTGTCGTAAGAGGCGACTAAAATCCAATAGTTCTCGCGACAGTCGGGTCTTTATACCGGAACGACCCGGATTTTTATCCGGCCAAGGACTGTCACTCCCGCAACATTCCCCAAAAAGTACTTTGGGGAATAGTTTTGCGGTTACAACAACAACAACAACATTAATTAAAGGCATAAAAATGCAAAGATTCTTCTTAAATAAATAGAAAATCGTTATTACTTCCTACGATGGCTGATGTTCAGTGTGTTTCAACTTCAAGCAAGTTATTGAAATCAACTCCTTATCCACGAAATTACATATTCAACTGACTCAAATAAAGATATCACGACTTTTGAGATGTTTTTAAAAAGCCAATGCAAAGAATGCGAGTTGAGAATGAATATGCACTTATATAGTACATACATGCATATGTCTATGATGCTGCAAGGCAGTTCAGAATCCACAACCAGCAGTGGTCATTAGATACTTTCTGAGAACTTGCTTGGCGTAGTGCACGTCTGAAGGCCAAAACGATTGGAAGAAACGCGTCTCTAACAATGAGTAACGAATAATCGTATGTAAGTATGTACATCCATTTAACCATCATTTTGCTCTAACTAAAAAGCCTGCCAGCCTGCCAGCCAGCCAACCAACCAGCCAGCCAAGTTCGCCCACAACACTTTTTGTGGCGGCACGGCTCGGTGGGGCGCTGATCTTCAAGCCGGCAGCTTTTCTCCAAAAATGGCAGTGGACGATGTTGCTGTGTAAGAGTTTATAACAACAACACGAGTTGGCAATTTGTTAAAATTTTATTGCAGAAAATGTGAAAGACACACTAACAGAAGTATAGAAGAAAAGAACAAAAAATCTGACAGAATGAAGTTTTTTAAAAGCACCAATTCATTAAACAACCAACGCTAACAGTGGAAATGAAAAGCCGTGGTTTTTGTTTTTGTTCTTTAATTTTCAGATGGAATAAAGTCTAAAGAATTTCGCACATAAAGCCGCACATCGAGGTATAGTGGCGCAAAAATGTACTTAAATTTTTGAAAAAAAAAAAAGTTTTCAAACGAAAAAGTTCAATATTCAGCTCTTAAGTTTGACCAGTCCCAGACTGGACCTAAGGACAATGAATATGCAATAAATATGTATATAGATCCTTCCATTATTTTATTTTTCTAATTTCATATTTATTTTCTCTACTACAAGCTCGGGCTACTCAAATTATTTTTGATCGCAATTAATACAGTTTTGGGCCACTGTGCAACGTAGCAACGATAGTAGTGTACGAATGTAGCGGCAATTAACCCGCGGTCGCGTGAGTGTAGGTCAAGTTGCCGGCACTCGAGGCGCGAAATATACAAGCAAGCGTAGGAATGTATGTATGAAAATATATACTCGTACGTATCGAGACACTCGTATGAAGAGGAGTAAGCGTGCCGCATCCACGGCATGCGAATCGTTCCTTTCTTTATTATTATTATCAGCAGTAAACTGACCATTATGTATATTTGCACATATTTTTTTGAACATTTTCGTAGCGAAATTATAATTGCCATGCAGTAGCACGAAACACAGCAATGGCTTAAGTATATATATGTACGTATGAAATGTGGCAGCAGCAGACAATCGCCGAATATCCATTTGTTGTATCAATGTCTGTTTTTGTTCCGCTTGTTGTTGCTTGCCGAAGTCGTTAGCCAAGTTAACAAGCTGGTGCTGCCACTGCCGCTCTTTCGTTAAGACTTTTACTTATTGGCTCTTTATCATTGTCTTTGATGTTGTTGTCATTCATCGTTGTAATACCGTTTGCCTTTGTCACACACTCCATCGCACTTCCTCTCGACTGTGTTGAGGTGAAGGAGCAATTGTGCGCAGACATTAATCTGGCGAAATGGATGACAAACGCAACATGCTGCACGCAACAGCAGAATCATGACATGGAAACATACCTACAGACGTGAGGATGCAACGGTAGACATTCTCCTCATTCTTCACATTTATTCATACTCAGATGCAGCTCAGATTGTCTTGGAGTTACAATATTTAATGCAAAACGCCTAACAAACTAGAATAATAAAGGTTAACGACGGTTTTTGAAGGCAGCTCAATTTTTAAGCTCAAACTGAAGTTTAACCGTAACTTTCAACTGTTAAAATCCCTTTGAATTTCGCAGCTATCAACTTTTGCCAAATGCTATATTAAGGAATTTGCATACTGATTTCGTAAAAAACTTCACTGAGAATCCCCAAAAAAATAGCTCACAGAATTCTCGAAGTAAAAATTGTTATTTTTTAAATAAGTGTATATTTTGGCGGCTGCGGTAGCTTTGCGTGCCGCCATTCGGAAGGCTCGGGTTCAAATCCAAAAAATTATAAAAATTAATTTAAAATTTTTTAATTGCGGTCGCCCCTCGGCAGGGAATGTCTATCCCAAAGAGTATATTTCGGACATGAAGGAAAGACTCCTCATAAAAAAATCAACAGCCGTTGGGAGGCGGCCTACAAGTAGTATAAACTGTAGGTCCCTCCATTCGTTGGAAAAACATCAAGATGCAAAACTACAAATTGGAGGAGGAGCTCGGCCAAAAATCGCTTCAACAGTTACAAAGCGCCAGAAAATTAAATCGTAGCTAAACACAATATTTTGGAGCCTCATAATCTCCCCATTCAGTGACATATTTTTCCTTTTCTCAAAACTTCAGTGATTTCTGCTTCCTTTTTTTAAAATATAATGTCGTTGTAAAAATCTTAGGCGGTTTCTAAAAAATATTTAAAAAAAAATTTACAAAAAGAAAGCTTGAATTTGATTTGCTTCTCATTTTCGGAGCCACAACTCTGTGAATTATGCATATGTACATACATATATCATGATAAATTTATGCCTAAGAATTCTCTATCAGAAAAATTAAAGCTGGAAAAATTTATTTTTGAACTGTAAGTGAAACATTGAACTTTCCGTAAGTGTGTTAAATCATTTCCAGAAAATTAAACTATTCTTCACACACTGGATTTACTAGACCTAGCTAGTCGCATACCGATTCATAAACTTCAAAATATTTCTCCATTAATCTGCTCGTATCCGCTGGTGGAGCGGCTTTTATTAATCACTTTAGACGCATAAGTGTCAATACTTCAACACATATAGAGCGTTTTATTAAATAAATCATCAACAAATTCAAAGCCAACAACAACATCGACGACAAAATTCATTCACGCCAATCTGTCTATCGTGCCACTCGCCGTTGCATGTGCAACAACACACAAATGACATTCGCGTGCAGCTACTCAATACAACAACAAACAGCGACAAGAGCTCTAAGCGGCGCAAAGCTTTACATTTGAAGCTCCTTATCGCGAACTTAGTAGACGCCAGCGTGTTTCTGCTGTACAAAGTTTTTAGCATTGAATATATGTATGTATGTTTGTTTATCTGTCCACCCTGCTATCTATTAGCCGTGCATGCTTCGCCGCTTCATTGCCATTAGCCGCACTCTGCGCCTCTCCATGTTGACATTTCAGATTACACGCCAAAGCTTTGCGAAGCGCGTTAATGCAATGTTGTGCGCTAACGAAGTTGACATTTTGACATATGAACGCGAGGCATGAAAATGTTGTCGATATGCTCGCGTATTTCACCTTTATTTGCATTTGAATTCCTCGCCTCAAGATACAACGCCGCCACCTTCCAGCTCAGCTGGAGCGACCACAGTCACACGTTCATAAGTACATACGAGTACATATGCCTACGTGTATGCGTCACAACAATCTTGCAGCTGCAGTGTTGTTTTGAATTGAGAATAACTAGATCACATGCAACAGAAACGAATCCAGTCACAGCTACTCGTATGTATCTACATACATACATATTTAGAAATACATAATATATATATGTACATATATTCAAATGCGATTTTGTACGCACAGACATAAATATTTAGCCGATATAAAGTACTTAGTAATAAATTCTTTGAGTTGATCAACCAAAGCTTATTGATGTGACACCACGGTTGCGTTTGCCTGGTTGAGATCGTAGAACTTTCAAAAACGACCCCGTAGCAACTCAAAAAATATTGCGTTTTTTTTTTTTTTTGATAAAAATATTTTTTTATTCATTAATTTTTTTGGCGCTCCTCAAAGTAGTCTCCGTAAGATGTAACACACTTCCGACAGGGGTTTCCCCCAACCCTCGCTTATAACTCTACTATATTCTTTTTGACATATCCTTAAGGTCTTTCAGTGATTGAGATCTTATCTCTTTAATTATTTCAAAAGTAGTTTTTCAATGGATCTCTTCAATACTGCAGATATACTATGGAAATTGTTCTGAAAGGCAAACAACTAGGAGAGTAAAAAAGGCATCCTCAGCAAAACAGCAATCTCTTAAAGTCATACAATGATCTACATAACCCTAGTGAAGCCTATTATATTTTATAGAGTTTTCAAATGGAAAAGTTGCACTAGCTAAGCAGCTGTAATTAATCCAAAGTAAGGCTAACATTTGTGTATTTGTGGTGTAATGCAAACTAGTATAGTGTCCGTGGACATTTCATCATATTATCGCTGAAAAGTTGTGTTACCGATTAGCTTTACTTGATCTCGGCTACTACGGATTATTGTACTATCGTGCTAGCGCCGAATTATTCTTTCCCCTCCGTAATTGAGCTTAGGACTGTGAAGTAATGTTTTTTAGCACTGCAACATCAACTTATTTCAGAGTAAAAGAGCAAGTATAACGGGTCACAGCGGAATTAACGGGAACTGGAAAGCTGACAAGCTCGTGTGTCGTTGCCACAGCATTATTAGTGCCGTACAAGGCGCAAATAGATGACTTACTGTTCTTATGCGGCCTACTTCTGGATAGGAAAGCCTTATGGATACATCTGGCCTAGATGGCCCGCGGAAGGTTACAGATTCTGCTTTAAGTCCCAATACCATGAAAAATATATTACAAATTCTTTATATTATAATTTGGTTTATTTTTTCACCATTATAAAACTTCAAACACTCTAAACTTGCCGGAATAAAAGAGATAATGTAAAATATTTGGTTGCGAAGTCTCTAGCCCGGAAAGTAAATATTATTCCCAAAAGGAACATAGCAAAATTAAGATCCTTAAGCAAAATACTAATATGTACGTAAGTAAGTAAGCGCTGTAAGTATTTCTCAAAATAACAATAAACAGTTATATTACTAAACACAAAAATGTAAAAAAAAATCAATTCCACTACATTTTGCTATAGCCCACTTAAAACTAATGTCTCTAAGTAGTTTTTCTTTTCTAGGTTAGGTGTCACGACTTTATAGTTTCGCCTTAACCATTGAACTAGACTCGAACTCGGTGGTTTGTTTTGGTGACGCAATGTCGCTCCCCTTTTTACTTTCCTTCAGCCACTGTTCCTCGGTTAGTAGATTGCCGGCAGCGAAAATATTTTTCGGGTCGAATTGTCTTTTTGCCGCCAAATACAGCTCGCTACCGGCCGTTGAAACTGTTTGTTCATACCATTTGCTACGTATTTTCCCAATACCATGATGATGTGAGAGCGAGCCGCCGGAGGCGAGTATCTCGTCTCGCGCGCTCGTCTCAATCTGCTCGAATGTGTCGACAGGATCTGCAATGCCCGTGTGCTTGAAGCCGAAGTAGAAATAAACGCAGGCGCCAACGTCGTAAGTCTGCGTCACACGACATGAGATAAGAAAATCCTTTATGTCGCGCGTGTGACATTCCTAAAAAAATAAAAAGATGGACATGAAAGGGAAAGAAGACCGGATGAGTGCATAAAGCGCAAGTAATAAAATGAGCACAAAGATGAATGCCTCAAATCTTAATTGCACCATTAACTTATCAAATAAACTTTAAATTTATAAACGACTCACCGCTTCCACACGCCGCTTCACATTCCTACAGAGCGCACTGCAGCGATCCCACGGCACCGAAGTCTCAAAGGACTCGGCGACAATTTGCTGGTTCAATGCGAAATCCTGCAAGCAAAACAAAAGAAGGCAAATAAGAAAAACATAACAAATATGCACGCCTTTGTTTCGTTTTCTTTGTTCACCCACCCTTATGTACGCAATGACGAACGTCAGTATATAACCACGTTCGCCGTTCTGTCCACCTGCCGGAAATCCCTTAAACTGCTTGGCAATCTCATAAATAAGTACCTCCTGTCGTCGCACATCCTCTTCCTCGCCTTCGAATAGCAATGTGGCTGCACACATTTTGGTCAAATCCAGTCCCTTCCATGTCGTGATGTATGTCTTCTTCAGTGAGTCGATCATATTAGCCAGCCAACCCCGCACTGGCTTCAGTGATTGACCCAAAATAAATTGCTCGTTATCCATTAAGCGAACCGACGCCGGTTGACAGCGTCTACGAGCGACTTCGCGCATAAATTGCACGCCTCGCTCGAAATCTGGAAATACAAGTGAACCGTAACGCTTAACCGGTGGTAGTGGCCGTACTTTCAATACCACTTCCGTAACAACGCCAAGTGTGCCCTCAGAACCCATTACGACTTGATTGAAGTCCGGTCCGCAAGATACGCGCGGCGCCATGCATTCACGCTGCAACACAGCACCCGTGGCGGTGACCATGCGCACGCGTACCACCAAATCCTCAATATTTCCGTAGACATTTTTCTTCATGCCGGAGGCGCGCGTCGCCACCCAACCGCCAAGTGTCGAGAACTCATAGCTATCCGGTTCATGGCCCACAGTCAAGCCGAGCTTATGCAGCTCACGCTCCAAATCCTGACCCACAATACCAGCCTCAAAACACACTGTCAAATTTGTTTTATTCAGCCACAATAAACGATTCATCTGTGAAGTGTCCAAAACGCATATCATGCGTTTCTCCGTCTGCGGACAGGTAATGGAACCAGACACTGAAGTACCGCCGCCATAGGGTATAACAACAACATTATGTTTATTTGCGAGCGCCACGAGTTCCACGACTTCGTCGTGCTGCCGTGGCCAGACGACAATATCAGGTATGCGTTTAAATTCGTTGCGCCAGAGATAGTAGATATCATGCAAGGTCTGACCATGACAACGTATCAGCCGATCCTCGCCCGACTGAGAATGGTTAAGCCTAGAGGATTGAAGTTCACGCAAAAATGGTGCATTGACGGTGGGTTTTGGGAACTCGGTAGGCATTTGGGGATATGGCGTCTTTTCGTTGACACGCAAGTGGAACTTGTTGTAAACCCAATCGGTGAAATACGGCAACGTACAGCCTTCGAGCGGGTATCTGAGGAGAGAGTGAGATATATTTTAAAACATATTCGAGTAGGCGGAAGCTAAGCTAATAAGTGTATACAAGGATGTATGTATGTATGTTTGTATATATGTATATATGTAAAAGTGGGCACTTGCTTAATCATCAGTAATTCGGATTCACTCTGCCGAGTGTTTAGTTGCCCATATTCTCAGGAAGCTCTTGGCAAATGTCATCAAATCAATTTTCTTTTTCTACTGGACTTCGCTTTGGCCTTCAAATGTCCAATCGGTCGCTAAATCTTTCCTTACAATTTTCGGAATATCCTCCTATCAGCCGCTTCTTAAAGTGCGAGGCAGACTCTTCCTTATTTAGTATCACAAAGCATTGTACTTCGGCATCCCAGGTTATTAATGAACTGGAGACAGCACTCCGCATCGATTTACTCGCCCATAATGACTGTAGCGTGGCGAATCGAGCGCCAGAAAAATGCACGTCAAGCGACGTCACAGGAAATGTTCAATATTCTCGCCGAGTTGACGCTGCCAATTGTAGCCACAAAACTCTGGCTTATACCAGTTTGTATATTCAGAATAAGCATTTCGTAAACAAACATACATACATATGCACATATACACATGTATACACTATACGTGTATATGTAAGTGTAGAGTAATTAGATTTAAAGAAGACAATATACCGTTACAACATGAGAATATAAACACATGTTACTCGACTACATACTTGTCGCCCTTGAAGCCAATAATGCCATTGTCCACATAGAATTGCGAATCTTTATAGCCCCAGCCGTACCATTTCAGCACATCCTGTCTGCAGCGAGCCGGAAAGCAAGCAAAATATATTTATAGTTTCAAAAATTTATGAATATATTTCAGAGTCCCAGAAACTCAGTACTCACCGCTTCTGTGGATATACACTCTCCACTTGCTGCGAGAAACGTTTATCCAGCGTCACAGCGGCTGCAGCGGTCATATTGACCGGCTTGCTATTACATTCACCAGCACCACCACCAGCGGCAACGGCGGCTAGCGGCAAAGGGTTAACGTGCTGATTTGTTGTATGCATTTTTAACAATTTTTTCTTTTTAATCAAATTTGGTTACTTTCAAAGTTTTCTAGCGCAAAATTGCAATTATCCAGTGTTTATTTGTTAAAATGAGCTTAGTTTCGTGTGTATTTTTAAATTGACGTCCCACGTCTCGCTATTGCGGGCACAAGTGCGTGTGGTTACGCACCAAAAATCGATTTTTTACAATTGTATTTTGCAAATTACTCTTTCAACGCCAGCGCTTCGCTCAAGTAATTCACTTTGTTTCTATTAATTAATTAATTAATTCTGTATTTTTTTAATTTATATTTTCAACTATTTTCATTTACTTTGCGTTTTTTGTTTTCTACACTTTTTCCATTGCCCTTAAGTTCAGCCGTCAGTCATGCAGTTCTGCCGTTAAGCACTCACGATGTCGCCTGCCGTTCAACTAACTCATCGTCTTAAGTGAGTGAGTCGAGTATCAGGGGTGTGCAGTAATTTCGTTGGCAAAGCGTCCAAGGGAGGTAAATAAATGCTTTCCAACATATGTGATATGAACGCCTTGAGTGATAGTCACGGTTAGCCGGCGCATTGTGACACTCGCTCAAGCGCTCAAGTTGAGTGAAACCCTGTGGTGCAAATCTAAATGCGTGAGAGTGAACGCTTATGGAGTAAAGGCGTCTAATTTATATTTTGCTCTTACTATATTTTTCGCACATGTATTTGCCCTAATTTTTAATTCTCAGTTGTATGACTGCGTAATATTTAGTAGGCGTGTTGCAAAGTAAAGGAAGAGTCTTCAGTGTCGAACCGAGAACAGCACGGCTTTTCATCACGGGAAGAACTAAAGATAAACCGCAGAGTGCACCCTAAAAGCCGAGCCGAGCGCGAGGATGATGAATCCGAGAATTGCTTTTTGAAACTGGACATATAGCAATCAGAATCTCACACTCAGAATATTAGCCGACCTCAGCCAAGCACAAAGTTGACCGATGCGGGAGAACCAAATTTTAATCAGTTTTCCAACAATCACTTACGCTAAGATTGTCTGTTTTATCAGACGTTTATTATAATGGCACCCAGTTCAAAGGACTAGAGGAGACATCGAAAATTAACGTTAAGCTTTCTCTATCTGTGAATACAAACGGGCCAATGGATCTATGTAAGGCGTCAGTGTAGCCTAACATAACAAGGGTTAAGAGTTCACCAAAATCTTCTTTCTACTTAAAACCAAAAGAAATAAAGATATTGGCGCAAATATTGTTTATCTGAGTAAACCATTTTTAACTAATATTTGTTTAAACCCAAGGATTTTAACTAAATTGAGATAAGCTTGCAATCCAATGCTGATTCTCGCATCCCCTCTTCGTTACCAAATATTAATCAGTGCCGATCGAAAAACTTGTTTGCCTTCTCTGAGATTTCCAAGCTTGTCTGCAAAGCGAAAAACGCCAAAGCTATGACACAAGGAAAATTTTTATCTTCTTTGCCCTTTGTACGATGTATATTTTGTGGGCTCTTCACTTTGTTAACTACGAAAGCTGGGCAGTCATTGAAGTAGTATTTTTTGCTTTCCTTAAAGGTTAGTGGCGGCTCAGTGAACTCTTTTTTCTTTTTGATAATTGCTAAAAAAAATATAAATAATCCCATACTACTACTGCTTTTGATTGCCTCACTTTCAGCTGCACCCAACAAAAGTTTTGCTTCGATCAAACACTTCCACCTTTAACTCAAGTTCAAACTGTTTCATAATAGATCACCTCTACATTTATAGGTAAAATGTCGGTTAAAATATTAAGGTTCTCGGTTGAATTCTATCTCCTTATACTAAGCGCTTGTGGTGACTTTCCACTTAAAGTTATTCCGGATCTGATAAGACTAATGTAGAGTCTACCCAAGGTAATTACCGCAAAAGGTCTCTGTTTGGAGTGCTTTTTTGGTTTTGCATTCGACATCCTTCCACTAATTAACTGTTTTCTGTTCATTAAAATTTCCCAAACAAGCGACTGTTATCTTCTGGGGGATTTTCATATTATTATTATTATTTAAAAAAAAAAAAAAACTTCAAGTCCAGGTGTGCTTTTTCTTAACTTATTCCACCTTTTTCTTTTTGAACATAGAGTCATCGTTTGATAGAGTTGTTATCATTCGATTAGATTATTAATTCACGATAAAAACACAATAAATTTTGATAATTTGTATAAAGTATGCCCTGACATAGTTTAAAAAAGATTAACATTGGGTAACCATAAATATGTATGTGTTGCTCACGGAAATGCCTAGCGACTGATATGAAATATGAGCGACATACTCAAATTTCTTGGACATGCGCAAGACCCAATGGTGTTATTCACATATAATGTAGCTGCGAAAAAATATAATTTACTCACACGAGGAACTTTTAGATATATAGCGAGTAAGTATGTAAGTAAGAATCTTTGGTAAAGTCAAAATATTTCTCCTTTTTTTTTTTTGTTACAAGCTTTTGAATCATAATCTGGAGAGTTCTTCATAGGTTTTCAATTAACTGTTGTTCTTATTAAAAAAAAAATTATGTAGATGACTTTTAAAAATTATACCAAACAAGTAAAATACCCCACAGCAGTGTAAAATGCATAATGTATGTATGTTTTTCTTAATAACATATAAATATGTATGTGCGTAAGACCGGCAGATATGACGCATGGTATTCCAAATATCTTTATTCACATACATGCGTATGCATGTGTATAAAGTGTGTAATATTTTCGTCTTAAGCAAATGACAACACCATGTGTGCGCTGCTTAGTTGATAATAATCAAATGTATTTTAGCTGTAAAAGTGGCGCACATTTTTTTTATCACCACACTCATTTTCCACTCAAATGAGGCACTCGAAAGAGGAATGGGAAGATCGCTCACTCTTTTCACTCTTTTTTTCGGCTTGAGAGGGTGAAAATGCAAGGAACTCAGTCTTATCTTTGAGTTAAAAACTCAGAACCATACCAATTATAAAAATAACTCACGAGGAAATATTTTAAAACGAATATTTCAAGTCTGCTAAAAAAGTTTGACAATAAAAAAAAAAATATCATACCGCGTAGTTTAGATAAAATGGCGTGAGTTTAAGTTTAAACACCTGCACCACGCACTATCTACTTTTGTCTTGTTTTTGACTTTGAAGATAATAATAACCGGCTGAAATTTAATTGAGATTTCTCTACGCCGTATACTCAGAATAAACCGTTATTATCGCATTACTTCATATATTTTTGTAAACTCAGTATTATTAATTGCTGTATTTATTGCCAGCAATTGCTTTATCATATTTTAAACCCTTTCTCTTTTTATTTTATCTCCATTTTGTTTCATTTAATTTTTGTTTAATTTTATTTTATGTTTTTTATTTGGTTTTTATTATTTTATTTTTCTTTTTATTTTTTAACATTATTTTTTTTTTTAATTTTTTTTTCCAGTTTTTTTTACTTAATTTTATTTAACGTAATTTAATTTAATTTTATTTTATTTTATTTTCTGTGTTTTACATAACTCTTTTATATACCTACGCATACATATGTGAACTTATGTTTATTTTTCTCTTTATTTTTAATTTAATTTTAAACTTCTTCACTCCAAATTCAATTTTCGCAAAAAATTTAGTAAAATTACATCTGGCTGTAATTGTTGTACTGATTTAAGGGGTACACCTTGTGTGAAGTTTTTTTCATATTTCGGTAGATTACACCTTTAAAAATAACATATTAAAATGTCAAATCGATATCTCAAATAGTTTTTGAGTTATAGCAATTTATAGAGCAGCCGCTCGGCAGTTAGATAGTCTCATTAGCTACGAGTGAAAACGATGATTTTATCTTTAAACGTGTTTTTCTTGTGATCCGATTACTATTGAATTTTTTTTACATGTTCTATATATAGTTCTCCGTACAATGAAATGTCGAATTTTGATCTGATCAAAAAATCTAATTTTGCAGACCAAAAACGACCAAAATTTTGGGTAAAATTCTAGTATTTTTTTTAAAACGCCGCCATATTGTCAATTTTTGATTTTTTTTTATCGTAGCTCATTGTACAGACAATAATATCCAGAAAGAATTGTTATTTTAAATTTCACCCACGGAGATGCCCGGAATCACTGCAGCAGTGAAGGACCCTTTTTTCGCGACGTTGGAGATCGACTATAACTTAAAAATAATTAATTTTTTTCTTCAAAAACTTCACTGTATATTCTTGAAACATGTGTAAATATATTCTTAAAATTTTGAAAAAATTGATAAAGTATTTTTTTAATAAAAATTCCGAAAAATCACCTTTTTTTAGGCCATTACACTAGGTGTGCCCTTTAAAGGTATACAAATATGCTGATGTTGGGACTAACTTATGTATGCATGTACATATGTGTTTCGGTATATTCTCAAACAAACTTTTTGTTGTATCACTGTACTGTATCCCAACAGCTGACGCCTTCTCACGCTGCGTGGCAATTCATTATTTCTTATATCCTGAATATTGCCATACAAACGTGCATTATTAACTCGTTTTTCAAACAGTTTTTACTTTTAAAGGAGGTCACGTAAAACGGTCGGAGGAGAATTTAAAAATAGAACCAGGTATTCTTGGTTTATAAATTATTGATTTATTTTTTGTATATATTTTTTTTTTCTGTGACGAAAGTGCACTAGGCTATGTAATATTTTTTTATGTTAGTTGCGCTAGCTTTGCTTAGTAAATATAAATTTATGCATTTATAGAATTACATATGTACATATGCACACATATGTGGGTATATTTCTTACACCAGACCTAACAATCAACGCGCTCTCTTCGATTGGAACACTTTACCGCTACGAATTCAAATGCCGCAATGATTGTATGAGCTTTTCGCATTTGTAAATCGCCTCTGACAGCTAATCGTCTGTCCACAACTTTATCAGTTTCAACACCAATGAGTTGAGGTGTTATTTAACTGTATAGCTAAAAAAAAACTTTAAAATATTTTATCATAGTTTTTTTTTTTTGTTTAAATGATTAAACAATTTATTTGGTTTAAGAAATCCCTCTAGTGTGCCAAATATTTACACATTTCCTATATAAGTTTGAATATATGCATATGTATGAATGTACTCATATGTGAAATATTATAAACACATTTGAAAGTAAACTGCATTAGGCAAATATTGAAGTGCCTTTGGGTGTTGCAAATATTTATACTGTATTTACATATATAAATAGGGAGTCTGCAGCTGTTAACTGGCATAGTTGTGCGTGACATAGCGGAAGTTAGTTCGAACATCGAAGCTTAGTACAAAAAACGAAACATTTTATATATGGTTTTGCATAGAAATTGTTAACGAGTTTTAACTAATGCACAGAAATGTGTGAAAAACTTGAGCTTTTGATTTTTTTCAAAAAATAAATTAAAATAAATACTTGAGTATTTTTTGTTAGCAGAGCTATAAATTTTTGGAAAAAATAAAATAAAATCGTCTGCTGTTACAAACAATAGTACGTAAACTAGCACTTTGTGCATAGATATGTACATATGTATGTGTGTGCTCAAGTGGTTATGTACATACATACATATAAATGTATGTGCATAGGGGTATATATTGGCATTTCACATCATGACATATTTATTAACAAAATGCAAATTTCGTTTGCTTATATGTACGTACCTATGTATGTATGTATATGCATTTATTTATTGTAAGCCTAAGCCACTTTCAGTTTCGTAAATTTTCTTTCTGTTTACTTTTTTTTTGCAAAAAAAAAGTAGAAAACTGCTACTACTTGTTGATTGGTTGTTTGTTTGAAAGAGGAGGTTGAGTGTCTGGCTTCCCTGTGCGTTCCAAAGCAACTTTTTGTCTATCATTAATTTTACGCAACGTTTGAAAATATATTGTTAGTTGGAAATTTTCAAAACAAAAATAAAATAATAAGTCCAATATTTGCTCAACTCTAACTAACTAATTTCCCGCAAAAGCAATTGATTTGTTTTTTTTTATATTTCAAACCAGTTGAGTAAAGGATGATGATTTTGTTAACATGTTATTTAGCCATTAGCATTGTTTAAACGAGGCGACAACAAGCAAAACTCCATGGCACACCCTACAAAGCGCTAGTGAAGAGGTGCTATATATGTGTATGTATGTATTTGCAGCCACAGAAGAGAAAAATTGAAAAAGTCGTGAGTTTTTCAGCTATACTACATTTTTTGTGCTGAAACCGGGATGGAAAGATTTATTTCAGAATGTGCTTTGAAGAAACTGCTTATACAGGTTAGAGAAAGTATTCCCAAATGTTACGGCCATATTAGCCGTTTTATACAAATAAAACGCAAACGACATGCACAAAAATATTTAAATCCCATAAACTAAATCCGTTAGAAACTTGTCGGCATTAGTAGAGTACAACTCTGCGCTATAACAGTGCTTACGAAACACAGCGTACTGAAATACACATGTCAATACTAAATTCTATCCATATCGTTAATTGCATCTGTGTATAAACTTTTATTACTTATAATTCTATTTAGTTGTCCCGAAAACGTATAAATATGAGTGAAGAACATACAAATTTGAAAAAGGAATGGACCGACGAAGAACGCTTGGCATTGGCTGAAAGACTAGAGGAGGAATTGGATGTCTTTATTGATGGCTTAGAAAAAAAACGTTATGAAGAAGGTTGGCCAGAAGACCGTTGGCAAGAGGTAACAAGAAGTGCGCAGTTATTATATATGTAATCTTTCTTATCATATTAAAAAAATGTATTTTAGGAAATGGATAAGCATCCTTTTTTCATGAAAAATACACCTCAGCCTGGTGACGAAGTACATCCAATGTTCGAAGGCCTACAAAAATTGAAATACGATCCGGAGGAGAACACAGCTGAAGAACTTGCGCTCAACTATAAAGAAGATGGAAATTTTTATATGAAACATAAGAAGTTTCGTACGGCAATAATCAGCTTTACTGAAGGCTTAAAAGTTAAATGTGAAAATCCCGAAGTTAATGCTGTGCTCTACAACAATCGTTCAGCGGCGCACTATTTTCTTTTTAATTTTAGGTCAGAAACTGTGAAAGAAACTAAGTTACCATCAAAACTTTAATTTCTATTCATATCCAACAGATCCGCACTTATCGATGCTCAAATTGCTTTAAGACTTAAACCGGATTATGCAAAAGCGCGCTGGCGTGCCGCGCAGTGTGCACATAAAACGAAGAAGTACGAATTGTGTACCAAATTCTGTAATGAAATATTGGAGTGTGATGAAAATAATAAAGAAGCGCGAGATTTGTTAAAGGAAAATAAAAAGAAAGAGGTTGCTCAATATTTCTATTTATAAAACTAAATTATGAAACTATATTATATTTAACTTTACAGTTATTGTTAAGCCATTATGAACGAAGAGAACTGCAAAGAAAGAAATCACTGGGTGCAAAGCACATACGGCTCGTTAAAGCATTGGAAGAACGTGGCGTTAAATTCGTGAAGGAAGGAAAAAGAGCACCAATCACAGAAAAAATTTTACAGTCGGCGTCAGGTATGGCAGGTCATACAGTACATTTGGATGAATATGATAACAAAACACTTGTGTGGTCTCTGGCTTTTCTGTATCCAAAATTTTCAATTGGCGATTATCAGGTGGATATACATGAAGATGCATTGTTAGTACATATATAAAATATAAGCGAGTTTTTTGTAACTAGCTGTAATTTATGTCATTTCAGGATGGAAACGTGTGTATCTCAATTATTTGAGGAACCATTGCCTTGGGATAGAAGGGGTTTCTATCGGGAGGACAATGTAAATGTGTATTATGAGGATGCTACAACTCATCAGGTACATCTCGTTGATCTAAAGAAGACAGTGGGAGAAATTTCAGTGGAAAAGACGTATGTTCTGTTTATCATAACATACTTTGTTGTATTTTAATGATCTCAGTTGTGTTATCTATTTTACAGTTTCTACGTTACTCAAAACGGTCTGGAATTTTATGTTTTGAAAAAGGATTCCAGAGAAGAAAGGGAGTTTCTAAGTGAGAAGAGAAAGCCCTTTGAATCTAAATGGTTTAGAGTGGATTAAGTGCCAAATGATGAATATATATGTTACTTCCTATATTTAAAAATAAAACTTCTAAACAATAAAGATTATTATATTAAAAACATATTTTTTTGCCTTCATAATTAAAACGACTTTAGATTATGTAAGTTGGTGCATATTTTATTATTATAACACTATATTGCTTATATATAACAATCTTATAACATAGTTTATACATTTCATAATCAAACTGTTTGAAAGTATACATGTCACCTGTACAAGAAATTCATATGATTTTGCCACTTCCCAATATACGCATGCATTAAAAATCCTTAAAGCGTTTTCATATTTGTACATTTATACATGTATGTATTATACCGATTTTTTTTTTAACGTTGCGAAATTGTCAGCAAAGTCAGCGCAAATGCCCGTAACAATAACTTATACCCTCTTGGAAACAATGCGTATAAAAATAATTTGAAATTGGTTGGGGCAGGAATTGGTCGAGTAGTTATCTGTATACACCACAAAAGTGTGTAAGAACATTACTTCATTTTGTTCTGGGCTTATTAATATTTTACAATTTCATTATAATCCATGTAGTGCAGCATATGGAAAAGAAAATCGGTTACGTTTTAAAACTACGATTAGTAAAGAAAAAAATATATAATATTATTAACAGATTAATTGTATAATTCGAACTGAGTAGTTATATACAAACTTTGGTTTTACATTTAAAAAAAAAATTGTTTATGAATGTAAATTTTTCAAGGGTACATGAGATTTTTACAATTGTACTTTCACACGTGCAAATAATATTTTGAAGCTTAAAAATAATGCCTCTAGGAAAAGAAATCGCTATTTAGCGTTTGTTAAGTTTTGAAACAATACATCAATTACTTTTAAATTATTTACGAAAAATTATATTTTTTTTAAGTTTTGCGAAACTTTTTTCAAGCAATTATCTAAACTAATGCTAATATAAAAAATTTAAATACATATACTTTTGCTCGTTAGTAATAGAATACTCGTATTTGTAAATTCAAATTTTTTCTTGCGATCACGACTCTTAATACCAACCCAATTGAAACAGGTATGTATGTAAAATAAATGTTTGCTTGGGATTGTCGTAAAATCTGTTATATATACAACAGTATAAAAAATAATCAACAAAATAATATATATAAAACATAACAACGACGTACAAAGTTTAGGCGGCAATTTTAAGAAAAGACCTTTATACGATTCATGCTTTACTGCTTAGTCAATCCCAAAGATATTATATGTAGTACCTAAATGCCTTTTAGTCATTCGAGGTTGCCGTTTTTTATTTAAAAGTATTCGCCAGCGGCTGCGTAAACCTTCGGACAATGTTTCTCAGCTAATATCCCGTAAGCTGCATTAGATCCTACTTTGATATGCCTTTTTTTGGAATGTTTGTTCCACACATGTGCTACATATGAATTTTTAAGCAGTTCTAATGTTTCAGTCAGATACTGAGCTTCAAAGAAATGCTCCCAATTCATCCAAGGAATAGCGTAAAATGCCTCTCTTGGCATTATATGGAAACCCATACAGCGTTTAGTATCCATCATTAACTCAATATTGGCCGTCTTGCAGACATCATTCATTACTCGAGTTATGACGCCCGGCCCATTGTTACCCCAGTCACTGCCATCATAATTAATCAGGAAATCACGTAAACATTTTTCCGCAATTTCATGTCCAAAGTCAACGGGTGAAAAATTCATTACACCTGCCGCAAGATGTGTGTTTGATTCTGCTCCTGTATAATTTGGGGGTAATTCCTCAAGACTACGCAGAACTACTACATCCATATCAAGATATGTACCACCCCAGCGCCACAAAGTTAGATAACGCAAAAAGTCCGAGAGATGTGAAAGCACATACCTGAAATACGCAATATTTGGGCAATGTCAAATAAAAAATATTTTCGATTTTGCTTACCTGGATCTAAAAAGGGAGCCTTCTTTTAACCATTGATACATTGGTGTTCCTGCTGCGTAAGCCCATATATTTAAATTGCGAAGATGAACATTTGGGTAACTGAGTATTGCTTCTATCACAGGCGGGGTATTGTTATCATTGCGATAAGCAGCACTAGCAAACAGTACAAAAATGTTAAAACCGGGATTATGTAATGCTGCCGATTCAATGGCACATGCCTCCCGCGCGGTAAGATGCACCATATTAATGGGAACGTTGGCTAAATTTTGCTCATTACTAAGGTACTTCTCCCCGGGGCAACTGGTCTCATGAAATATGATGCTTCGCCCATTCGGCTTTGGTTCAACCAACATTACGTCCTCTATGAGATGTGGACCAGCAGTGTACTTATTGTGTGAGAGTTTTTGTTGTGTTAAAGAGACAGAGGGCGTAGCACTGAAGCTATTCAGGAAGCATAACCTCATGTCTGTGCGGTTTAAGGCGAAACTATACAGAATACACCAGCTAAATACTACTAAAGATAGTATAAACAGCAGTGTTAGCTTTAATCTGTGCTTAGAAACCATTTCTGTAGGTTTTATATTAGAAACACATTAACGTGTAAGAGATTCCAAGATGTTATGAAATGCGCAAATCCTTGAGCATATTTTTTTAACGATATAGTTCCACAAAAGCAAATTCCATTTTGTACTGAAACACCTTTACGTCGTCCGCATCCTTATAATTTGTCAATGAAATCCAATTACATATAGAATAATTATAAAATATATACTTATTTTTCTTATCGGAGTAATATTTACTTAAGTTTGCTTTTGACAACTTTGAAGGTTGCAGTGTTGTATTTTGTGATCTGAAAAAGGAACGCTTAATAGGACGTCCACAGTTACTCGTAAATCCGGCTTACGCTTAGTTTTTTTTACATAGGAAGGAAAATTTTTCGCCTGACTTAAAACTAAAAAAAAGATCCATATTGAAGACATACCTAAAAATAGTACGATTTGTTTGTAGCGTTCAATCATATATGCATGACTTGTTAAATTTTTTAGACGTAGCTTGGTTTGATTAGCACTAACATAACAAGAGTACAAAGATATATTCATAAATATAAACATACACAAAAATTTTAAGTAGGTAAAGTTTAATAAACCTACTATATTAGTTTGCAAGCTTTTTTAAATATTTCTGACGATTGACCTAAAAAAATTATGTAAGGCAATGAAAACATAGCGTATAATATTTCCTGTAAGAAGAGCGGTAGTTCTGCAAGATTAGCTTTCGCTTTATTGATCCTAGTCACTGTGCGGAGAATAGTAGGAATGCAACTCTGATTGACGCTTTCAAACGTCAAGTGTGCATTATCTCCAGCCGGGAATGTTAATTTTAAGTGAGTTTTGCACGATTTAATTTTCCTTTTTGTGTAAACAACTTCGAGCTGAGAACCAAATTAATTAACATTTTATTCTAAAACAGTCAGCAGAACATTTTATGTTTTATACTACCGTAAAATAGTTTTAAAAGTTTCAACTACCTTTGGTACATCAACGGCGTTTGAGGTTAGAGCAAGTGGAGTTGAGAACTAACTTAAATTTTTTTGGCATACGTTGACAACTTTAGTTAACGAGTTTTAATTTTTTATTGATCACAAAAACAAGGAATGAATGTACCTCCGATAGCTGCGCCAGGTGCGGTACCACCGCCGATGGGCATGCCACCAATGTTTAATATACCGCCACCAGGATTCGGTGGACCCCCGCCACCAGAAATAGCCGCAGCGTTTGGAGGCATCCCGCCTAATACCGAATGGACTGAACACAAGGCACCGGACGGTAGACCTTATTATTATAATAATAATACTAAACAAAGCTCTTGGGAAAAGCCGGAGGCACTAATGACACCTGCTGAGCGTTTAACACATCAATGCCCTTGGAAGGAGTATCGTTCGGATGCGGGGAAAGTGTATTACCACCATGTAACCACTAAAGAATCGCGATGGGAACCACCGCCAGAATTTTTGGATATGCAAGCGAAAGTTAAGGCGGAAGAGTAAGTTTGTTAGGGTCTTTATGTAAGTGAGAACCTCTCCATATATACATCATGTCATTATAGGGCTGCCGCCGCAGCCAAAGCTGTTGCTGCGATGACATCTTCCAGCTTGGCAGGTATGGTTCCTCCCGCTGCTCTAGCTAGTATACTTCCTGCGACACTTCCCACTGTGGTTAATATTGCCACACCGGATATTCGCTCTCCGATGACACCGGGTAGTAATGAAAACTCTTCGTCCGCTCTTGATCAAGCCATGGCAGCTACTTTAGCGTCTATTGAAATGCCCCAAGCCGGAAAGGAAGAGAAAGAAAACAGTAATAAAAAATTGTTTATAACTTTTAAAAGTGAAAATTTTCATACCAAATTATTTTTTTTAGATAAAAAAGAATCTTCTTCTGAAGAGCCCAAAATAGTATTTAAAGATAAAAAGGAAGCTATTGAAGCTTTTAAAGATTTACTACGAGAGAAAAATGTGCCCTCAAATGCTAATTGGGATCAATGCGTTAAAATAATCTCCAAAGATGCACGTTATAGTTCGTTTAAAAACCTAAATGAAAAGAAGCAAACGTTTAATGCTTATAAAACACAAAAACTAAAAGATGAACGTGAAGAATCACGTCTACGAGCTAAAAAAGCCAAGGAAGACCTTGAACGTTTCCTAATGTCTACTGATAAAATGAATTCCCAGACAAAATACTATAAATGTGAAGAGTTGTTTGCGAGCAATAAAATATGGACAAGTGTGCCGGAACAGGATCGTCGTGATATTTATGATGACTGTATCTTCAACCTTGCTAAGAGAGAAAGAGAAGAAGCTCGTCTACTGAAAAAGCGTAATATGAAAGTACTTGGTGAATTACTTGAGTCAATGACGTCTATAACATATGAAACAACCTGGGCGCAGGCACAATTAATGCTGCTACAAAATGCTGCTTTTAAAACTGACGTCAATTTACTTGGTATGGACAAGGAAGATGCGCTCATAGTTTTCGAAGATCATATACGCTCTTTGGAAAAAGAAGAAGAAGAAGAGCGGGAGCGTGAAAAAAAGCGTCTTAAGCGTCAGCAGCGTAAAAATCGAGATGCATTTTTGTCGCTATTAGATGCACAACATGAGGCCGGAAAGCTTACCTCCATGTCTTTGTGGGTAGAATTGTATCCAATAATATCGGCCGATCTACGTTTCTCAGCAATGCTGGGTCAGCCGGGATCAACACCATTGGATTTATTTAAGTTTTATGTGGAAGATCTAAAAGCACGTTATCACGATGAAAAGAAAATCATACGCGAAATCTTAAAGGAAAAACAATACGTAGTTCAAGCAAGCACATCCTTTGAGGAGTTCGCAACTGTAGTTTGTGAAGATAAGCGTTCCGCAAATTTGGATGCAGGCAATGTAAAATTAACCTACAATGCTCTGCTAGAAAAGGTATAATAACTAAATAACTTCAGAATATAAAGAAAATCCTTTACTGCATAAAAAATCGTTTATCTCAAATAGGCGGAGGCTGTCGAAAAGGAGCGTCTAAAAGAAGAAACCCGGCGTTTGCGAAAATTAGAAAACGAAATCAAAGCTGAATGGCAAGAGGCAAATATTTCTGTACAAGAGCCCTTTGAAGCTGCAAAGAAATTAGTAGAGCACTTGGAAGCATTCACTATATATGAGAAGGAGATTGGAGTTAAGAAAATATGGGAAGACTACATTAAAGAAAGTGAAGATGCCTGCAGCCATCACCATGCACGTTCACGAAAGTCGAAGAAAAATAAAAAGCATAAGAAAAGAGCACGATCAAGCTCAAAATCGGTTAGGTTTAGCATTTTAGAGCAATTTTTTTTAGCAACTAATTCTGTTTTTAATTGTTTACAGGATATTGAAAACGAGCAGGAAGAAATAGAGCAAGCAAAGTCTAAAAAACGAAAAACTAATTCCCGTTCAGTAAGTAATTTTTTCAAAAATTCTGCAGTTGTAAAACTGAATTTCATTTATTTTTGCAGCGTTCGGTTAGTTCTAGCCTCAGCATGGAGAGTGAGCGTGTATTGAAGAAGAAGAAGAAAAGAAAGAATAAAAAGTCTTCACGCGCTGTAAGTATTCAATAATTTTGATACCTATGAAATGTTGATTTTTAAAAAATTAATTATTTTCTTAGTCTTCCTGCGAATCGGAGCGTCCCACAGCATCACCGATGGCTTCGCCTTCAGCCTCCCAAATGGAGGAAATTGCCGGTGGTAAAAAGAAAAAACGTGACAAGAAAAATAAGAAGGATAAAAAACATCATCGTTCCTTAACACCAATCAGTGCGAATGGCAGCAATCAATCGGATATTGAAAATTCTGGCACAAGCTCGAGAAATGCTGAAGAGCAGGCACTTAGTGAAACTGAACTTGAATCAAAGCGCGCTGCACTCCTAGCACAGTTAAACGAACAATTGGAGGATTGACCCGCCGCCAATGTCACTTTAGGTTATAAATCTACAAGAACAACAATAACTAGCAATCGGAGCGGTAAATGATTCTGCCAAGTCCATTTAAGAAGAAATTATGTACAGCTAAAGTAGCAGGCATTAGGCCTTTATCTCTAAATATGTTACATTTTGTGCAAGAGATTTTCATAGCCGCGAATTTTGTAAGAATAATATTTATTATTAATATTAATTTTATCTTTTCTATGTATGTATTGCACATATATATGTAAAGAGCTATGATGTATCGCACATGAAAAATGATAATAAAACACTCTCGTATGAATAATATAAAGAAATAAAATATTAAAAATGCTCTGAGTTTTATTTATTTTATGCAAAAATCGGTTAGCTTCTATATTGAAGATATAAGGGCACATTTGCGATATCAACTTTTGGGTTTATCTAAGAAAAATGCATATGTTAGAATTTATATTTCATTTTTCATTTGCCCCATACAAATGCATAGGTCCATTCAAAGAGCACTTTCTTGTTGTTATTGAAATATAGAGCAACATTTTGAAAACCCGAAACTGCTACAATTTTCTCAAACATTCATTTATCTAACAAGCAATTGCCAAATTTGCAAGCAGAGCGTATGGGGGTATGTGTGTGCATCATGTTTCCCAAATGAGAGTACTTCGTATTCGAATAGAAACTTACCTGCAATTTGAAATAGATAATTTGATGCATTGCATTTCGGCTCGTGGTTTGGCGTACAACGAACGTTTCTCAGTGGTAATATTCCTATTATTAAATTTATATTATTTTCTACAAACAATTTTCATAATCGTGATCTGAGTTTTCGCTATTCTCTATAGAAGTGTGTTGAAAAATACTTACATATTACCAAAAAAAAAAAAAAGCTTTAAAGTGCATGGGGATAACGCAGAAGTGCAGAGAACGAAAAATATTCATAAATTTATGCTCGGCGAATAATATTATTACGCAATAATTAGCGAATTGCATCTGTAAAAATACAAAACATGAAACGTTATGTAAAATTGGTTTGCAAAATAATGAAAATTATGCTAAATTTTTGTCAAAACAAAAAATATAATAAAATTATAAAAATCGAATTAATTAAAAAGTTCGTCAAGCATTGAAATTTCAAAACCGTTAACTATCACATTAAAGGCATAATTGCATGAAAAAAGTTTTTTTTTTTAAACCAAAATGATTTTATTTTTAACTTCATTTTTTTTTTAAAATTTCGATCGGCCTTCAATGTGTTAATGACCTTCTCTTGCGTTTAAACAAGAAGCAGAGATAAATAAAGACAGTGGCCACTAAATGTAATCAGCTTATTACATCATTTTTGGCAACAGACTTTATCGTAAATAACCTAAAACTCAATAAAAAAAACACTATTCCGATTTAATACTAAACGAACAAATTTGTATTTTGATCAGTCTTTTATATCATAATACTATTTTTTTTTAGTAGACGCTTAATAATAAATAATAATAATATTTCAGTTCGTCATAAAATAATTAAGTTTTATTGTATTTTAACGATTTTTAATTTGAGTTTTTACTTACACTTGTTTTATATAATTTTCAGTTTATTAAACAAGAACAGTCGAAATGCTCTTCACATCGTTACTGGAAGCTGCCCAAAACTCTCCCTTCAAAACACCCTTTTCGACTGTAAGCTGTCAGACCAATACTCGCAGTGATGGACCACAGCTTACGCCAAACCACCAAATAATGGCTGCGGCTCCCATTGAGGGTGGTAAGTGCTCTACATGTTAAAACTGAAACTCTACTGAATTGGTTCATGTTATTTTTGACAGATTCATGTGAGTTCGGCTCCAACACCTATTTCGCACTCTGTGGCCTTGGTGGTATCATTTCTTGCGGTCTAACACACACCATGGTGGTGCCTTTAGACTTGGTCAAATGTCGCTTACAAGTCGATCCTGTTAAGTATAAGAGTGTGTTCAACGGTTTTGCCGTTACATTGAAAGAGGATGGCGTAAAAGGTCTTTCCAAGGGGTGGGCGCCAACTTTCTTCGGTTATTCTATGCAGGGTCTGTGCAAATTCGGGCTCTATGAAGTGTTTAAAGTTATTTACTCAGATGCTATTGGTGAGGAGAATTCCTACTTATATCGTACCTGGTTGTATCTGGCAGCATCCGCATCGGCTGAGTTCTTTGCCGATATTGCTTTGTCTCCTATGGAAGCAGCTAAAGTCAAAATTCAAACTACTCCGGGATTCGCTAATACCTTGCGCGAAGCCCTCCCTAAGATGTCAGCACAAGAGGGCATTTCTGCTTTCTATAAGGGTTTGGTGCCATTGTGGATGAGACAAATTCCCTATACAATGATGAAATTCGCGTGCTTCGAAAGGACACTGGAATTACTGTATAAGTAAGCAAAATTCGGAAAAAAGGAAGAAAAGTAAAATTTTAAAATATGGATAACTGATAAAATATCTTTACAGATATGTTGTGCCCAAACCCCGTCAAGATTGTACGAAGGGCGAACAACTGGTAGTCACATTCGCTGCGGGATACATCGCTGGTGTCTTCTGCGCCATTGTATCGCATCCAGCCGATACCGTTGTATCGAAGCTGAATCAAGCTAAAGGCGCTTCCGCATTCGATGTCGCCAAGCAACTGGGTTGGGCTGGTGCGTAGACGAACGAGTCTCTTTTTTTGCAAACTCAGATTATATATGCATATTTAATTTTCCCTTTAATTTTTAATTAGGCTTGTGGGGTGGTCTTGTACCTAGGATTGTAATGATTGGTACTTTGACCGCTGCTCAGTGGTTCATCTATGATGCTGTTAAGGTGTACCTGCATATGCCCAGACCACCACCACCAGAAATGCCAGAGTCATTGAAGCAAAAATTGGGCGTGGCCTAATTCGACATGATTATGAAATATTTAAATTTAGCAGTGATAATTGACTAACAAAGTTGTATATTATAAATTTACAGGATCGAGAAAAAATTGATAAAAATTTAACAGTTTCCGATATAAAGAAATAGAAAATTATGTGTCAATAAAATTTATGGAATGTAAACGATGTTTTTAAATGATCAATCCCTACTTTTTCTGGTTTGTATGTCTTATAAAACTTGCTGGATATCGTGTAACTGTGCCTGGTTGGTCTTGCGGCTGACTGGTCATGCTAAGTGGCGACCAGCTAGTCCTCAAGATTTGTTCTCTGCTTACTTAACGGTCATAAGATGACTGGTTTTCGCAATGGAGTCATATTTTCTTGTATTATAATTTGATTACGCCTTCAGATAAATAAAAGATTTTATTTTTCGTATCACCGTTGTTTACTCTAGACTCGGTGGTTTAGTCAATTATGAGTCAGCGCATAGAAGTCGCTGAGATAAGTATCCAAGGACCTGGCAACCCTGACCTAAGAAAGTTTAATACACTGACTTTCAAACTGAATATGTAAACAAACACACGTGCCGACAAAAATGTCAGAAAGGGTTTGTTTCTATTCAGGAAAAGTGATATTGAACTAAAAAAATAGTACAAGTAGATATTTAAAAATATAATGCCTTCAGTTAAAGGAAAGAAGTTGAAAAATGTAAAACCCAATCAAATAAAAATCATGAAACAGGCAATTGGCAGCAAAGCTTGGGAGAAAGTAAAAATTAAAGGTAACGTTATCTCTGATGATGGAGGAGGATTCGAAGGACTTATCGGTTTAGAAGTGTTGGAAGATTACGATGCAAAATTAGTAGAGACAGCAAAGGTATGCATCATAGTTAACTCATTTTTAAAATAGCACGGGAATTACACATAATTATTACAGCAAAAACGTACCAGAAAAGAGAAGCGCATGGACCGGAGAGCAGATGCCAAAAAACGTAAGTTGGATCAAGAAACGAAATTGGAAGATGAAGAAAATTGTGGATCAGAAATAGAAAATGATGATGGCACAGAACCAGTCATACCCAAAAATAGGAAAGAACGCTTAGCGGAACGAAAATCAAATTTAATTGAAAAACGTAAGGCTAAGCGTGAAAAACGCAAGCAGAAAAAGAGTGAAAATAAAGAAGTTAAAACAAAACAATCTGACCAGAATTCCACTATAAATAATGAAGAGTATCCTCCCGATCGATTTGCATTACTTCGACCGCCGCCTACAAGTGACGATAAAGAAGATGATGATGCCAATAGTGATGATGAGGCCGAAGCACCGATATTGCTGAATGCCTCAGCAATAAGTGTGGATGATTTGGAAGTATAAATTAGTCTTACTTTTTTGTTAGCAATTATTTTTTTAAATCTATCCGTAGGGTTGGAACGGCTTAGGTGTGCCCCAGGTTGTTTTAAGAGCTCTTGCAGACAAGGGTTTTAAATCGCCAACAGAAATTCAGGCTATGACACTTCCAGCAGCAATTTTAGGCAAAAAGGATATTCTGGGTGCAGCAGAGACAGGTAGTGGAAAAACACTAGCATTTGGCATACCAATTTTAACCGGTATAATGGAGTTAAAGTCGAAGAACGTGCGAAGCGGTATACGTAAAGCGCCAAAAGTGAAGGGTCAAAAACCAGAACTGAAGACAAAAGTGATCGAGGAAAATCGCGAACTAACACCGCCGCCAGAAGAACTTGATTTTTATCCAACATTGCCCACAGAAGACGAAGACAGTGAGTTGGAAGAAAATGAAGAGTACAATGGTCCCCTATATGCAGTTATTCTAACCCCCACTCGTGAGTTGGCTGTACAGGTCAAGGACCATTTGGTGGCAGCGGCGAAATATACGGGTATGGAAATTAGATGAAATTATTAATTTAAATCATTTGGAAAAAATTATAATTTTCTGAAGGTATCAAAGTAGCTGCGATTTTCGGCGGTTTATCTGTGGCAAAGCAAGAGCGGTTGCTTAAACGTTGTCCAGAAATTGTAGTCGCGACTCCTGGACGACTGTGGGAGCTCTATCAACAAGAAAATCCTCATCTGAGTAAAATGGAAGATATAAGTTTTTTAGTGATCGACGAAACTGACCGCATGGTAGAAAAGGGACATTTTGAAGAACTTCGAAGCCTCTTAAAAGTGTTGAACGCAAATGATGAAAAGAAAAAAACCCGACAAAATTTCGTATTTTCGGCGACCCTAACGCTGGTGCACGATTTGCCTGAGCACATGCAACGTAAGTAACCAAAAGTAAAAGTACGTTTTATGCTACGTTACTTTTTTTTCAGGTCGAAATGTGGGAAAACGACCAAAATTTATTAAACAAACGCCAGGATTGAAAATTCAAAGTCTCATTGATGAATTGGGTATTTCACAGCCAAAAATAGTAGACATAACCAGAAGCCAACGTGAGTTGAACCGAAGTAAAACTATGTGCTTTAATGAAACTTTGAACCTTTTTCTTGCGATTTACAGAAACGGCACAAAACCTCACCGAATGCCGTCTCATATGTGCGATTGACCAAAAGGACTACTATCTTTATTACTTCTTGGAGCGCCATCCAGGGCGTACAATTGTTTTCTGTAACTCAATCGACTGTGTGAAACGTCTGGCAACACTATTCGGTCTGTTGGAATGCGCACCACTACCTCTCCATGCGAACATGGTACAAAAGCAACGTTTGAAAAACCTGGAACGTTTCCGTGATAATCCCAATGGACTCTTAATAGCCACGGATGTAGCTGCACGTGGCTTAGACATACCAAATGTGGAACATGTGATACACTACCAAGTGAGTAGGAAGCAGTTATGACAATTTTAATACGTATTTTTTGAATTTAAAATTGTATATCTAGGTACCACGTACTAGTGAGAACTATGTGCACCGCTCGGGACGTACTGCACGTGCGAATAAAAATGGTATAACTGTAATGTTCATGGAGCCGGCCGAAGTGAAGAGTTATGTTAAACTGTATAAAACTTTGGATCGAAGTAAGTTCTTTATATAATATTGGTATTTTATCATTACTAAGTGAACGCATATATTAAAAAAAAAACACGTAGCGGAAGATTTGCCATTGTTTCCGGTCTCTGAAAGATATCTACGCCCTGTAAAAGAGCGTGTTAATTTAGCTCGTGAAGTAGACAAACTGGAGCTTAAGCAAAGACGAACACAAAGTGAAATTGGTTGGATGAAAAAACACGCAGAAGAGATGGATATGATTATAGACGGCTTTAATGACGAGTCGTAAGAATCGTTTAATAAGTCCTCTAAAAAGATCACTTTCGTTAATTCTGATTGTTTTTTTCCAGGGGCAGTGAACAAGATGAGGACGCTTTCGTTATCGAACGAAGACGCGACCGGGTTCATTTAGAAAATGTACGTGCGCAGCTCAGGTCTTTATTAACCAAGCCGATGTTTCCAAAAGGCTTTAGTTTTAGGTAAATTAATATAGCACTTACATGTAACAAACCTATAGACTCTCAGAAAACTATAATTCCTAATCGATTAGATATCCCACCAGTACCGGACAATTGCAAATGCTAGACATTAATAACCCCGTCGGCGAAGCAGATAATGGAAGTGCTGTAAATGTAATGAAGGCTGCTATAGAAGACTTGAAGCAAGCAAAAAAGAATCGTAACAAAAGGCGAAAACAATAAGTGTGTATAATCTTTATTACAAGATATTTGTATAAAAAATAATAATAAAAGTTTATCAGTGCTTTGATACAAAATATCGGACACCATTATCAGTAAGAGAACGGGCATGCTTCGCCAACAAGGTGGACACGGAAAGTGTTGGTGTACTAAAACATCTATAAGATCAGAGGATGGTTGGGGTACTCTTCTTTAAAAAAAAAGAAAAATATGTAAATATATGTGTAGGTGTACTCACTCAATATATGGCTCCATTTCCTCTTTCGTCCAGCGTGATTTAGTTTTGAACAATATTCGCATCCTGTCATGAATATTCGATGGCAATAGTTCTTCAACAAGCGAACGTATGCAAGTTGTATTACCCTCCTTATCTACAATTCCCAGCCCATGCAGGTATTTCTCCTAAAAAATATATATATAAAAATATATATACATTGAAGCAAACAAATAGAAGACTTACTTTGCAGTTCATACCCTCAGGCATCGCTTCTTGCCAAGTATTCATGAATTCGTCCTTGCGAAATTTTAACTCCGGTTGCAAAATATTCTGCGCTATAATACGTGCTACTAAATCCTCTTTGTACGTAAATTTTCCTTTTTTGTTGACAGTTGGCTCGGTGTAAATGTGAAAAAGTCCCTTCACAATTTCAGCTGGGGATATACCCTCCATAGCTGCTATCGTTTCTTCATATTCTACTTCATCTAAATGCCAAGAATTTTCTCTCAGTAACCCGAGCATACAGTTTAAAATGCGCATTTCATATTCATACTCGAGTACACGCATTCGGCCTTCGTACTCCACAGCCCGAAAATGCAACACACCTTCTTCGAATTGCTTGCGACTACATTGCACGGTGTCTAACAGTTGGTTGTAGGTGAAAAGCAATTTGCGATCAATGTACTCTTCATTTTCAGGCCCAGAGTATCGAGTTAATTGCAGTAATTCATAAATTTTACGGTACCGTGGTCTTATTTCGCGACATTCAAAGTACTCATGGAAAATTTTTAATACCTTGCGTTGCTCCAATACACGATCAACAGAAACTTCATCTTCATCATCATTTAAACTAGTTTCGAGGGAGGAAGTACCAGTTCGTGGGCTTTTTAGCGGTGAAGTGCTGGTGGCCGCAGCGAATTTTAAATCCGGTACAAGCAGCAAACTATTAGAAATTTCAGCACCTTTCACGTCATATGTTTTTTCTTCAGTGCAGAGTACAACTTTTTCATTTTGACCTCCTTTAAAGTACAAGGTCTGACCGAGACGTATTTGCTGATGCATATGTGTGTCTAATTCAAGGAGTTTTAAGTTATCGTTGTCCATTTCGGCGGAAGGGTAGTACAGAGCTTGCGTAACTTGTGTGAGATTCTTGGCATCCAACTTGGCGTGCTTAATAATACTTTGAACATCTTCGAGCGTACGAACATAACTAAATCAAAGTCAATAAATATATGAATTTGTATAAACAAAGAATAAAAAAGTCATGCATTTCGTGGTATTACTTACGGTTTCTCATCATTATCGTCCATATCTAGATCCACTTCCATTTCAGTCATTTTCCAACGTAAGATAAACACTAAGATAATGCAATAAAATAAATGCAACAATTAAAATTTTCCCTCCAAATGTTTAATTTCAGCTGTTTTAATGTTTTATTTACATATATCAGCTGAGTTTCTAAGTTCTCTGACTACCTGCAATGTTTTACAGTTTGACTGCCACTGCGAAAAATATTCAAAAATATGGGGAATAAAACCTTGTAGCAAACAAAATATAATTACAGTAATTATATAAATTTTTTTTTAAAAAATATGTTGTTATTTAATATGTAAAAATATTATTAAAAAGGCAAATTTTATTTAAATTTTCAAACCCACCATACTTCCTAATCATTTTGAGCACTAAGCTACACGGCAACTCTAAAAAGGAACGGTATCCTTCTAAGTAAATCTCAATTCAATATAATTTTCTTGTTATTGTACATACAAATTCAATAGAGTTTTTCTCAGTAGTTTTCCTGAAAATATTTTGTTTTATAGGTAACGATCTTTTTAGTTAATGTAGAAAAGTCATATTTAAATAAATAAATCGAAGTAGTGAAAATGGAGAACAACGAAATTACAATTTTCATGGATGTTAAACTGGATATTCATAGTAAACGTCCATGTTCTCTGAAGTTCAAACAGTGGTCGAGATGTGAAGTAAAGATAGAAGGTATCAAATGTTTTCCTAGCTTTTTGCGGGTTACGATCACAGGATGCAATACGGCAGAAGGATGTCTGACGGAGGAGGATCGTGTCGAGTCGAGAAAATACATTAGTGTGTCCATAATAGTTCCGGGTGTTAGCATCAATTTAGCAGCATCGCGTACAAAAGAGTTTAGTTATGGGCTATTTTGGACACAATATCGTAAACCGTGTTATATATATTTTGCATTAGAAACCGAGATAAGTTGTAGACGTCATATGAAATGGATTAAAAAGACAATTAAAAATTTAGAGCTACATCGACAACTAATGTTGGAGCAAAATAGAATTAGTCGTGGACCAAGTATGGGCGTGGCTGGGGTTCATACTGCTCAGGTTGGCAAAGAAAATATAAAAACACGGACCAAGAATGTATATGAACCGTAAGTATATACATACATATAAATTTATTATGAAAATAGAGCATAGTAATATTATTTCATATCAACTATAGCTCCACAGAAAATCTGTATTCATCACTTGGGCCTTTACCAACAATACCTGGCTTTCAAGATTCTAATCAAAGCGGTTGGTCACGACAAAACTCGGATATTTACGAGGAAATCCTAGAATACGTTGACGGACAACCGCGTCTGTCACGGCGTATATCTCGTGCTTCAATTGCGTCTGGTATTTATGAAGAAATGAAACCTAGTCCTCAAGCGTTTAATTCAATCGATGAGGAATCAATTGAGTTGCAGCAGCCTTTTGCAACGGGTAAATCACCACCGCCGCTTCCTCCACTTCCACCGCCCAGAAAACGCATAAACACATTCGACGGTCAAGGTGTTTTGGGCGAAATACCACGTTCAAACACAAATCCTGAATCAGAATTTGCGAAGAAAAAGAAATATAAGAACGTATTAGACAATTTATTTGGTAGTGCACGAGCGAAACGAGCCGAAAGCGTAAGTGAAACTCAAGCTTGCACAGCTGAGGATATAATTAATAGTATCACCCCCACCAAAATACCCGATGAAAATAATGAAGAGACTACACCAATATATGTCAATGATGTAGCAGTAAAACACCAGAAAAAAACTTTATATTCTAATATGTTTGCTGGGTCGAAGCGAAATAGTTTCTCTTCACCCGATTTGTCGAAAATAAATTACTTTGACACCATCAATGAGAAAGAAAGCTTGGTTAGTGGTTTAGGGAATTCAATCGCATACAGCGACAACCTACGATTAAGTACCGATAGTTTAGAAAATTTTGGCATTACGACGTCCAAAGACCAAACACATGGAAGAATATCGGTAGATAGCCTAAATGTCTCTGAAAAAATTCCAAACAATTTCAATTTTTCCGCCATCAATTCATCTGGTATTAATTTAATAGGCTGTAATGGTGCTGCCATACCAGCAAGTAATAAAATCAAGAATAAAATCTTAATAGATGATTTAACGGGTTACTGTGTAATGGCACCTATTCGACCTAAGAAATCGGAGCAAATAACAAACGCTGAACCCACTACATCTGGTTATTCTACTGTTTCCCAACCATCAACAAGCTCTTCCTCTTCAGAAGATCCAAAAGTTCTAGCAAAAATAAATGCTCATAAAAACAGTGCAGAAGAGAGTGCAATATATGAGCAAATGATTGATCTTCATAGGGGAAACGAAGCGAATACCACAATTAATAGAAGTACTTTGAAGTCAGTCGAAGATTCAGTTACACCCAACAGTCCTGCGTACACATCCACAACAAACATTTCTGATTTTACTGGAAACTTATATGAAAATTTATTAGCTGTTAAAGCTTCACAAGAGCTGGAGCAAGAACTTCCGATTGCATCTTTGAGCACCAGTACACCCACCGAATCTCCGAATACACACCAAATAGTGTGCAATGAAAACCAAACAGAAGAAGAAGAAAACTACTATCAAACCCCACGCAAGTCAATTATTAGCGTTGATGAGAAAATACCATCATATTATCCAAACAGCTGTGACACCGCTAAAACTCGCCGTCATCATACAATAGCAACAGCGAGTCCACAACTAGCAGCTTTTAATACTTCACCCAGCTCATCTACGACTAAGACTTCCGAGGTAGGCACACTGTGTGAAAAGAAGAAAAAATATAAATTACTTTTGTTAAAATATGTTTTGTTTGTTTCTTTTTTTGTTTGCGTTTTGTACCAGTAGTTTTGGATTTGTCTATGTTTTTGTTTTTATTTTTTACTTTTTTCTGTTCACACTTTGGATGAGTAAGGATTGAAAAAGTCTAAAAGATTATTAGACACTTGAAAGTATGCAAAAAAAGGTCAACTGTTCTGTACATTTTACAACAAAACTATAAACAATGTACATACGTATATGCTACCATGCGGAGTGTTGGCATAAAAGGGATTAGGGAGCCTAAAGGTGATACTAGGTACTTTTTAAGACCCTAAACCCTACACACGCAACCTACGTCATGCATGCAATCAAAGAAACATATCTTATCTGAATCCGTTGAAACAGTTCGATTATTTGTCTCCCCTTAGATAACATTGGCTGGTTTTCCTCTACATAAGCGAAGTTATCTAAAAAAAATTTACTTCAACTAAAAAAATGATCTGCAAATCAGTCCATTTAGAGGTATTACTAAAAAAATCACTCCTAGTATTTCTCTACAGCTAGAAAGTGTGGGTAGATTAATAAGTTTTAAGCAACTAGTATACGGCAAACAATAAACGGATATAATCAAGATTCCACACCACTGAACCGTACACTAATATTGGTCGCACTAATGACGTAAAAAGAATTTTGGTAATATAAGGGCCATTAAATTCTTTAGACCATCGCTTTATAAAAGCCAAAATTGTTCTAAGATCTATTGTAGTTGAAATTGTCCATGTTTCTGCATTAGCCATGTTGTGTAGTGAGCACTGCCACCATTCGCGAAGTCGGAGAGTTTGAAATCTGGCCAGGCTAACATATATAATTATAGAAAGTTAATTTTTCTAAGTGCGCTCGCCACATGGCAGGTAAAATTTACCGAGTCTGGTTTTCATAGGAATTCATCAGCCGGTCGGTGGCGGCTTAGAGTAAGCTCTGGGCTCTGTTTTTCTTACAAAAATATGAAAACGAGAAGGAGCTCGGCCGAAATTCGTTTCAGCGGTTACAAAGTGTTGATTATATGTATATTTATGTATGCATATTAAAAAAGAAATTAATAATATTACTTTCTATAAACCTTAAAGGTTGCAGATATTTTCACCTCAATTTTTAACATATTTTAGAAGTCCAATAACATCGCCTCATCTGTGGGTTTACGTCACCTGGTTAACCTAAAACTACGGCGTGAACGCAAAGAGAATCTTTACATTTCATCACCGCAGAGTATCATAGAACAACGTCAAAGTGCAAACAAACCAGCGGAAGTTGAAAGCAAAATTGCGCAAAAAAACGGACGCGTGCACAAATCTTTGCGGGCGGGCGCTTTGAAAATTGCAGAGCATGTCTATACTGTTAAACATGCCAAACAGAAAACCCAAAGCAACGAAAAGCATCTAAACAATAACAATAATAACAACAACGAACCGGATGTAGCAAACTTTCCCGAAGACATGCGTGAACGTCTACAAACCGAGCTATTACAGATCGCTTTGCTGCAAAAGATTGACTTTAAGTTTGATGATGCAAAAAGTGCTGAAGACCCAAAGCAAAATACTTTAGAAGATCTGAAAACGCCATCGCCGTCTGGAAGACGACAGCAACAGCAGCAGACCCAACTCACCCCTGCGAAGGAGCGCACCTATGAGAATTTGCTACACCGGCATCTGCAATTGCATCAAGCCGAGCAGCACGTTGTGTCGAGCGCTTCAATCAACAGTCCAGCTACCAACACTAGAACAAGGCTGGCAATGCATCATAGTTGTTTGACTGGTGTAGGCGCAGAGGACAATCACAATGCCGACAGTGGCTCGCTTGGAGTGCCCGAAAGCAGTGGAGTTGACGGGCAAGTGTCCGGTTTAAGTAGTACAAAAAAATTTGCTTCCTTGCCGCGTTTCAAAAAAATCGACTTCTCGCCACTCCGCTTGCGCATCAATAATGTGCTGCAACGCGCTCAGCAGCAGGATATCTAATTGTCCAAATATAATGGTAAAAGTATTGAAATGCAGTTATGAAGGGAAATAATTCATACGAAAATGTAGCGCTATTAGTTGAGAAGTAATTGCTTTGAAAGAGTAAGGGCGAAATTATTTTATAACTGTAGATTTTCTGTTTCATTCAAACTTTTATGCAGCTTCAGACTATAGTTCTAAATAAATATGTATGTCTGCATGTGTGTACTTGAACGCTTTTTTGGTGTAGAAAATATGAGTAAAGTGATGCTAAAGTTGTAGATCACAAATAAGGTCTTAATATTCATTTGTGTGTATTTTTAGTGCGAATTTTTAATTTCTTTTCATTTTTAAATATTTGCGATTTTATTAATGTTAAAGAATAAATACGAGTGCGAGTATATGTATATAAATAGGTTTTCTAATATAAGATATTTTTCTAATGATTTTGCACATTTATTTTCTATTTTTAGTTCTTAATTTTTTTTTTCGGAATTTTAAATTATTATTATTGTATTTTTCATTTAAAGACAAAGGCTACTTAGAATTATCTTCAAGGAAATAATCAATGAAAAGTATTTTTATGTAAGATTAATGTTTTGAATTTGTTTAGTTCTGTTGCTTTTGTTATATACATAAATATATTTTTTTCTTTAAGTATTTATTTTACATTTCCTCTACTGTTTATTATATTTATAATTTTCATCATGAGTTAATTAAAACGTCTGATTAATTCTCGTTCAGCAAAATGTTAAGCTTGTTAATATAAAATGCGAAGATGAATAATAATAATAATAATAATAATAATAATAATAATAATAATAATAATAATAATAATAATAATAATAATAATAATAATAATAATAATAATAATAAGTTATAGTGGCCATAAATAATATTTTTATTCATGAGTGTTTAAATTGGTTATCTAAACTAAAACAAAGCGTACAAATTAAAAATATCCGCCGATGAAAAAGTTCTAAACAAAGTCTAGGAAATTTGTAGTTTTATAAAAAAAAAAAAAATTATTAAAGAAATTACGGTGTTGTGATTACTCAAATATATTTTAAATAATGTAAACACCATACAAAACGTATTTAAAAGAACTAAACTCGCTTTCTGAGGAAGTAGTGAAAGTAAATTGTAAGGACTTTTATGGAAGCATATCCCGTTAAAAAAAAATGTTAGACTTAAATTCCACATAACCTAAATATAAATTTTTAAAGTTATTCTACTCACTCACTGCGCTGTCTGCATGCTATATTTTAGCTTAATGAAATCTGGAATGAACAAAAAAAAAACATTTCTTTTATCGTAAAGTAACGCATTATTAAAATTTAATTTATTTAGGCTGTTGTTGGCTTTTTTTATGCACATGTAAACAATAATGTATTGAAATCTATGTACATAATAATTATACAACTATGTCGTAAAACGTGCTCAAGGAAATGCTTTTTTGGCTTAAGGCTTTTGTTAAATGTAAACATATCATTGATATAAATGAATAAAAAATTTAAAAACATATCCACTAATCAATAATACTCTGCGAATGTACTGCCGCAAATCTAAAAAATATACTACAAAATAAAAAATTTAACAATAAATTCATGAATGCGAAATGCAATGCTCAAAATGTGTTCAACAACTAAATCGACATCGCGATCAGCGTTGTAAGCGACAATTTATTTAAAATTCTTCTTCGTTTTGTTTTTGTTTTTGCAACCGAAAAATATTCCCTGAGTCGGTTTTCGGGGAATAATGCGGGAGTGACAGTCCTTAACCGGATAAAAATCCGCGTCGTTCCGGTGTAAAGACCCGACTGTCGCTGATTTTAGTCGCCTCTTACGACAGGCATGCCTCACCACGGGGAAATTCTAACCCGCAGGGGCTATGGTTTTGTACATTACATGCTTTTCCATGCCGTGAAATTGTAAATCTTCACCTCAAATTTCCTATGATATATACATACATACATACGTGTATGTTTGAAAAAAAATCTTTTTATTTTGGAAATTTTTATTTTGTCGTTTACAAAGTTTTTCGCGACGTCAATTCAACCATTAAACTAGTATGTACTTGTAAGTGTTTACATACATATGTGTATATGTATATCACAATGAAAAATATTATATATTATAATTATCAGCGTCTAAAATTAGGAAATTTTTCTATTGAAAAAAAAGTATGAAAGTATTTTGAAAGCTCTATAGTTCTTGGAGAACCACTTTAAGAAAGCTTTTACTGAATTCCCATTGCAAGATTTAAAAACGAAGTTACGCAACCGTTGCGTAATTCAGTATCTCGTAACTGTTGTTTTGTAAACTGTACCGTAATCCACTTTCATATTAATTGTATTTGGCAATCAAACGATAACAAATTTGCATTAGACTGTTTGTCAATAGCAAAAGTGTTGAAATTTCGAAAAATAAGGTTAGTTTTTGTGATTCAATTTAAAAGAGGTTGAGAGCTAGCGTTAAACCTGGTCATTGGTAAGGTAAATCTTCCTTAAACCTTGCAGTGGAAAACAGCTTAATTACGCGATTATTTGCATGCAAGACGCATTTTGAGTTTCAAATAACAAATTTGCAAAATATACAAATACAAGTGTAATAATATATAAATAAATTGCTTTGTTTAAAAAGCTGAAAACAAAAACTTGCTTGTTTTAATTTCCTTCAACTTCATTGCATATTTTCGAGCGCAATATTCATTCAATACCGACTAACTTACTTAGCGTAAGTACCGTTTTCGCGATTTAAGCGATATCAAGGAAGGGCGGCAGTCCTTTTTATGTCCCTCTCCACTTGATTTTTTCAATGAATTTTCGTCTTCTGCCAAGGCGTAATGCATAGAATAGTTTCAAAGCTGAAGTGCTTTCGTGCGGTATTTATACTATTGCTACCTACCGCTATTGTCGCTGTCTCCCAACTCGGTGAGCTATGTACGAGAATATCGGAATGGACGTATCATCTATTCTCGCCTCACCGTGGTAACGTGTGCATTTCTTGAACATTTCTGATTTACGAATTGGCTTAAGGAGAGCTTGATTTCTGCGTCTGTTCACCAGAGGTGAAATTCCGAGCGAGGGTCGTCCTGGAATGTGTTATTATGAGTAAAAGTGTCCCTCGCACAGCAATGCCGGGTGCTAGGTGTGGTATGCGTCATATAAAAATCAACGTAGTAATTGGGCCAAGAAGTCCAATTGAAATTAATTCTGATTTTTAAGAATTTACATATATTTTAAATTACTGTGAGTACAAGTAAGTTCTAAGTTCCTTATTACTAGCATATTTGTACATTTATCGAACTCGTTATCTCCAAAAGAAAAATCCATATCTTTCAATTGCATAAGTTACATGCATTCCACTTGTTGAAAACGTAGACACGCACCAATATTATCTTCCGCACTGCCTTTCCCAGCACCGTTTCCGAAATGCACGCCTACATAAAATGGCGTTACAGTTGATTCAATCCGGCATGGCCATATGCCGCTGGAGCAAAATTGTGAGCCACAATGGACCGGTTCACAACCCGGTAATGTTGGTGACCCCAGCGGACCCATGCCTATAAAGTCCTCCACTATGCATGGCATAGTAAGACGATCCGTGCAACGTGAATATAGTTGACGTGTGCGTCGCGCTGGAATGTCAATCCCAACCTTAGCTCTGACGCTGCGCTCATCTATTTGTCGACTTTGGCGTCGAAAGCTGTTGAAATCAAATGCGCTACGCAGAAAGCCAAGTAGATCGAAACCACCACTTGAGGCTCCTGGGCGGCGTGTCGGTGCACCTGCAATCCAGTCGGCGTCGCCACCACCGGAGCCTTCGGGTATCTCGTCGCTAAGTGTTGAAGAAGAAGAAGTTGTAGCTGGTGTGGTGCTACTACGGGTGTCCAATGTGGTGGCGCTGCTGCTACTAGCTGGCGCTTGTGATGTTGCGGCTGGAGTTTCTGAAGCGGATGTTGCGGCAGCTGTGAATTTAGCAAAAGAAAATCTCTATAAGAAAGCTAATGCTTTTTACATTAGTTGCTACTTACATGACACCTCCGTGCTACTTGCTGGTGACGCGCTACTTGCTGAAGTCGCTGCCGTCGTAGTTGCCGCGCTGCTCTCTGATGCGGCTGCACTGCTATCTGTTACAGCAGCAGTTGTCGCGCTTGTTGCCCCCGACGTTGTCGCACTCGTCATCGTTGCAGCCATCATTGTTGTTGCATCCATCATTTGTAACACATTAGGATCGTCAGCGAGTACTGTCGATTGCATTGTGGGCATAACATCCATTGTTGGGTTATCGCCTGCGATGGTAGAACTACCACCGCCGCCGCCAGCACCTCCATTTGTTGCATCGCCCATCATGTTGCTCATGATGCTTGACATCATTGGGTCCATCATAATAACTGGAGCACCCATATTCACTACACCTGGCTCACCAGCGTTGCTCGGTCCAATCCTAAACGATTGCTCATCACACGGCTGATACATAATCGAACACATTTCTTGCTCTTGGCGCATACAAATGCGGTAATTCTGATTGGCTAAATGTCGTCCATTCTCAGCGAAATTAAAAGTCTAAAGTCAGAGAGATGAAAATTATGAGGGAGCTGAAATTATTTGGAAACCATTGCACTGATTAATCAACAAACCTGAATAATACCCTCAGTGCCTGTATGGTACTGCAGACAACCAACTGGCGCCCGTTGACTGAAAGGAATTTGGGCGATGCGTATCTCCCAGAGGCGTATGGGCTGAAATCTTTGTGTGAAATTCATGCTTATCTCTATAATCGGCATTTCGCTGACACTATTATTGGGGTAGAGTTGACTAAATGTAAGTGGGCGTAAATTACCGAAAAGGGTTTGACGCGGAGCAGCAGCGCCACCTACTTCGTAGTAAACTGATAAAGTGGGAAATTAAATTACTTGCCATCTTTCAAATGTTATACTCTACAATGCTTCATTACTCACTATGCTGACCACTATTCTGACCACATAGGGTCAGTGTGCCACTGGGACCACCATTAACAGCGAACACATCACCGTCACAGCTACCCGTGCGCCGGTTTGGTTGTCCCACTGAGAAGTGATAGAAGTCTATGCGCAGTTGACTGACCTCGTTGCTCATCAACTGGATTTTGAAGTTACATGGTGCGCTATAATTGCTCGGCATAAAGCTGGGAAATTGGGGTGACACCAGATAGGTAATATTATTGCTGATGGTTGTGTTGCAGCTGGCGATGACTGAATTGAGTGATTAAAGATTTTTAAATGTTTAAGGCAGTTATTTCGTTAATACTCACATATGCAACAAACGCCGAAACCCATTGCACACTCGCCTTTTGCAGTACCACCTTTGGCACGACATTCGTATATGTTAAAGCAGTTGCCAATGCGTCGCCCATCATCGGAAAGACATTCACCGTCCACAGGTACGGGGAAGAGATGGATCACTGTTGAAGATTTAAATAATGGAAAGAAATTAGCAGGTGAACTTCAGCGTTGGCGCAAGGTTTTTGCTCTCTCTCACTGTAGTCTTTTTTATTATACTATGCTATGTACTATTTGATATGTGCTATACAAGTTAACAGCCCACTGACTCTGGGCGTCTTAGTATGAGGGAAGATATTCCCTCTGAAAATCCCCCCACCTTCACAAAAAGCTACAGGCGGCTGGAAGGCTTCATATTCTCTCCTCCACTGTTCCCATTGTACGGAAGGGAATGACACCGTTGCTCGCCTACTATGTTGAAGGGGAAGTCATCACCTATCGTTGCGCTATGGTGACACTTAAGTGTCATCAGCAGCGAGTGAAGAAACGTTGTAAACGACTGTCGACTGTAAACGCGTGCAATTTTCAAATATTTATATCTTTGCTTAGCAGTTTTTGCAACAATATATATACATACTGATATGTATATGCAAACACAACGGATTAAACATGTGAGACTCTTCTTACTCGAGGTGAAAGCTTTTTCGCTTAAAATGAGCGAACGGTCAAGATTACTTACCGCGTTTCTGGCGATCGTTCGGGGTCTCCCAAATCGTATTGTTTTCTAAATTTTTCTCGTTGATGTTCTTGGTTACGCCTGCAAATAGATTTGAAGTAAGAATTTTTTCGATATTGCACATCCGTTGACTCGGCTTACCGTGCTTTAATTTGACATTCAATTTTTGTTCCACTTGTTTATCGTTAATTGTATTAGGAGTTGCTTTGAATGATGCCTCATAGTTGACACCTGCATATTGAAACCCCTCATTGGCTTGTTGCGACAGTACTTCCAGATCTTCCTCAGGTATAGCCGAGTTGGTGGGCGTATGAATAGCATTCCAAATATCAATATGTTGCAGGCTGGGCGGCCAGGCGGACGCGACGTTATATCTCTCGTTTGAGTGCAAATTAGAACTGGGCCAGTGAGCAATATTGGGAGCCGCGTGTGCAGGTGACGGCACCGTGTACTTGCAGCAAGTATGGAGCGTCAATAAAAATAATAAGAAGCGCAGCGCAGGAATACAGCGATAATTCATGGTATGCGATATTGGAGTTTGTTTACTCTGCGAAATTCCCACCTTTGTCTTCAGCGCACTCTGATGCACTTGCACTTTTTCACTTTCCATTGTTTAAGCGCCGATTGAAAAAAAACTATGTATTTACGATTATATATGTATATCCAGGCATATATATACATATATATTTCTTTTGAATTTTCGTCTTTGTTGTTTACTGTTAAAATTCGCGCGTCTGCTCTTCGATGGTGCTGAAAACAAAATGCGAACGGTTTACTTTGCCAGCATTGCTCGGCTCAGCTCCTCTAGTAAGCAGCAACCAAATAATGTCATCAACTGTCTACAGCCGCTTTGCTGCTCGATTATCGATGCTACGGACATGCCTATAGTAGTTAGAGAGATACTCGTTGGCTACTGCTGGCTTAGCATCTAACGACAATAACAATATTGACACAACTCAGTATAGCGTCTGGTAGTTAATCGAGCTGTGAAATGAAAGTGGCGGTGAGAGTGTTTATCGTCTTTGGTTTTGCTTTTCTGTGTTCCTACGCCAACGTTAAAACGTGTTCTTTGAACTTGATTGCTCCAGTCGCCGCCACCGGACTCGCAGCTCCATTTTGCCGCACATGCGTTGGCTCTACTGTTCATACGCATTGGAGCGTTATTCCTTCATACGTGTACATCTACACACATTTACTCGTATGTATGTATGAATGTGCATCGATTGTGTGGCTAACATACTCACTGCGCCGATTCTGTTTAAATGCTGGTCGCATCGACTAGACTCAATCAAGCTGTCCTCATTATTGCGCCACTTCATAGCCAACACGTTCGATTTGTTGTAATAGATTATTGAGATTTTGCGTTTTGTTGTAATTAGAGCAATTATTATTGTTGCTGTTGTGATAAATAAAAATAAATTTTCAAAAATACGACGCTTCATCTCAACAGCGTCGCGAAGAAGTTTGCGAGGTGAATAACGATTTAAAAATTAAAAAGTTAACTGAAAATGCAAAGCTGTCCCAGTGAAACCAGACTATCGAAATTTAAAACAATTTTCGTGTATGTTTGTTGAAATGATTTAGTGTGGTCCAGGAAAGAAACGATTTGTTTCTGCCAAATTCAAAACTTTTGATGGATATCATTGCGTTTCTCCGAACATATAGAATTCGCGCAGCGCAAGATTCAGTGGATAATGTGAGATGTTGATTAAAAGACGGAACTTACTTGTGATAACTCGAAAAATCACCACATGAGGAGCCCAAACAGTTGGAATCGCAGTGGTCAATACCTTTCGCAAAGTACAATAGTAGAAGGAAATCAAAATTGACTTTTACTTATGGCTCCTTAGGATGTTTTTCGTTTGCAATCATCCCAATTTTTTTTGACTCCTGATGGTCAACGGTCCTTCTTCTTTGGTTGAAACTAAATATGTACGGACACTCTTTCTGCGGATAGAAATAAGTGTAAAAAATGCGATAAATACTCGCTATGGCTGCACGGCCACACCGGAAACATCATTGTCGGTAGCTAAGGAGGTGTGCGGCCTCTTTGAGCTCAATTAGCGCTAGATGTGCCATTTTGATGCATCGTACATATTGCTTTAGGGCATACCTATTTTTAGCGGATCTTCTCCAAATAATCCAAATCCCATAGTGTAACCTTCGTAGGCACTTTTTACAAACTCACTGCCTGGGGAAGGAAAATGCCTGGTACCATTAACAATTACAAAATTAATATTAATAATTTGTTTTATCAATTTCTGAGAATTTTCTTATATTTCCAAAATACCGTAGTTTTGCCATTTTACTTTCATGTTGTAAATAATATACTAACGGATATATGTATATTTTAATTTATTTATTTAATTTGAGTAAACAATTATTCTTTTAATATAATTACTTGGGTAAACAACGAGTGTGTAGGTGTGTGTGTGTGTATATTTTTTTGTATGTATTTACTTAATATAAGCTTTTATCATAAGTACATAAACTTAACTTAAATATGTTTAATAATTATATTTCTTAAATGTAATTATTTTAGGAAAACTATTTTCGTGTGTTAAAAAGTATGAAACAATAAGTTTCAATAAAAGTAAATCTCAAAACGACGACATCAATTTAAATTTCACGTCAAGCTACGCCGAAATCACCAGATTTGTGCTGAGCTGACTTTTTAGAGTACAATAAATGCCGTTATACATATTGCATGGTTATTTATATACTTCCACAATTTATGCAATGTCGAGATGTGACCATTAATTTATGTTTTTGTGTTGAGTTTGACGTGCACGCATGTATGTATATTTAATTATAATGGAAAACATTGATTACTGCTTTTTGGTAAGCTAACAAACAGGCAGTCAAGTAGATAGCGTGTGTGTGTATGTGTTATTGATATATAAAAAATTAAAGTTATAAAGAGGCTTGTTAAGACCAAAGCTTATAAATATATATATAATAATTTCACTTTCACATAAGTGTTATAGAAATTACAATAAAAAGTATGTATGTATGTATGTATTATAAATAGTTTTCTTCTGCAGGTAGTGACGGTATGTGATGTGTTTGTAGGTAACTAGTAACAGCATAGATATAAATGCAACATTCAATATATGACAGCTTAAGCATATACTCGTATATTACATAAATACTTTAAATTAAAACTTAATGCTATACAAATTAAAAAAAAAGACGGCAGCTGATAACACTGAGTAGTTACACTACATATTCATTATTTTTTAACTTAAACACTAAATTGGCAATCAAGTGGATGCATTAACTTAATCATTAAATTAAATAATATATATTTTTTTTAACAAGTAATCATATGGAAGTATTATTTTTAATTTTTTTATTTTTTTATTTTACTTATTACTCATCGCCTTACTTATAAGATTATCAAAACCTACTCTTACATTAAATAAAAATAAAAAAGAATTATTGTGTTAATACTTTAACATACGCACCAGGATATGAAAACTATGCGTATAACAATTGAAAAATTGTTAGTGTCATCTTATGAAACATCGTTGATACACTGCCCTCAGGGCAACTACGATTCGGTCGGTTCCATATGCCGATGCACAGTTACCGGCGCTAATATGTAACGCGGCGCAGGCATACAGTCCTCCGAAGAGTCGTTCAACGGTAGTGTAGTCTGTCCATAAACTGGACCACTATCGTTCATTTGTCGCGATGGCGTCACCGCCTGCTGGTACTTCTTCGGTGAGTTTATTTGATAGCGATCTTTAGCTTGCGTTGGCGCCGGCGCCGGATGATTAAGATATGGATTTTGACAATGTGGTTGATGATGACGATTTGTTGGACTTGATATTGATGTTGATATGGACATTGTATCCGATTTGCTGTGTCGTTTGTCGTGCAGTAATAGTGGTTCTGCTAATGCGAAACATTGATGATCGGATGAATCTTCGTGTGGCGTCATTGTTGAGTAACCATGATCCGACTCGCCATTGGGCGGTCGTCGATAACTACTGCCTGTGGACATATGATAGGGTGATATGTCGGCGGGATGTATGAGATTGCGCTGGGCCGATGGATGATCATAACCGCCGTTGCCACCGGGCGGTTCGTCATGTGTTTGACAGTCGTCAAAATTGAAGCGTGATAGTGGTAGCCCGTAATTTTCTTCTTGCATAGAGTCAACATAGAACTGATCCTGCGATTGTGAATCCATGTTGTGGCGATAACAATATATGGCAAATCCTATAACGATGCCTAGTACAATGATGGCGCCGCCAACCGGGCCGAAGGCGGAATATGTGCTCGGCTTCTGCCCAGGATTATAGCTATGTGCGGCGATTATATCCACATCGTCCAAATCGCCATATGGTGTTAGAGAGGACAGTACACCTGGCAGCGACAAAGTAGATAAGTTAGACATTTTTTAAAACTTCTTAACTGCCAAAATTATTCGTAATAATTTTTGAATCAAACTAAACAAATTGATTTAATTAAAATTAAAGTAAACTCAATACGAATAACAAGCGTGGAAAAAGAAACCTCGCGTGTTATTTGAGTAATTTATAATCTTCATTGATAATTTTAATAGCTCGGGAAACCGTTTCTGGATAAAATTTTGCGATCATAGTAATTTGAATAGATAATTCGCAACTACCTGTTTCTACATTGTCTTTCACTGGAAATGAAAACATGCAATAATTTTATCATTGTTATTGATTTCGTTGATTTCGCTTTCTTGGTCCACGGCGTTAAATGAATAAAACTACTTTTCTTACAAACATCCTTCACACTTACCATTAAAACAAGACGCTTGCGCAACACAAAACGAAGCTGTGAAACCATTTCCGTCCAGATCTTGCTGACACCACTCGCAGCCCATCACACCAAGGCATTCGCTTTGTGTTCCATAAACGTCGCAGTTTATGCTTACGCATGAATGCATCAGCTGGTACTCCGCACTTACGGCTGGCAGCGCTATAAAATGTTCACTCGGCGGCTCGCAATATGAAAACTGCTGGGTATAGTTAAGGTAACGTTCGATAGTCGTTTGTGAGCTGTCAGCGTGTCCGACCTCAACATCGCCATTAAATACATCCATTTCCATGGGACACTCACAAGGGCACTCGCAGTCCATCTGATCCATTCGATTGCAATTCAAACAAATACGATCAATTGTGCTGCAGGGACAGAAGGCACCACCGTCGCAGGTGGAATTAAGTACCGCAGCAAATAAATTACTTCCATATACCAACGCGATTGCGTATTTTGTGCGTTCGCCATGCACTACATTTGTTAGAATATCGCTCAGCGAGGTGTTAAAAACATAATACCGTTGAAGTGTGCGGTTTTGGTAGTTGGCGCAAGCCAATTTACGTACTAAGGATTTATGGTTGAGAATGTCGTTAGCTAGATAGGATTCCTTGTGTGTGAGATGCTCGTGTGGTCGTCGTTGATTTCGTAGCAGAGTACTAGGCTCCAGCATACTCGGATGCGCTATAAGATAACCTTCGTTTTCGAAGAGGAGACACTTGATATGCTTCATTTGACACAGGGGAGTTGAATCAATTATCATTCTATAGTAGTATCCGTATGGCAGGTCTAGGGCAACAATAGCAACCGGTTGATCACGTTCGACTGAGTGTAAAGCGTTAGATTTTCCTTCAAAAATCGTATGAGCAATTGTGATGATATAACCCGCGCCGCCTGCGTCTAAATAAGGTTCGGTTGTAATAATTTTACCAGGCTGTTGTAAAGCCTTTCGGAACCATGGCCGACGGGTGGGGTCATAGTTTGTGCTGAGTAGACAACCTGGGTAAACTTGAAGCACGCCATTCACACTGGCTATGTATCGACGTATAATGTGATTCTTAAGCGTGCCACGTGCGTCCTGATGGCGTTTCTTCAAATGTTGCATGGCATTATATAGTGCACTCACCTCTTTTCGAATTTGTGGCCGCAGGCCTGGATTTGCCAGAAGGCCAGTGGTGTCTTTTAAGTAGGCCATTATACTCTCGACTGTACGTATTTGCGCCCGTGGTGAGTTCACGCGATTGTTATGCAAAAAGGTGAACGGCGACATGAACGCGGAGGCACTTAGGAATAATGTGGGCGTTTCTGAAAAAATAATAATCAGTATATATATTATACATACATATAAATGCATTTTTCTTTACGGTCGGGACGACCAAACTTACCCATGGTAGCAACTTGTCGAAAGAAACGACAGGTTTGGCTACTTGATGGTGGTAATAAGTCAAGACGATGATAAAGCAAATCCATGCCCCCAAGGTACTCGTAGTCATTGTGAAAGCGGGGCATATTGTCTTTAACCACATTGTAACGCTGTAGGCTGATCGGTAAGCTTGGGGGCACTTGTGGAGTTGCTAAACGCATTGCATTTTCGAGGCTTGCAGATGTTGTTGAATTAATGGCTGCTATTTCTGGCTTAAAAGTAGACACGAGGCATAATATATATATGCCTAATATGGACTGCCACTGATAGATACGCTCAAAAGACTGAAAACGGTTAAAAATACTAAATCAGTTCAATATTTTAAATTAATTTTTAGAATTCTTGGCCAAATTAAATTAAAAACTAAAAAGTTAAATATACAATTTTTAACAATAGAAAAGCAATATAGTAAGCAAAATTGCAGATTCACACTTATTTATTTTGCGATATTTTTTTCGTGAGTCCTCGTCATTCTGAAATATTTATACTTACTAACCTCAATTTTGCGATCCCTGGTGAGATAGACACTTGTTGTCAGATTTCCGTGTTCATCGTGCAAAATTAATCTCCTCGTATAAGCAAAATCTGTAGAGTTTTCCAAAAATGCAATATCCACAGGAAAAGGTGTTTGTTGCTGTGCCATGGGACGTGGAAATGCCGGATGAGCAATTGTTATGCCGTTACGATCAATGAGGAAAGCATAACTATACTCATTTTTATTGGCATTTTGCGTTGGTTGTCCGTAACTTATTACATCTTCTATTAAGTCGGTTAGATAAAGGTTTACCCCTATGACACCGAAAGGTGGCACAGCATGTGTCACAGAGACAATAGCATCTGCAATCGAAATGTATATAGAATTCTCCATTGAAAATGCTTATTTACAAATATCTTACGCTTACCTCCACTAGTAGTCTCCACCATAGGCAATTGTACCTCAAAACTCTCACTCAAGTACCTTTCTCTAAATGTGTGTTGGAATAAGGCTACGCTCAAGCGCATCAATTCATCTGTTTGTGCTTTGGTGAGCACAAAAAATCTACCAGCTAACTGCTGTGGTTCACATTCACTTTCACACCACTCGTTTACTGAAATCTTGTACTTTGTGTAATTTTGTGTGGCAATATCAGCAAGAAATTGCTTTTCATACATTATACGCTTTTCATCCGTGACCACGGCACAGGTATGTATGATGATCGGTTCTAATAATTGACGTTGACCGTTGGCAATTACTTGAAGTACTTGCATAGTATCTGAGAGATTGGTGAGTAGACCACGGGTGACATAAACAAATTGTATAGGGTTAAGTTCGGATATCACACTGGCATTTTGCAGTTGATATATCATTTGAAAAGCATACTCGAAGCCCAGCGAGTGATTTGTTTGGCCCTTAGTCACCACTAGCGTATGAATGTGATTCAGGATTTCCTCTTTACGTGCGCGTGTTGCGTAAAACACGCCTGTGGCCGCTTCGTTGGAATATATATCGAATGGCATAATGTTTGCCTCATCTGATACGGTTACTATGGATATTCTATCGGTGGGCGAGAGTAGTTGTAAAATATTGGCAATTAATGCTTTCGTTAGCTCTAACAATTCCATATTCATTGCAGATCCAACGTCTATTAACAGAAATAAGTATTTATTTTTTATTGCTGATACATATAACTGCTGAAAATAATTCTCGTCATAATAGTGTGCAGTCAATTCATTAGCGTTATCACTGCGTGATAGAAAAAATATGTGTTTAAAGTGATTTCCAAGGAATTTCAGTTTCGAATTAGTTTCTGTTGTAGTTGCTGGACCCGTGTTGCGTACATTAGCGGATATCTTAGGAAGTTCAATCGTAAAATCACTTTTCATTAACGAACTCTTCAGTGCTTGTAGTTTTTCGAGTATGTACACATTGGCACGCCCTTCAAAGGAACCCTCATCCGTGAAATAGTTGCCCTGATCGAATTGTTGATAGTATTGTGTTTGATGATGTTTAGCGGGTGATGAATCAGTCTTTAGATAGTTAAGTATTTGTATTTGTTGTTTGTTGTAATTTGATTCGCTAACCGAATTTACTTTTCTACCGCCAGCTATAGTTTGAAAAGCTTGTATACATGTGTGCAAATGCATATGCATATTTCGTATTCCTTCACCTGTAGCAACTAAACTATCTAAATCATTAATTTCTACATCAAATTCATCTTCGTCGTTATCAATTTCACTTTCTTCATCATCAACAGCATCATCATCATCATCTGGTTCCAAATCAACGTCTCGCTCAACCTCGTCATTTTCATCATCATATTCTGTCGCTTGTAAATGCTGTTGCAGTAGAACTTTTGTAATGTTAAAACGAAAGAAATCGTGCAACTCTCGCACTACATGCGTCGCCGTTTGCAGTTTCTTTGCCAGCCGTTTACTGAATATTTCAAGATCATGCTGCAGCGTTGCCGAAACACTGCTGTATTGCGGCTCGCTATTGTTCTTCAGTGCAGCCATGTTCAGCGCAGCGCTACCGCCGCTAAAATGCAATGAATCGAATAACTCCTGTAATAAGAAATTAATCAATTATTTTTTAATCTTACATTCTGTTCCAAAAACTCACCTGAATGGTCGCAACCCGCATTTCTACATTACGTATAATTCGTAGTCGCGAATCAATATTGCGCACAAGTTCCAACACGTTCTGTTGGCTAAGGTAGTTCATGAAAAACACGTTGGCCGAAGATTGACCAAAAGATGAAGCAGGAACTGAGGAGCCCGTAGTACCACTTACTACAGTACCAACATTCACGGGCTCACTTATATTGTGTGTCAAAGGCACTTTTTGTGGCGCAACTGAAGCGCTAGTTGCAGGGGCTGCCAAGGGCACAGGCAATGCATTGACATTCACTGTGACAAAGTCCTTCGTCACAGTTGGAAATTGAGTAGTTATTTTTGGGTTTACATTAAGACTAATATTACTTAACAATACAGGAACATTCATATTGGTGTGATTAATTCGTTTTACTTTCGGAACCGTATCTGTTGCACCGCTACCAATCTCGCTGAGTAGCACTGCGTCACAACTAAAAAGCAAAAGAAGTGCAAATATACACCTCATTTTGGCGGACATTTTGACGTTCACAATATTCTATTCTTTTTATTTTAAAAGTCGTATTGTTACAGAAAGGTGTTGTAAGTTATTTCCATAGTTATTTGCCGATATGTTGGTTCTCTGAAATTAGAGGGACTGTTAACAATATACAAAAATGTTTTTTTTTTTATTTCTTGACTTATGTTTGGTTGAAAAAAAGGAGAATAACCAAGAATTGAGGTATTTGTGAAAGGAATTCCTAATTTTTTGCAACATTTTACTGTACATATATAAATATTCTCCTGGATTCATCATTGGTTGTAGTGATTGCGCTATACCAAATGGTAATTACTAATTTCTATGATCTAAGCTAAATGGAACTGAATAAAATAAAATCTCAAAATTAAGTGTAAATATTTACGCTTAAATTCTTTTTGTAAACATTTTTATAATACATCATACATACACATACATTATATGTGCATTTGTATATAAAAAACAACAACGATGTAAGGATTGTACGAGCGGTAGACTTCAATCACTGGCGTGTTTTTGTTTTCACTTATGTTATTAATATGCCTTTTTTTTGTTTATTTATCAATTTCCTTTACACCTTGCCCATTCACACAATACACACATAAGCCGTCAAATGCTTAGAAGTGTAAAAAAAAGATGAATTCATTGAACGTGATTTCACTTCATTGGTTTCCATTCACTTTAAATCCATACTTTGCAAACTTTTCTTTACTAACCTTTGATAAGCACTATTAACACTTCATTTTGATAATATTTTTATTTAAAATAATTAAGTTTATTTAATATAAAATATAGAAAACTAAAATTGGTATAGTACTTGGTGTGTATTTGCATTAAAGCGATGAAAAACAGTGCTGCATTTCCGAATGTCATGGGTAGCCCATCAGAAAAGAAGAAGTGGGAGAAAGCAAAAACCCAATAAACTGGTGGATTTTAGTCTTATAATAAAGTTAAGAAATCTCAACGAGTTTTCTGCTAAAAAAATTCAACGCAATATTCTCATAAGAATACAAAAAACGAATATAAATACATAAATATACATATGTACATATATAATTGAAAAAATAAGGCTTGTGCAAAATGGGCATTTTTTAGTTCTTCTTTGCTTCCGCTTTCCTTATGTTTTAACAATTCTAACAATTCGAACAATGGAAATTTTCAACGGGCTTGCGCTGAGAGTCATTGCATTAATAAATGTATAGTGTACTTTTTAATAATAAAAATTTATAGCAATAATGTTTATAATGTGTTTTGAAAGATATTACAGCGTGAGTCAAAGAAATTCAAATGCTGAAAAATTATTGGTGAGTACATAACTGCAAGCTACTTATGTTGATTATCTTAAAACTATTGTACAAGTTGGAAATATAATACCATTACTAGAGTAAAAGATATAAGGTACATTTGTGTGAGAACATTTACATATTTGGATATGAACTCTATAGAATCTTGAAACTTTTTTATTTAACAATTCTTTGTAATTGCCCACGGCTGTTGGATTTAAAAATCGGATTTTTAATTTCTCCCAATGGTGTATAGTGCAGGTTAGCAGTGAAACTACCATCAGTCCGTGCCTCAGCTTCACTCTGTGTGGTTGTGTAACGTACCAACTGCAAACGATTATCAAGACCTAAAACATAATATTGACCACGAGTTGCACGTGATGCAGGGTAGCCACCGCCACCGTTACGACCAGCACTTGGTTTTCTTACACCATCAGCGTCAACCTCCTGTACATCCGCTTCCAAGCCACCATCATCAGCGTTCACTGCGCCACCCACCAATTGACGGTTGTAAGCGTCTTTAGCTGCATTTAGCGCTTCTATGGCCAAACGCGCGGCATCTTCGAGCTCGTTATCGGCCTGCTGTGGTGGCTTTAAGCTACGCGGATTCGGGTAGTTTATAGTGAATTTTTGCTCCTCTCCACTACTGGGTGGCCCGAACTTTTGTGCTGGCTTAGAAACTCGTGTTTCCTGTTCGCTACCAAATGCAAAATTTGTTGTTGTTTGTGGTCGCAAAGGTCGGCGCTGACTGAATTGTGGTTGCGGTTTGGATATTTGAAATATTTGCGTTTTCTGTTGCTCTTGTGGTCGAATATCGATTGTTTTAAAAACAAGTTGTTTTGCTGGCTTCTGATAAGGCGGCCTTTGTACCTTCAGAAAGTCTGAGTTTTGCTTTTTTGTTGCTAAGTATGGGGAAGTTTGTTGCCTATTAGCGGAACTTACTGCACTACTTTGTATTTGTCCGGCGAAAACAACGCGTTCTTTGTTGAGTTCTACATCAAATATGGGTTGCTGTTGCTTTCCAACGTCGCGTGCGGGCGGCAAGTAATCGGCGGGCAAGTTGAATGGACGTTGTGGACGCCAACCTCCTGCGGCATATGGCGCTTCAGCTAGAGTGGTAGTAATGCAGAGTAAAGAACTTAAGAAGAACTGTGGTAGAGAGAGGTTGTAGAGAGCAGAGAGAAGATTCGTTAGAGTTGTTTTAAGAAATTATGTATATAAATCAATTTTGAGGTTATGGCAAGACCGTTAAAATTTGATATTTTTTGTTATTCGTTAAAACTTCAGTTATTTGGTATGTAAAATCAGTAGAATTTTTGACTAATAACTTTTTTTTACACCGTTTCATAAATTTTTAAATCCTTTCTAGTCCACACATAATTTGTATTTCGCTAAATTTCCAAAACACTAACCTTTAAACACAACATTTTCTTTAGAAAAATTTTCGGACCGCAACGCAATGAATAGAAACCGCAACTGAATTCGTGCAATCAAACTAAACACATTTTTATACCCAAAAAATGCACTCAGCGGTTTTTAAACGGATTAAAAAATGCAATGCAAAAATATTAAATTGATGAATTTCCAAAAAAAAAGGGAAATATAAAGATTATTAACATTTCAAGCACGTCGTAATCGCATGCACTAAACTATGCTAAGGTGCTGCGCATAAAATGTTCTCTGCAATGTAGCTGATGTCGACCGACAATAAAAGGGTGGGATTTACGCATGCGCGAAATAAAAATAAATCATTATACACGCTATGTGTGCCAGGTAAGCGCAGTGACAAATGTTACAACAAACAAAAAATGCAAAAAAAAAATAATAAATAAATCAAATACTATAAGTATATAGTAAACTTTAGCCGACTTCAGCTACATCCTCACTGCGTTTGCTATTGAATACAAATTTTATTTTTGCATCGGAAATTCGCACATGAAAATGTGCTATTTGCAAAAATTGTGTGTGTCTACAGTTCGTAACATCGCTTTATATGTGCGTTTGTAATCTTTGGCGATTATGATTTTTGACAAATGCGAGGTTGTCACGTTGCATTAAAAAGAAAATTGAAAATTCTCAAACAACAAATAATTTATTACTCAAATTTATTCACTCATATGTACTTATATATGTGTTTTCGTAAATACATTTGTATTTATGTAAATATATATGTGCAAGTAAGATCTTTAATTTTGGTGATATCCGATTTGATTATAATTAACTGCGATTTCAAAACGAACTATCTTAATTATTAGAGTAGTTCTAAAATAGTTTTAAAATCCTCTGAAAACTGTAAATAAAATAAATAAAATAAAATATTGAGGGCACACATTGAGTCTGTTCTCAAAAGATAAATCCACTTGCAAGCTATGATCGATATTGAAATCGATTACCTATTTCACTGAAAAGGTTTTACATCTGTCAAACCATAGTTGGTGTGAATAAGCGTCTGATGTTGTGTCTCTCTTCGAAAATGTCTGGATTTATGTTAAGCAGTATTTGGAAAGTTTCCATTTTCTTTTTTAATTGAAAAAAAAGTGCAGCTGAGGCCAAACGAAAGGTTGAGGGAATTTTCGGTGAATCTTGAATCTGTGCTGACCGATAGTCCGAAGATGAGAAATTGGAAGATTCATTGAATCAATTGATTGATGGAAACCATTGATGCGAAACGTTATCGACTACAACTAATGCGTTTAAGCGAAAGGTGATTTCAACCCACGTGGATGTAATGGAAAAACGGTCATCGATTCGTGTCTTTAAAGTAACCAAAAGCTGGCTCAATGATTGATTTCTGTACTCAATTCATGACTTGAGAATTGCCAGAGAATTGGAAAAAAAGTACTTGCAGCTAAAGGACAATACTTTGGATAATGTAGAGCAGATAATTAAGAGCAGATGGTTTTGAAATGTACAGAGTTATGACTATATGAATGCAATCCCTTTGGAGTTTTTCTTTAGTATTTTTCTGCTCTCTCTCTCTTTTTATATATAATTGGCGGTTTGTAATGACCCAAGCGATTTTCGGCCAAACTCCTCCTCCGATTTGCTCGACCTATGTATGTATACTTTGTTCTAAGCCGCAGCCAAACAGAGCCACGGCAATGGGACGCGGACTGGAACCCTGGTCTTCCGAATGGTAGTAGAAGTCCTAACCCCTAGGCTATTGTGATCAATTTGGTATTTTTCTTCAGGCTTTTTTTTTACTTTTTTGCCTTTCTTTTTAAGTAATTAAAACGTAAACTATTTCAAATCTTCAAGCATTGGTAAAATATTTCGGCGACTAAAAAGTTATAGTTAGTTTTTTACATTATTCCTTCCGGTTATTTTTTTTCAAACGTAGTAATGGGTATTTCAAAAAGATTAAAAATTTAAGAAAATATATTTTTTTTTGTTAAAAAAGAACTCGAAATCATTTTAATGCTTTTCTTAATATACATTATCATTTAATTATGCAGCATTTGCAAATTTATCGGTCTGCCGCACAGTGAATAGGCAGAAAATTAGAGTTTCCACATTTACATATATCCACACATACATACGTTTACGCATAGATAATTAAATTAAACTGTTACAACGACTGCTGACCACGGAAAGCTCTTGTATTTATGTCTGTATATCTAAAAATCTGTGAGCTTCTTGTACAAACATACATAATTATGTATGTTTACAATTGTATATAATAAATATTTGTGTATACGTTTACTGTAAATTGTACATTGTTTGGCTACTTTATTAGCCAATGCAAGTGTCTAACAGCTCAAACAGTCTTTGACCTTTTCCTGTCTTGTTTTTTTCTTCTTCCGAATTCAACTTCAACTTGACCATCAATGTTGAGACAAGTATTTCAAAATATTTCATTTTTATTTTTATTTTTAAAGATAGGTCTGTTGTGCATAGTTTTACTTTTGTTTATCCGTGTTCTTTGTTGGTTTCACTTTTTATGCATAATTTTTTGTTTGCATAAATTTTTGATAATTTGTTTATGTGTAAATGACACTAAAAGTGGGGTTTCATTAAAAAAAAAAATAATAAAATGATTATTAATTGTTTGCGCAGCCAATATTTTTTAACTAAATTCATGAATTTCCAGCTTAAATTTTTTATTAATAATTTTGACTTGACCGCTTGATTGTTTTTTTACACTTATAAGCATTATTGTTGTATTATTTTGCTGTTTATTATTTTTAATAATTGTAGTAATTACTGCAGCTATTTGAGACACTTAAAGTATCTGAAATAAATAATTTTAATTTTAAGTGTTTGAAATCACAGATAATAGTTGTTGTCCAAAGCGTCGCTTATATTAATTTCTGAAGAAATTATAAAGTTATTGATGATAATAGTTTCCGGTCTTCCAAAGACAAAAATTAACACAAAATTGAATTTATCCTACTAAAAAATTCTTTAACAAAAAAATTAAACTTTGAAATCTTGTATAAAAGAATAAAATTCGTTAGCGGTGTTAAGATCAAATTTAAGTCAAAGTCAAATATAATCTCACTTTGGTGCATTGGGCTTTGGTGGATCAAGGGTTCTGACAGAATTCGATGTCAAATCTTCCTGATAAATTAATACTGGAGGAATGTAGATTTAAACTGAACTTTTTAAGTTTTAGAATCTAAATAAAAAGTGACTTACAACTTTAGGCTATTAGCAGTAAATTACGACAGGTAAGGCGTTGCTCTTTAAAATACTGGAAGATCCCTTCTTTGAAGTCGTGTTCGGCTTTCTTTGCAGCATAAAACGTTCATTAGGGGATTCGGAAAATTTTGCACTTTCGATTGTATTATATGGATACTAGATTCCATACATCCAGATTGAATTTAAGCCTGAGTTATATAATAGAATTTTCTGATCCCAGCTAAGCGCGGAATTTTTACCCGAAGGTCAATTCAGGTTGAAGGTCTTAAGTTTGATTTTGCTGTATTTTATCAGAAATATGGCTCGTTGAGGTTAATCGCCTTTTTTGATGAATGCCAGAGTATTTGTATTTATATTGTAGTATTTGCTCGTTCACTTTGATGTGCCAGCTCAACAACTAACTTCCAGCAAGTTTTAAATGATTGCCTAGTGTTAAAATAGCGGCATTTTAAGCTTTCCTCTGTTTTTTCTCATTAACTTTTAGTTTTAATTGAAAGGGACCGAATTGAATTCGCGGCGCAGAGGCCCAAGTTGGCTGTATTCGTATTTTATATACTTTGAAAACTCTTTGTGGATTTTCATTTCGCTACAGTTGTCTCAGTTGAGGGCAAACAGTTGAACAAGCTAATATTGTCCTCTACATTAATTTCACTTAAAACTTCAACTTCAACTTAAGCCAATTAGTTTTGGGCGCAGTCAGGCGAAATGATTTCTCAATTATAATTGGTTGCCCTAATTAATTGATCATTAGTGGAGAATGATTGGTGGACAAGTCGGCACTTGAACTTTTAGTAGATTAATTATTGATCAAGGAAAAATAATGTTGAGTGCGGCAACCTAAACTATAAATAAATCCCAATTTATTGAGGATTGGGGCAGAAGAGTTAATATTGTAAAATTAGCAAAACAAGCATTTTCATGAATATTCGTGGTAAAATATTGAACTATTGAGAGATTGAAAGCATAATATTATTTTTAAATTATGTGGTTTTTAAAGTAAATTTAATATTTTTCGCTTCTTATCACATTTTAATGTAATTTACTTTTATTACCAACACTTTTTCCGATACAACTGAACTAGAAGTATTACGATTTGGGAAAATAGTTTCTATAATTTTGAAATTTTATTTGATTTCTCTAACACTTGAAAATATGAATTTTTTAAACAAATAACACTACAAAACAGCAAAAGTAATTTATATAAGAAATAAAAATGTATAAATAAATAATTGAAAATGCCTAAAATCAAATAACCCTAGGCCTCGTTTAAGTGCCCATCTCAGTCTATTTACAAATTAACTAAAGACATTGCCACTGCTAATTTTAAATTATTGTTATACAATAATAACTATTATATACGTGAAAATTAGTTTTTTTTAAACATTTTGCGAAATTAAGAAAAAAAAACTCTTTGGGCCTACAATTTTCGGCTATGATGTGATTATTACGCCTGCGCACACATTTACCCTCTTAAATGCATATGTACACGTAAATAAATAATCACATTAAAGTGCTACAATTCAAAAGTAAGTGCAGTTACATATGTGTGCATACAGAAAAAAGAGAATTTTTAAGACAAAAAAATATTATTACAAAGTAAATAATTAATAAAATCGTGGCAATTTCAACACGGCAGACGTCAAAACCCACACACAAACGAATCTTCAAGCAATAATAAAAATAAAAAGCTAAATAATAGTCGTATATACAATAACAATCAACCAATAATTGTAGCATACCGCCTGTGGCAGCTAAAATACAAAGAAACATACATAAATACTCATCTATAAGTAATGACTTGGAGTCGCGCATCATCCTAGGGGTATTAAGAGACAGCAACAGTCTGCAGTTTATTTGTCTGTATTTAGGTGACGATGCTTTATATTGCGTTTTTTTCTTTTTTATTTTTTGAAATTACTTATCGATCGCTTGTTGGTGTTGTGGGCCGAAAAATCCTAAATTATGCGCTTATAACCACTTTAGATTGTCCGATTGTGTAATGTTTGTTTGTGGTTGCGCATACGCCACCGCTTGGTATTTCAACTGGTTCAGTTTTTGATTGGGATTGTAAGCAGCGAAAAATTGTTGCTTGATGCATGTATGTATGTATGTTTATTTATGAACATGAGTTGTTACAGTTTAAATACACTTGACATAATTTTTAAGGATCTCAACTTTTTTGTTTGTTTATTTTATATCTAATCTGTTCAAACAATATTTGAATGCATCAACATACTTTTTAATTCACTATAAATTTATAGCGATTATTATTGGACATCGATTTTAATCGAGTGTATTGATTATCGATTTGTATTGATTTTTTTGATTTACTTTGTTTTTTCATCTTTAGAGTACCCTAACGAACCGTGACCGTAGTAGTCGAATGGTTAGCAATGCGTACTACCCTACTTTGGGTCATCGACTTGTAGCATAGCCAGACCAGCACAGCAAGCAAAACTTATAGAAAATCTATTTAAAATTAATTTTTTTAAATTCAGAGGATATTAACACATAATTAAACAGCTCCTTCTAAAAATCCATTAGCCGTTCGAAGTGAACAGAGAATGAACTGTAACTCCCTTGATTTGCCCTAAAAACATTAAGAGGCACCCAAAACAAATTGGAGGAAGAGAACGATCGAAAACATATGTGCAACAGATCTAAACTTGTATTCTCATAAAAAAAAAATAAAAATATATACTCACATGAAGCAAAACCAAAATCATATTGTTAATCAGTTTATAAAATATTGCCTATGCCAACTTGGTCCAATCAATCGTGCATCCTTAATAATAATAATAATAATAATTAATAGATCATTTATAGCTGAGTAACGATACTTGAGATAAAAGCTATAGAGTTTAAGGCGTTGCCAGATTATTTAACGAGATTTAGTTTTTGACAGGAGTTACAGCTGATTCTCTTAAGGTTTCTGTGACAAAATTTAGGCAGTGAATTTATGTCAAACTTTTCTGTCAAACTTTGTTAAATGACAGTTCTTTTGAATTTAATGAACTGATAAATTATTGTCAGTCAGCCAAATGTTGCTGCAAATTCACGGAAATATAATTTTATTAAGAAATATACTCACTTTTTATTAATATTATTTTTTGTTAAAAAATTTATTTTTAATACCTTTTTACCGAAAATAAACGCAATTTTTACTTTTAAACTTTGTTTTATACAAAAATGCTCTTTATTGATATTCTTTATGACATCGAACTGGCCTTACACGTCATTAAATCATTAATTATTTTTCATTCCTTTACAATGAGAATTTTTACAGATATTTATTTTACACATTGCTTTTTACTTGTAACTATAATATAATAATTAATAAGTACTTTGTAAAAAAGAAAAAAATATAATGAATCTCGTGGGCACATTGCGTGATTTTTTTTTTGCATTTTTTATTATTAATTTTTTTAAGAATAAGGTATGCACGTATAAAAAATATGGATAGATGAGTGTATGCTTGTGTACATATGTATACATATTTGTATGCTTTTGTGTTGTGAGTTTTCAAAAGCTTTCGTTGAAATATACTAAAAATGAGAGTGCTTATTGGCTAAGATAATGGTAAAGATAACTGCTACATTTAAGCGAATAACAAATTTTCTTTAACAACAAATGTTTCTGCTCCGCCACAAAGCGATGGAATTGTTGTTGTTGTGGTTCTTTATTGCTTTGATTTATTGTTGTTGTACATGGCGGAAATCGAATGGCAAGTGACGGGCATCGTTCGACTGATTGGATCTTCGTTGGCAATGCGTAGTGTGAAATGAGTAAGTTGTTGGCGATAATAGTGTGGCAGTTGAGGAAAGGGATGAAGAGGTCAATGTAAAATGTGAAAGCTTATGCAGTGCTTTTAACGCACGCATACTTACGTATTAAATGAAGCTTATAATCTCAACTGTTTGACTTAAACTAATGAAGAAAATTAAGGAAAAACTCAAGAAATCAGAGAAATCAATCATAGAAATCGAAATGATTAAGAAACCTAAACAAGTTAAATGCAATGCACTTGGCGATAGGATGCACAAGCACTGGAAAATGCCTTAAAATACATAATCTCTCTCTCCTAGTCACTCTTGACTGCCACTCTTTCTACCACACAAACCATCACTACTAACTTTACGCGCTTGCCTTCTACACTCACTCCTTCAATGACACCCGTCCTTTTGGGGGCTCAACACTTTATTGGTAACCAGCAAAGCCTGAACCGCCCTGACCACCGCGTCCACCGGCGCCGGCACCATTACCATTGTTGTAACCATTGTTCACCTGTTCGTAACGGATGGTGGGACGGTAGCCTTGACTATCAGCCTCGTAGTCGACAATTTGTTTGCGACCATCGGGCAAGAGCACGTAGTAGCGGCCAACAGCCAAATCACCATCGCGTTGTTCCATATGACCGAAATCGTTACCGGATTCATAGTCTTGCACATCATATTTGAATTCGTATTTAGCAGGTCCGTATTGTTCCTCGCCGGCATATCCGTTACCGCTACCGTAACCGCCGTTACCGCCTTGTTGTTTGGGGAAGATGGCACCAGTCAAAGCTGGAGCACCATATTGAGAGCTCGGCGCAGCTGGGGCGCCATACTGTGAGCTGGGCGCACCAGCGGCGGGTGCACCATAACTGCTGCTTGGTGGCGCGCCTGCACCAGCGCCGCTATTACGTTGGGGTGGCAAGTAGTTGTTTGAGGGCGATTGGTAGGATTGTGTAGGCGGCAGGTATTGGCTAGAGGGCTGTTGACCACCTTGGTTGGGAGGCAAGTACTGATTCTGAGGCACTGGTGGTTCGGCACGGGCGAGCGAGACACAGGCGAGGAGAGCTATCGTTGCAAAGCACTGTGGGGAGAAAAGAAAAGCAAGAAGAAGACTTAGAAAATGGCTTACAGTGAGTTATTTAATTTTAGTTAAAAATTTCCTGTCGTTTTTGTAGATAAATGACGATGTGGAATACAGCTGACTATTCTGAAGCCCAACAGCTGTGTCCAATGGATATGGTGAAGTTTTCTTCAGACTTTTAATTTCATTATAAATGTAAAAATAAGCAATTAGTATGCTCTTCAAATACCGTTAAACGCATGCAGTTGTACGTTTTGAAATATATTTAAAGCCTGCTAAAGTTACGCTATTGTTTTTTGCGAAATCCAATTAAAGTTGCCTACTACCGCCCACTCGCTTATCTCTCATGCACATCAGCCGTTGAACATTTTCAATTAACTTTTATAACCCATTGTGCATTAATTCCATTTTTTCATTACTTTATAGCCAAATGTTTTACCCAAAAATTCATAAGCATAATTAACATTTAGATTTGCGCGAATATGAGAAAAATTTGCATAAAAAATGAATAACAAAAAAATAGAAAAAGCGAAAAATTCAAAATATACAACACGCGAACGCTGTCAAACAAGTGCAAACAATGGCAATTAAGTTGTCAGATCTAATCTAATAAATCTGCCAGATGCACAGCGATAAGGTGCGCAAGACACCGTCATGCCACAAAGGAAGAGAGAGATACCCAAGGCGGCCGCTAGCCTGCCGCTGCCGCTACAGTCACCGCCGCCGCATAGTTTTAATATTTATTCAAGTACCGCGGCTGAGTTTTGAAGTCTTTGGCGGGTGCTGAATGCGAGTAGAACTCTACAAAGTGATGAGCGAGCTGGAGCAGTCTCGAGGAAATTTACTTAGCGCTGTGTGTGCAACTTATAATTAGAGGAAATTAACATTTTATGCATGACGATGACAGTTACGCTTTGTGGCGGTGGCACAGTCGTTGGATAGAGAGGGCGGACGGATTTGAAATCGTGAAAAATATTAGAAAAGAAATAAATAAGCAAACGTTGGTAATGCGATATGCTTCGAGATGGGCAATCGTGTGTTTGAGTGGTGTATGTGTGTGTCGGCACTCAAGCGACAAATGACAAACGACAATCACCTGTTGACGCTAAGGCGCAGCGTTGCACTTCTTGCTCGGCCACTGTTAGCCTGAGTTAGCGTCTTGGCGCATTTGAATGAACGAGTTATTGCAAAATTTTGACTGTTTTTTCATCTTCTTTCATTTTCGCAAAGAATTTGGAAGGAAATAAGCTGTATTTCACAGCGGCATCGGCGACGGCGCGACAATATGTAAATCTTGGCAATTGGGTCACTAAGAAATGTGCATGAAATGAGGAATAAACTGTGTACGGGGTGGGGCAAAAGACGTGGGCTGTAATGTAGAAATGCAGTTGACAAAGCGCTGATTTTTTAATTAGCTGCATCAGGCTGCAGTTTGTGTAAGAAATTGATAAAAAAATGTTTGTTCAGTTAATTTGTTTTATAATATAGCAAACATGAATATTTTTTGTTATTATTTTAAGATTATTTTTGTTAAGGAGCTTTTTTCCTCACCGATTTCTGAAAGCGTTTTTTAGTAATTCTTTTTATAAAGTGCGTATGCGCAGCGTAATTAGTTGATACGTTCGTTATCTTCTACATATTCTTATATGAATTTGCTATAGTTTGTGACTGTGTATTTCAAAAAATCGACACAAAATTTTCGAACAAGTGAAATTACAAAGAATTAAAAAATTTAAATATGAAATGAAAATATTTAAAGGATTTTTTCAATCAGAAAATGATTTGTTACAAAAATAAAATAAAAATAAAGGGTTAAAAACTTCATTGAAATATGTGATTGCTTAACCAGCTGTATAAGATTTAAATCACAATATTTGCGCAAAAAGCGTCTCATTGGTGTTAAAAGCTAGAGGAAATTTATTTTAAAACCCTAAACATTTAAAATAATAAATAAAAATCTATAAGAAAATTTTTTTTTGATTTAAAAAAAATGATTCGAACATTAAAAAATCTAATTAAAAATCAAAGTCCAAAAATAAAAAATTAAAAAATGTGTTAGTATCGCATAGCAGCAATGCTTCGTTAAAAGCGGAATTTTTTTCGAAGTTTTGCGCAGAAAGTGTCGAAATTCTAAAATGAAGAACAGAAAAAATTTATGGAAACAATTACCTTATGAAAAAATAATAATTTTCCTGCAACACAAGCCTAACAGTTTGCGGATTCGCAATTATTTTTAATTTTTCCACGCAACCGCTGAGGCACGTTCACTCAGGCATTCTAATAAGTGCAACAAGGTCTATAGCGGCCTGCCGTTGCATGTATCATCTGCTTTGCCGTTACTTGTCGTTCTAAATTGAAAGTTGACCACGCTATGCACTACAACAGTTGGCCACATGTAGGATTATTTTTTGGCCATATAAATCATTTTGATGACCATCAGCGCTGCTGTTGTCGTGTTATGTTCGCATGTAACCTCACATACACACGTAATTGCCACTGGCGTTTGGTCTGTCGCTTTTTAATTGCTTATTTTTTGTAGACGCCTTTGCGTCTTCTTCAGTTTTGTTTTTTTTGTAAGCGCGCTTATGCGTTTCATTTACTTGTGCGTGTGTGCGTGTGTGCACATTTTTATTTTTCCTTTTCTGACTGTTTTTTTTTACTATTTTTATGATTTCGGTCGCTCTTTTATGTTGATTAACTGATAAATAGTTGTTAAGTGAGCGTTAAGTGTATTGGTAATAAAATTTTATTGTTATTTAATTTACTTAAATAAGTTTGAGAATGTCTCAATTGGTTGCTGGTGAGTTATGAGGAACTAGAAAAATTAGCTGCATTGATATAAGTAATAAATTTTATCAAAACAAATATCACATTTTAAGAGCTTTTTTAAATAAAGGTATTTAAAATCATAGCTTTTTTTAGAAATATGCGATAAGAGTTTTGAAAAAAGCAGGCTGAGCGGAGAGTGATTGATTGAAAGTGTAATGAATAAAATAAAATAAAAAACTGAAAGTAATTAAGAAAGTCGAGATGAAATGTTTAATGCATAGACGAAAAATTGCTGTTTCCGCAAAAACTACCGCCTCACACGCAACTGAAATTCAGCGCCAGATGATATGTGCTTGCGTTCGGAGTGAAAAAAGGTTAAGCGTTTAAAACGTCTCGAGATGAATGGCTTGTCAAATTAGGTGCCACACATGTCCCGCGTTTCATCTGGGGCTCATCTGACTGATTTGTAGATAAATTAAAATGTTAAAGTGTGATTAAAGCGTATTTGTAAAAATATTTCTTGCCGAAGGGAAGTAAGCGTTAGCTAGCTATTGAGGATTTAGCGATTGTGTTGGTTTAATGGACATTTATTGCCGAATTATTTGTAAGTTTTAAGTTTATGCTGCATTTAAATGCAGGAAAAGTGAAAAAATATTGAATATTATAATGTTCAAAAAAGAAAAATATTTAAAAATCTGCATTTATCGGTAGAAAAATATGTTTCTTCAAGAATGCTATGACTGGTTTTAATTTTCAGACTTAATATATTTTTAACTTATTTTTTTGGTACTTAATACATTTAGTATAAGATTCTTATTGCGTTTTTGCAAAACTAGTATTTTGAAGATCCATTTAAAAAATTAGCTTGAAGCCTTTTCAGGCATTTTTGTGCAATAAAAATTGTTATTTTTCCAAAGTTTTCCAGAATTAATATTGTATGAACTATCCATTTTGCTAATACTTTATTAGAAAATAATGCAAAAATTTAATTCTTTAAATTAAGTTTAAAATTCTTAGGAAAATAAATTCATTTTTACATTTTCTCTTAAAATGAACAAAAATCATTATTTTTATATTAATTCATGAAGTCATATTTTATGTATTTTTTTTTAAAGTACTATCTAAGTATGGGAAACCCATTTTTTTAAGCGAAATTATAAGCTGTTTTATATTTTGTTTTACTAGATGAATAAAAAATATAATTTTTTTCATTCGATAATATTTGTGAAACTCTTTTTTGAATTAATTTTAAAATTTAATACTTTTTTTGTATTTAACAATAACAAGGAATCCGAATCCTTTTCAATAAATTTGAAAATTATAATTTTTTCAAACATATTTTTGAACAATTCTCAAAAAAAAATTAATTTTAATTTAAATCGATTTTTAATTAATTTTGAAAATTATTATTAATTTTAAATTAATAATCTTCGGATCGATTTGCTTTTTTTTGATGTACCAATAATCCGTTTTGAAAATGTTTCATTTTTTTACCACAATTTTATATCCTTAAAAAACACACTGCAGCACTTGATACTAATTCTCGAAAATACTTAGATATCTTTTTATATAATTTTTTTTTTTACGTTTGCAAAATGATTTTTTTTATGAAACCCTCTTTGCGTACCTTCATTTTGTATATTCACTTGCTTGAGTTTTGAATTATCACACACAAAAGTTGGTTAGCTACTTAGCTGTTTGTTCTTCTTACGAAGATGGTTGAATTGAGTTTGATACTGAAATAGTTTCGTAGGCCAGTATTTATATTGTTTGAAACAAATAGTTATAGTGCAGTTAGCTGTTAGCAGCTGGTGGCTGGCGGCTAACGGCAGGCAAAGAGGCTGTCGAAAGCGTTGGCCCAAAGTGGCTGACGGTAGGCACGGGAGAAGACAGGTGACCTAGCAGCGCAGGCACTTTGTGAAGGGGGCAACTGCGGCAAGCATCAGCTGTGCGATGGTATTATGGCAGAGCGTAGAGGGAAGAGCAAAAAGATAACACTGCCGAAATGTTAAAATTGCGCGCAATTTTTTTTTTTTTTTCAACGAAACGAAAATCCAACAACATACAAGCTGAAAATAAATATTGTACTTACATACTCGTGCATACAGACATTCACACATATGTAAGTGCAGACCAAAATTAATTGTATCCGGAGAGCAAATGAGCAAGATTTTATGTAGAAATAGAAATCTTCAAAAGATTTGCCAAATAATAAAGTAAGAGGTAAAAAATGCGAGAGCAAAAATTCAAATACTGCCGGAGTTGAGCTGCTAACTGAAGTGGCAAGCAGAATAAGTGAGTTTGAAGCGGCGGCAGCAGCAAAATGAGCGCTGCTGTAGCAAACTAACTAAAGAAGAGGCAACAACAAGCGCCTAGCGATGTACGCAAGGTAAAAAGAAGAGCTGGGAGCACTGCTGTTGTTGCTATTGCTGTTGCATACGTTGAGTCACTCTTCACAGCACCGAAAAGCAAAAATAAAAAATTAGTATACACTTCAATAATAGACGTCTGCAGCAGCAGCAACAGCGAGAACAACAACCACATAGTAACTTTACGTATGGTAAATGAGCACAACAACACTAACAAATAAGTGTACAAAAACAAATAATAATAACAAAAACAAGGGCAACTTAAACACTGAGCTCATTCGTAATGATGTCGTTGATACAGAGTAATAAAGAGCTGCCCCATTAAAGCGGGCAGTGTTATGACAAGTGTTGTTGTTGTTACAAGTAAGGCACTATAAGTGCAAATATCAGTGTAGTATGTTTGTAGCTTTGAATGGCTGAAGGTGCAAAATTTGTATTTTTTTTTATTATGTAAGGAAAGTGTATTTGGAAGGATACACTTTTTGGTACAAAGCATTTGAATTGGTTAAAAAATATATAATAAATAAAAATTAATTTTTAAAATGCATTATAAAATAGTTTTTTTTTAAATTAAAGTTGACATGAATTTAAAAAGAGATCCTTTATATTTTTACATCGTTTTCTTTCCTACGGAGGTAAGGCACCATTTTCAGCTCCCCCAACAACGCTCTTAAGGTGACATGCTCTAGTAGGAGAGATTTTATATATATGTGTGTTGATACCAGTACAAGGTATATTTTAAAACTTATGAAAAATCCATTCGAAATTTTCATACAAAGTTATTTCATGAATCGTTAAAATCCTACTACTTTTGTATTTTTATTCAAGTGTCTGAAAAGTGGATTATTAAAAAAAAATTTCTGTTAACCGTAACTGCTAGAGTTTCGTTTAAAAATAAAAAGTAAAAAAAAAACAAAGTTACAATAACAACGTATACTGTGGCTGCTCAAACTGATTTCAGTTACTGTTACTCTTATTACTTTTACGTTGTTGGCGCAAATTGTAACTTTTATTTCTCGATAATTAATGTGCTCACTTGTAGCTCTTTTTGTTGCTGTTCTATTATTATTACTATTGTTATTGCTGCTTCTTTACATCGAACACCGCTGATGCTGTTGTCGGCGATGCTTGTGGTGTTGCTGCGTTGCTTTTTCGTGCTCTTCGCGGCTTAGAGAGCAAAAGTAGTGCAGAGAGTGCTCGCGCATTAACTATGAATTGAATTTGGAGCGCCTCTTGGAGTTCGAAGTTGCTCTTTCGCAAAGCGGCGTTTCCTAGACAATTATTTACTTATACGCCATGTGCGCCCAAACGTTTGTTTTGCCGTTTCGCCGCTATCAGTCTCGCTGTGTTGCTGCTGAAGTTTGGAGCTATAATTAGAAAATCTGCGTTGCAAACACTTTTTTGGGATTTGTCGTATTTACTTTCGTGAAGATGAAAGCAGAAGAAAAAAATTATTAAAGTATTAAAAATATTTCTTAGGAAAAATTTGAAATTAGGACGGAAAAGTATGAAAGAAAAATTATTTCGATTAACTTTGTAAATTTAAGAAAACGTTATTCTAAGAACGAATAATTTTTTTTCGAATTTTTGAAAAGTTTTTAAAAAATGAAATTGTATTATTTTTTTTTTTTGGAAGTTCAGTTCTCTTCTAACAGTCTTACATTTAAAAAAGGAAAATAAGCTTTGTAAATAATTATTTTTCGAATTAAATAGATCCCAAAGTCTTCATACCACATTAAAGTTGAACTTTTGGAAAATTTTATAAATCTTAAATAATAAAAAAATTATTACAGATTTCTTTTTTCAACTTAAGCATGCAAAAATGATAATTGTTTCTGGTTAAATATTTCATTATTTTATTTAAAACTAAAAAAAATCCATACACTCTCGAGCGTTTGCTTAAAATGTTAATAAATTTCCTGTAAGAAATTTTGAAGATATCACTTTTATGCGCATTACACTCACACGCTTCTTAATAACACTCGCGTGCATTGAAGCTTAAATCCGCTCACTTATTGTCATTAAAAAATTACAAAAACCAACTGCGTATGCAAAAAAGTGCAAATAAATCATTTATGAAAATATATATGTACAGGCGATTTTTTTATTAACCGCAAAGCGCTCGTTTGTACCGCTAACCAAACATTTACAATGCACGCAACTTCAACAATGGATGGCAAGGGATATGCTTATTAAAAAAAAAAAAAAAAAATAATAGTCAAACAAGAAGCGACCGCAGAGAGGGGAAATACTACGTAAAAATACCTAGAAATAACGGTTGTGGTGTTTCCAATTATTTGCGCACACTCTACACAGGTTTACATTTAAACCTACGCAAATTTGTACGTTCCGCTGCTGTGCGTGCGAATTTGTATGAGCGAACAAAAGATTCAAGCAACGAACTCGACTGATCCTCAGCGGCTGGTTCTAAGCAAATATTAGTGTAATATATGTATGTACATCAAATACCAAAAAAAAAAAAAACAAAAACAAAAACAAAAAAGTAAATGAAATGCATATGCATAAAATTACAAAATATTACCGCAAAACAATACTTTGTAACAACAACAACAACTGCACATGTGGAATACACGCCACACAGTAGCAGCTAATAAAAGTAGTTTTGAGAAGAGAATGATCAGATGTTAATTTGACGCAATTTGTACACACAAACACATATACATACATACGTACCAATACACTGTATACCCCACTGGGGCTGGTAGCACTTGCAGTTATTTTTGATTATTTTCGGTTGCCACTGCGCTCTGTGCGTCTCGCATTGAAAATAAAAAATGACTATTTTGCAATTTTCTAATATAAATTCGTTAAATAAGTTTGGAGTATTCAAAAAAAAAAAAAATATCAATGTATGTATGTACAAATGATGTTTTTTGTTTAGCTTGCACTATTATTGAATGACTGAATGGTAGTTGCAACAACAACGCGCAGAACAATCGCCAATCAGTGACAGACGCTGTCAGCTCAGCATCGATGGAAGACGAGCAAACGATGTACATAAACATATATATATATATATATATACATATTGCGCTGGCGGCCTTTTTGGTTCCAAAATTCTATCAGATACGCCAATGATGCTCAGATTATGTTTGCAGTTGTTGTCGTACATTTCATTCAATCAATCGACATACGAGCCAATACCACTACACAGCCCAACTGGCGATGTACTTGCGCGCTTAGCGCGTGGCTCACTCGCTGCCACTGCTGGTGGTCATTTTGCTGTACGCTTCGCTACGTCGCCTGCCGAAGGTTTGGCTGTTTTGAGGCGCGCGAATCAAATGAGATTTTACTAGCTAACTAACTGAGCTAGTCGTTTTTTTTTTTGGCAAACTATTGAGATTGAAAAATATAAATGAAATGAAAATATTGTACAAAAGATCTAAAAAAAAATCAAAGCAAAATGAAAAAAATGGTAGATACAGTAGCATTATGCAATGCGTCGTGGAAATGTTTATGAGTTGCAAGGGTGTTTGCATGCTGATGAGTTCATGCGCTCTTCGCCAGGTTAGTGTAACATGCTCTGCACTCGCCGCTCGGAAGTTGTGGCGTCAAAGGCCGTGTGGAGTGGCATTTTGTAGATAAAATTGTTTAAGAACTATTTTTGTTGTATTTCTTTTTATTCGCTGTATTGTTATTATTTTATGAGCTGCTTTTCTATCTGTTCTGTTTTTATTATTCTAAATAAAACAAAACAGAAAAAATATGTGAATATATTTTATTACCTCAACTGCTTTTGCGAAATTTTTGTTTTCCAGCTAAACCGACGTTCATACATATATACATACATATACATACATATTTGTGTACATTATCTGATACTGTTTGCCCCAGCTGCGTCACAGTAATAGCTGTAAAAACTTACTTAATACCTATAAGAATTCCTAATTATTCATGGCTATAAACGGCTTTACAATAGTTGTATTCACATGTTGTAATTTGTTAAACATATATAAAAACAAAGCAAATGGGAACTTCTACTATTCTACTAGTTATTTGGCAAATCCATACATTTGAGAAATATCATATTTCCTAATTTTATTATTATATTCTTTATATGACTAATTAAGTGCTTAATTTATAATAATATTATTGGATTAGTGCATAAGTTCGTGCCCGATTTCAAGTGCAAACTAAAATTGCAATTTTTTGAAGAAAGCACTTTTATTAATCAATTATGTATTCGCCATCATATTCGGCAATCCAATCCCAACGTTCAACCAATTTACGGATGCCTGATTCATAGAAATCGCGCGGTTTCTCGTTGAAAAAGGTGTCAAGGTGGTTTTTGACGTCTTCCACATTTTTAAATTTTTTTCCATTCAAATTGTTCTGCAGCGATCGAAACAAATGATAATCAGAAGGTGCAATGTCGGGTGAATATGGGGGATGCGGCATGATTTCCCAATTCATCTCCTTCAGTTTGGCCAGGGTCGGTTTTGCAACATGTGGCCTGGCGTTGTCATGATGGAAAAGAACTCCTTTGCGATTGGCCAAAATCGGACGTTTTTCATCAATTGCTTTCTTCAATTCGACCAATTGCTGACAATACTTGTTGGCAGTGATCGTTTCTCCAGCTGGCAAGAGCTCAAAATAGATCACGCCTCGGATATCCCACCAAATGCACAGCAGTACCTTCATCGGATGCAATCCACCTTTCGACATCGGTTCCGCCCCTTCGTGTGCCTGTTTCCATGTTCTTTTGCGTTGAACATTGTTGTACAGGATCCATTTTTCATCACCAGTCACGAGCCGATCCAAAAAAGGTTCGTTTTTGATCCGTCGAAGCAAAGAAATTGCTGTTGACATACGGTCCACTTTGTTTTTTTCACTCAACTGATGTGGCACCCATGTATCGAGCTTCAAAGTGTACCCAACCTTTTTTAAACGACGAAACGCAGTTGATTTGTTGACGTTCAATTCACTGGCAACCTCTTCCGTCGAAATACGTGAGTTATTCGCAACTAAAGTCCTTAGAACATCGTCATCAAGCTCAGAAGGCCGTCCACTGCGAGGTTGATCTTCGAGGTTAAAATCTCCAGAACGAAATTTCGCGAACCATTTCTTTACTGTGCGGAGTGCTGGAGCACGGTCCAAATAAACTTCGCGAATATCTTTAGTTGTAGCGTCTACTGTTTTTCCTTTGCGGAATTCGTATAACATAATATGACGCATATGATCTTTTTCGTTGTCCATCTTCCATGCGTCTTTTCACTAAGCAAATCAAATCAAAATGAAGTTATTTTATGCTTGATTTATAGTTCGGACTGTCACCTTTCCAACGATATATAATATGTATATATTTCTTTCACGAGCGCCACTCTCAGACGAATCGGGCACGAACTTATGCACTCATCCAATATATGGTATTGTTTTAAGAATATATTTTACTTTTTCTTATTTAATTTAAGAGTGTTTTAATTCTTTATTTTAATTAATTTTGTTTTGTTTTTACGTCAATCTCTTTATTTTCGTTCATCTTATTAGAGACGAAATTGGTCGCGGATAAAAACTAATAAATGAAAAAATTAAAAAGTAAACTAAGAAATAAAATAAATTAAAAAAAACATATTAAATAAGATTTTCAATAAATTTTTTTGTTATTTATATTCATTACACTTATGATTTATTATTTCTTATAAAAATATTTTTTTAATCCGGTCCCTTTCGCACTTCCTGGGAAGATACTAATAATTGGTAATTGGTATTTTGTAATCGCTGACGCGATATTCAGCCATGTAAGTGGCGGGTCAATCTAGGTAAAAAGCTATCTCTGTACTGTATTAAAATCATGCGAATCGCACGATTTGAAAATAAATTTGATTTTGTTAAATGCAATACATCGGTCTCAAGGAAAATCTTTCTTTATCGGATGTCTACGTCAAACACAACAAATTTAATTTTTTGAATTCATTTGAGGAAAATTTTTTTCTTTTTATAAAATTCCAAAATGCAGTTGATCAAGTGTGAAAAATGACTCCGGTTTATGCGAAATTAGTGTTATTAATTTTTGACATAATAATTTATACCTTAGGGAGCCTATATTTCGAATAAAGTGCCTTTTATATTGCAACATAGGTGTTTTCATTTCTTAAAATAATAAATATGCCTCAGTTGATGTAATTATTTTTAATGAATGAAAAATTTAAAAATGTATGTATTATGACCATAACTGTTTGTAATTAAACTTGACATTACATTTGCTGTCCATCCAGTTTTGTTACCTTAATTCAGCTTTTCTAATTTTTATTGTTGTTGCAAAAATTATTTGCTGCTAAATGACGTTCTTGTAGCGGTCAAAGTCATTTACTGCTTTTTTTTTTAATTACAAATCTTTTTTATTTTAATTACTTTGGTTGGCATTGTGAATGTAAATATCAAAATAAAGGTCATAAATGGTTGAAAAGCCTAACGAAAATGTATGCAGGGATTTTCAGATAAGAAACTTGGTATTAATTTGCAAAAACTACATAGTAATTTTATATTTTTTTCTATGGATTTTCGAAGACGTAGGCTTATGTCTTTTTTCAGTCTAACGCGCACAGATCTATTGATATGCTACCACATGCTAACTCAAATGATACAAGCGGCTGCTTTGCCTTTGGCTTAGACTATTTTGGTGGCTATTCGTTTGATTGATTTATTGGCTTTTGATAGCGAATGAAAAGGAATTAAAAATTACCTAATTTTATAAACTAATTTAATTTATTTCAATTTTGATTTATTTACAAAGTACTCAAAAACTGTAATAAAATAATTTTGGACTTAAAACAACACTAAAGCATACTTTAAATAATGCGTTATAACTCATGTAGGCAAAAGTTTTAAAATCGAATTTCATTAAGTATTAAACGATTTAAACTTGGCGAAAAATGAAAAGCAACTCTTGCCATTACAATTATTTGTCCTTTAACTTAAATTACCTTTTTCTTTTTTTGTAATAAACGGTTTTGTTTTAAGCGGAGCTCATCACTATTATTATTAAAAGCTGCGGTTTTAGTTAAGAGTATTGAATTTTTACCTTTTTTTTTGTTTTTTTCATAACCAACAAAATAATAAAAGTGTGTTATATGTAAATGCCTTATATACATACGTGTATGTATGCATTTAATATTAGTTCCTTCTGATTTTTTATTCGTTTTTGGTTTTATAATGCCCATCTGTTGCACTTGCCAACGTAATAACTTCTAGCTGTAGGCCACCTTAGTTCAGTGCTAAAAACTACATACATACATGTGTATATGATGTAATGCCATTCTGTTGCCACAGGTGATGCGCCCACAGTCAGTGGCTTTGTAAAAAAAAAGATTAGAAATAGTGATTTGAAAAAATAAAAATATGAAAAACTGAAAAATGAAAAATAATAACTACAAAACCTTTGCCATTCTACATATTACTCATTCATAGCAGTTTTGGCTATATTTTCGCTTATAATATTTAGTCTTTGTGTCTTTTCTCAATTTTTTTTATTTAAAAAAATGCAGCGTGTCACAATTGAACTGCATTCGTCACGACCCCTCTCTATTTTTGCAGCTTTTTTAAAATTGTCTGTATATATATTTCTTAGAGTTTTAAAAAATTGTTTTTTATTTTTAATATTTTTATTTTTGTCACCAAATGGCTGTAATTTAAAAGCGGATGCTCATTATATATACAAACACTAAACCTAGGCTGCATTGCAATAGGAATGAGTGCCAGAAAAGCATTAATAATTTTTTTTGTTTAGTTTTTCTGTGTATTTCTTTTTGTTTGTTTGTTTTTTAGAAGCAAAAGCAATTTCGGCAAATTTAAATTTGTGTACGTGCAACACGGGCTGTTGTCGCGAGGCGGATATTAATCTGTTGTAAGTGCTTGTAAGTATGCAATTATGATTTTGTTTTCATCTAAATATATATTGAAATAAATTATCTATAAAATTAATAAACATTTATTTGTTAATTAAATTGAAATACAAATTGAACAATTTGCCTTTGATAAAACATATAGGGATTTTTATACAAAAGAAAACCGTTAAGGGAAAACTCTGCAAATATTTTTTCATACTTTTTTATCTCACTTCGACAGCTAACATTATGATTTATTTATTTATGTGAAAAATAATTCCAAATTATTATTTTATTTTTTAATTATAGTAAGCACAATCGAAGCTTTGAGCTTGTTAATTATTTTACTATTAAAAAAATATGAGGAAAATCTTCCGTGAGTTTTCAAGCATATAATCGCTGTACCTATGTTTTACATAAATCAACTGCATCTCTTATTTGACGAAACCAATATGCATATTTATATCTTAATTAATTTACTGCAACACTTCCAATTACAATTAATCAAGTGTGTAATCGGACGAATGGGCGTTTGTGGGTTGAGGTTTTTTCGCTAAAAAGTAAATACATCTGTTTATGTTAAACGAGTTTAAGGTACAAAATTTGAATGAATCGCCGAATGAGAAAATAAATCGCAAATCACAAATTACTAAATGTAAAGTCATTCCGTTTGAGGTCACAGTGTGTGTGCGAAAATTCAAACATAGAAAAAGTAATAAATAAATAAATAAATTTAAAAAATGAAAAATTGGAAATTAAAAAAAATGGAAGGTGCACATATTGTTTACTACAATACAATGAAAGCAACAACTGTAGCAGCCGAAGAAAAAATAACAAATAGTGTAACAGTTCGATAGGAATGAAAGTTGTTACATTTTGTTTTATTATGCTGCGGGTATATAAATATTTTTATATATTTGTAATTTTCGTGATTGAGCGTTGCCCATGCGTAACAAGCCAAACCTTGAATTGTGCACTTTTATCTTTGCTAGTTTGAAAAGTTTTTGTTACATATTTTCTATTTTTGTTTCTTGAGTATGGCATTATGGTATAGACAGAAACTGTTTAAGTTCACGCTTTAACGCGTTGGCACGATGTAGCTATTTGAACTTCGATATACTTCGACACCTGACAACACATTTTTCTCTTTTTTTGCTGTAATCACTTTTTTTCTGTTTGATTTCCAATTTCTTATTAACAATCTATTTTTCGACAGCTATGAATGACTAATGAAAAGCTTTTTGTTTAAATTAGCGCTAAAGGGTATACATGAGTTAAAATTTACAATAACTAATTAATATTTTATACATTTAAAGTAAGTCATTAGATTTTTTTTGTTAAAATTTTATTTTATTTTAGCTAATTCTGTTGTATTTAATTTCATTTAATTTTGTGTTATTTTTGATTTGGTTTTATTTTAGTTTGATTAATTTTGTCCAAATTTTATTTTGTCATTTTCATATTTTTACAATATAACAAACGTGTTCACATACACACGTGTACGCATATTTTTTTTTTTCTAGTATATTTATGACATCTGTTGCACATGGCAAATTATTCATAAGAACTTCACTCATGTAATTATGGCAAAGAACAAAACACTCCTCGCCCATTTCGCATTTATCAACTACACATAGATACTCGTACATATAGTGTAACTTACTTCACATTATAGCTATGTGTATGTACGTAATTTTTTTTTTTTATTTCAAAACAATGTCTGTTTTGACTGCCACATGCCGACAAGCGTCGGTCGGTGATGCGTCAAGTGTCGATGGTGGAATTTCGGAACTTTTTTTCTGTCTTTTTTTTTGCTACTTTTGGCTTGTTTTCAACCACTTCGTTTCTTGTTCTTTTTGGTGTTTTGTTTTTGTTTCTACTGCGTTGGCAGTGGCACACTTGACGTGGTCTTAAGTAAATAGTTGATCACTTACTGAGATAAATTGAGCATGTACTAAAGCGGATTTTACGCCATACAAGAAGAACAAAAAATCATGGGTATGTTTTCTTGAATGCCTCGCTTAAGTTTTTTTAATTATGAACACAACATCATTTAACTAAACAAGTAAACATAATTCGATGATCTACTTTTGTGCTAAAAAAATAATACGGAAGCTTTGTGTTTTGGGTTTCACACCTACGAAAATTGCTTCAGGCTTGACCAATTAGTCAGCATGGGCTTTTAAGAATTATTGCTCGGAGGTTGTGATAATCATTAGTGAAGCAGCGTGAGATGCAGCCTCACTACAAATGGAAACGCTCCCGAAATGCGGGCTATGATGCGTTCATGCCATGTGGTTCGAAAAACTCAACTGACGATGTGAAAAAGGTATTGAAAAATATGTGCCCGAAAATTATTCTTTTTTCTCACAAATCCGGGTTATAAAAGCTTATAAGCTTTGGGAAAAGACGATGAGGTAAATTTGAAGCAGGTGGAATATGAGAAAACATCAAATCACAATTTTTAAATGAATTCTAAAGCAAATTATAAAGTACATTTTAAAGGTTTCCACTTAATGGGCCGCAAGGAGTAAAACAGGAGCTTAAAAGCCTGATTCGGTCAGGGGCGTTGTTTTTAAGAGAACACATCTCGACTCATCGCACTTAAGGAAGGAGCTTAGCTGAAGAATACTTCAATGGTTATAAAGTGTCGACTATGTATTTATATATTATATACATATCATCCTTTCGCTAAGAGAAAAAGAGAAAATAGTCAAAATACTTATCTCAAATAAATTACATAGATCCGCTCAGCGATTAAAGTAGACTTATTAAAAAGTAATAGAAAAATTACAATAATATAAAGCGTCATTACTTACACGAATTCATGCTAACGAAGTCAAAAGTCCTGCCATGTATACATTTGTATACTCGTATATATGTATATATGCATGCATGTTTGCTTAGTGCCTTGAAATAACAATTTAGATGAACACACATATAAATTATCTCACCTAATTACTAACTAGCACACATTTACATACACAGTTTGAAATTATGCTTAAATGAACATTATGTAAATTAAATTTAGGTGACAAGGTCACGAATGCCAAATCATTGAAGCGTACAATTTAATTATAAATTTTCAATAAAAAAGAAAAAAACCAAAGCAGTAATATTAAATGCGGTAAACTGTCGAAGAGCCACAATTAAGTTAAAAAAGAAGAAAACAATTAATACAAGAACACACCGAGGTGTATATTTACACGTGTATGTAAGTGTAGGTAAGTACACGTGTAAATCCAATTAGATTAGATAAGGCGATAAACAAATTGAAAAGCAGCTGAAATCAAATACCGTGAATAAACAATAAAAAAAACAATAATAATAATAAAAAATACAATAAAATTACATAATCGCATAACAAAAATTGATTTTGCTCACAATTAAATAATACAATTTTCTAACATGTGCATTCGTTACTTAAAAGCTCATTTTCTAGTACTGAAAGCGTGGATGTGAGTATGTATGTACATTAAGTATAAAGAGTAATGTAATTGTAATTTCAAAAACATAAATGATTTTAATAGTATTCACAACGCTTTATTAGAGCAGTAAAGCCACAAGCACACATGGATGCATAAAACAATAATAACAAATATATGAAGAAGTAGCACAACTGCGTACACTGCAGCTAATGAAGCCGCGACAACAATTGTTGTTGTTGCATTATTGGTAAGAAACTTCAGAAACATATATCATATGTATATCTAAAATGCGCACTTACATTAGGGTGTGTTAAAGACATTTAAACATATTTTGCTTTGGCAGGAGATGGGAAAATGTTTTTCATTTCGAAAAATAGCCATAAAAACTACAGAGTAAAATTCGTTTGAGACAAGGAAACACTTTAACATTCATATTAAAAATTAGAGTTTATTTTTTTTCCAAATTTGGTGAAATAAAGGTAATATCGGCATTAAAATTGGCAAAGCGATTTTAGTAGAGTTGCGTACTAGGAAATATTTCAAACTAAAGACGTACAGACCACAAACACGGAGTGGCTAGCAATGCATTCTACCATAAAAAGAGTTGTCTGAGTCTCAGCATACCAATATCTATAAAGAATTTTTTTTCTATATGCTCTAAACCCTCGCAGGTAATGTCAAACTCTCTGACTGTACTGACGGGAAGTAAAAGCTTTCTATAAAAATCCATCAAGCATTCGGTTACGACTTTAAGCTAAACAACAATTCTTGAGGTACTGATGACGAAATATGTTATGCCATATTTTTTGGTGCGCTTTTTTATTTATTTAAAAATGAGCTCGGCCGCAGAGCATTGATTTGTGACCTTTTCGGATCTGAATTGATTGTGGACGACCTTTGGTTCCAACAAGACCGCGTTAAGTGTCATACAGGCAAAGTAAAAAAAAACTTTTGAAGGAAACTTTGGTGAGCAAGCTAACTTGGGAAGTGGGCCTTTGGCTATTTAATATCGCTAGGCTACTTTTTGTGAGGTTATGTGAAGTCACTTGCCTACGCAATAAGTCGGAGATGTTTGACGGCTTGGAATAGAATATTCAGTGCGTTATTACTGCAAAAAGTGTTCGAAAATTGGGCCTCTCGGCTGCAATGTATACGAGCTAGTCGCAGGCCTCACTTGTTTAAAATCATTTTTGAAACATAATGTCAAACTATTATCTTTATAAAATAACGTTAATTTATTCGTATTATTTCTTCTTGATATCCACATGTCGAAAAAACACCTTTTAGATTATTGACGCTGTTGTCAACATTGACTGCCATTTCAATCACACTAATATCGAATATATTAATACTTAAAAAGCAACTGCAAAAATAATAACACCAGCAGCACCAAAAATTAAAAAAAAAAAAAAAATTGTCATCTCAACGTCAACGCAGAGCTCATCTGTTGTCACTTTTATTGCTATTGTCGACAACATTATTTCATCACTACACCATTCAAAGGCATTTGAAGGCATTGAGCTATACCAAGCAGGCGTTTGCGTCTGTGGCATGCTAGCGTAGCAAATTAATGTCGCTGCACAAATCAGCGAAGTAACCGTA